TCGATCAGCAGGCAGGGTGGGGCAGTTGAGGCTAGAACCATATACTCTTAATGGAATGGGGGCGTCCCAAGCAGTATCACGGAGCCAACTTAGCAAGAACTCTGTCCCCATGAGGATGCTTTGCCTGGAGATGGGGGTGGAACGTCTCTGTAAGGACCTGGAAGGATCATAAGATGACATTAGCCTGGGCTTCCTAATATTCCCCCAACACCTAAAGGAAAACACAGCCTTAAAAATTACAGAGGAAAAACAACTGTCAGCTACTACATGGTTGTTCAACAAATAATTGAACCGTTCTCCTTCACTCCAGCTTGTGAAGACATTCAGGTGTTTTGCTTTTTTGGAGGACAGTTTGTATGTTTGGAAAGAATTGTTTAAGAGAAAAAAATTCATTCCTGAGATAGCTCTGCAGCACGCAGGATGAGGCAACTCTATCGGCTGTGCCCCAATTGCAAATGTGTCTTCCTTAAGAGTTCTTTTAAAGGATTCGATAGTAGGAGACTGCATCTGTCTCCAGTAACGACCAGAGACAACCCCACCATCCCCCAGACCAAATGAAGTCCGCCTGGACATCACAAATTCCCAAAGGAAGGTCGCTAGGACCAACCAGGAGCTTCAACATAAACTGACCTTGCACCTCTCAATGCCAATTTCAGTCCGTAAGAACCTTCACCACTAACCCCTTGGGGAATCTGGGCATTAAGTCATAGCTGCCCAGCTCATTTTTCTCGGCTTCTCGTTTAACACCACCTTCCTTCAAAAACCCCAATGTCAGTGATTGACTTTTTGTGCCTTGGGAGAGCAGAACCAAGTGTGGGGATTCTTACAGCAACAACTTCAGATAGTTTGTGGGGGCGTGTAGCTTGGCAACAAGAGGGAGTTTGATATTATGGACAGTAGGAGATACTGGACTCACAGTCATTTAAGATGTGCCCAGGGATATTAATGTCTCAGAACAGAATTCACTTAGCAGGAAAAATAGTCTTTAATTGATGACGTAGGAAATGAATGTTTTTGTTCCTGTAAGCTAAGCCATCTGATGATTTCTGTTAAAGCCTGCTGGGACTTATAACTAAGTTTTACTATTTTATTTTTTTAATCTGAAAGGGATTCATGTTGCACAGCTAGGTGCTCCCTAACATTTATCTCTCTCTCTCTCTCTCCCTGTACGACTTTGCTTCTCCCATCACAGATTCTGGAAGCATTTAGTGTGGGACGGTCACTTCAGCTCATTTTAGCATTATCTGGATCTGGTCTGCTCTGTGTGAGGAGGGGGAAGTGGGGGAGCAAAGAGGGGGTATGTACCACTTACGAGCATTTAAGGAATCCAATTTTTAGTCATTTTATCTATAGTCAAATTCTGCCTAACTTAAAATTATCCAGTACATCTAAGGCCTCTAATCAAATTGTCAGAGGAAGCCAAATGCATGCACAGTAATTAAGCCCCTTGCTTCAGAAAGCAACATCCTCCCAACTTCCGTCTTCTGCCTGGTCCTTCGCAGTCCACAGGAGCAGACAGGAAGGGGATGGGGGAGGGGGAGCATGGGCCCATCAAAGACAGACACTCCGGACCTCCCCTGAACTGACCATAAGGAGGTCAGCCATGGGGGTACTCAAAGAAAACTGTCGAGAGACAAACCACAGGCAAACTTCTCCACATTAGAAGCTCATTGTAATTTATGGTGGGCTTCAGGAACAGCTAGGAAAGGGGATTTTGAATGTTCCCAAGACCCTCCTACAAAAGTGGTAAATATTTGGGCCCAGCACAGTGATAGGCTAGTGACTAAAATCCTCACCTTGCATGTGCCAGGATCCCATATGGGCATCAGTTCATATCCCAGCTGCTCCACTTCTATTCCAGCTCCCTGCTTGTGGCCTGGGAAAGCAACTGAGGACGGCCCAAAGCCTTGGGACCCTGCACCTGCATGGGAGACCCAGAAGAAGCTCCTGGCTTCTGACTTCAGGCTTCACATCAACTTAACTCCAGCTGTTGCAGCCATTTGGGGAAATGAACCAGCGGGTGGAAGATCTGTCTATCTCTCCTTCTCTCTGTAAATATGACTTTCCAATATAAATAAATAAATAAATAAATCTTTTTAAATCGGTAAATATTTGAGATGATGTGTATGCAAATTATGCTAACTACCCTAATTCCATCATCGCAAACCACAGCAGTCTACATGTATCAGCCTGGTGTCTCACAACTCACCATCACTCCATGGCTAGTAAGATCATGCCAAAAGCAATAGTCATTCATTGTACGAAGAATAATAAAAAACATCAAATCAGTGCAAATGTAAAGCTAATAGCATTTCTTTGACAACATAATGAATTTTCCCCCAAACGATGCTCCCTTGACTCTGGTAGTTGCACTTTTGGAAAAGTAATTTTAAAGAAATGATGCTAAAAGCAGCAGGAAATCCCTGGCAGAGCCGGAACGTGGGAGGTCAACGTGAGATAGAGTTGAGCCCTTCAGAGCATTCCCCTTAGTGTTCTATGGGCAAAGCATGTTCACCGAAACAAAAACCTGATTTGGAATGAGCTTTCAGGGTGAAAATTGAAGGAAGAAACTGAAAGTTCAATTGCACGGGGTGAATATAAATACTTTAAACGTGTATTGGTTGATTGATTTGAAAGGGTGAGGGACATGAGTGAGGGGGCAAAGAGTGCTCTTCTATCTGCTAGCTAGCTTCCCAAAGAGCACAACAGCCAGGGCTGAGCCGGGTTGAAGTCAGGAACCGGAAACTCTGTCTGGATCTCCCACGTGGGTAGTAGGGATCCAAGTACTTTCCCAGACATATTAGCAAGCAGCTGGATCTGAAACAGAGCCACTAAGGATTGAGCCAACACACCAATAAGTTCCCTAAGTGCCCGTGTCTTTAGCAGTTGCTTCGCTCAGTAACACAGTGCAGGCCCCAAGATAAAATGTTTTCGGGCCCGGCGCGGTGGCGCAAGTGGTTAAGTCCTCGCCTTGCACGCCCGGGATCCCATATGGGCGCCGGTTCTAATCCCGGCAGCCCCGCTTCCCTTCCAGCTCCCTGCCTGTGGCCTGGGAAAGCAGTCGAGGACGGCCCAAAGCTTTGGGACCCTGCACCCGCGTGGGAGACCCGGAAGAGGCTCCTGGCTTCGGGATAGGCATAGTATCGACCCGTTGCGCTCACTTGGGGAGCGAATCATCGGATGGAAGATCTTCCTCTCTGTCTCTCCTCTCTGTATATCCGCCTTTCCAATGAAAAAATAATAAAAATAAATCTTAAAAAAAAAAAAGATAAAATGTTTTCAAATTTTGAGTCTTATTTCAAAATCAGACAATGGGTTTTCCAAATTGCAGGGTGACAAATACATTGAAATGATCGTAAGTAGACTATGCAAATGTGTGCAGATCTCTGAAACAATATTAAAAAAATCCAGCAAGGCTAAAAATGATGCTATTGAAAATGCCATTTGTCCATTTGATAAGCACACATTTTATCTAATGTACTAGAAAAACCATCAAGCCAAATTGGCCTCAGACAAATTGGCAAACAAACGACCTGGTCTCAGAGGCCCCCGGGTCCGTTTCTGACCCACTGCCAGCTCTGGCACTCATGCAGTTCTGCGCTCCCTTCCCACAGCTGAGCCTGAGCTCTGAACACCTGCCCAGGACTCTGTAAACCCCGGCATCCTAGACTGGGTCTCTGACTTGCCTTTTAGTGGGAACTCCATGTTTGTCAACGGGCTCACTCCACACCAGAAGTTGAGAGTGGATTCTCTTTCTTATTCTGTCATGTAGCACCAATTTCAGTCATTTATTCACCCACCTGCTAAGTCTCTTTGGGAAGGTACTATATAAAGCGTTCAACTGAATGGGTCCTTTCTTGAGTCCCACACCTCCCTGGTCGGTTGCTACAAAGCAGCTACTCACCTCAGTGCTGTGAGCAAGCAGTTGGTCATGGTAAGCCTCAAATAGAGAAGCTGCAGGCCAGTCCTAGATCTGCAAAGGAGGTTTTGGACCAGGAATCTCAGCGCACAGCTGACAACAAGGACTCTTCTGTTGACAAGCAAACTGAGTCCCTGCCTGTGGCCAGGAGCTACTCGTGTTTACTTAAAAGCTGAGGATAGGCTGGGCACTCCATCCCACAGGAAGCAATCAAGTTTCTGAACCTCTTAGAGTCTAGTCTGCATCCAATTCATATCTTCTAACCATGAAACCCCTTAAAACCTCTTCATTTCCGCCGCTGTGCCTCTTAATGCGACCATGCTTTAGGGAAATGTTAAATATAGCAAAATGATCAAAACGTCCATGTGACGATTGGTAATATCATACAAAAATATTGAGTGTGTCATTTTGCATACAACTTACTTTCAAATGCTGTTCGTGGGGAGGAAGATGATAGAAGAAGAAATTAATTGCAGGAACATGCAGCAATAGGCAAATGTGGGGAGAGAGCAGACAGATGTGTGTGGCACTGTCCTGTTGAAATTGCTGTAGCTTGATCGTTTTTTAAAAATAGAAAAAAAAAAATAAGCAGAAACAATTCAGTGTAACCATGCCTCCCCTAACCATGACAGGTGGGCACGGGTAAGACTCTCTTTAAACCTCGTTCTTATGGGGGTTAGGCATGGACCCACCAAACCCTGCCTTTCTTGTTGCCCTGGTGTTTTGCAAACACTGGCCACAGCAACACATACAAAGAGCTCTGCAAACCAAAGGCTGAACAGAAGATGGAATTATCTTTATCCCGGCAGCGCCAGCTCAGTCCTAGCTCACCTGGCCAACCCTGCCCCCCACCTTGGTCTCTGCAGCCTCCAGCCAATCAGTGCCTCCCGGCCCCCCTAGCATTACATATGCATGCTCGGCCTCCTGCTTCTTCCCCCTGCTCCCAGCACCGGGTGCAGGCGTGGTCCTGCTCCTGAGAGCTGGAGTGCAGAGCAGCTCTGCAGAGCCCTCCGCTGGAGCAGAACCCTTGCCTGCCAGCTCCCTGCCCAGCCCCAGGGATCCTCAGCAGCAGGTGGGCACCATGAAACCCTCCAAGGCATCCCAGCGCTACAGAAGCATCCGACGCAATGCCAGCCAATGCTATCTCTACCAGGAGTCCCTGCTACTCAGGTGAGTGGGTCCCAAAGATCAGCTGGGGAGAGGAGGCAGGTGCACCAGGGAGGGATGCGTGGGCCTCCTAAGCAAAGAGCAAGGTCCCTGTCCTGTTCCATTCTGCTTTTGAATAGACTCAGAAACTCAGTCATGTCTCCAGGTTCTTGCACCCCCGAAGTAATGAGCTCAGCAGCACAGGGAGCTGCTTGTTGACCCAGATTCTTCAAACCTGCTTGCCAACCTGGTTGGTTGCTGTCCACACCCACAGTATCATGAGGATCACTCCTCTGCCACCATCAGTAAGACATTCACTGGAAAAGACTTCAGCCCAGTTGCAAGCGGTTGAGAGTACGGAGGCAAAAATTGTGACGTGTCTGTAAAGGTCTAGGAAAACCTAGGGAAAGGTGGAGACGTTTCCCCAGAGATATAAACAACAACCCACACTTAGAGAGCAACAAATTGCCCTAGAAAAAATACTCTCACCACCTCTTGGAAGGTTGTGTCAGAAGCAGCCTGGTAAGGGAGAATGAAGGTTGCTGCGTCTTGAAACGTGTTCCTACAGAGGGTAATGAGTTCCCTGAAACAGTTCACTGGTGGAACTTTGCTTAGCCAGTTTCTTGTTCACAGAACTTGCTGTCTGTTTTTGCCTTCTTCATTTTGGGCTTAAAATGAATTGGAGTGGGAAGTCTGAAAAAGATATGTTTTTTTTAATAATCTATTTTACACTTATTTGCATTTATGGTAAAGTTGTTACATGTATTGCTTTTGTTTATATTTATTATTAAATTATTGTATTTTATTATTATTGATTTTGCATGCGGAGGGGGAGAACAAAGGGGACTGGTGCTAAAATTAGCTGATAATTGGAATCAGCCTGACAAAGCAGTCAATTTGCTCACTGAAGATGCTGCCAGTAGGGGATTGTATGTAAGAACCCTCTTGTCTCCTTCTGATTACCTTGCACCCCAAGAAATCACTGTCTTCTGCTGGCCTGATAAAGTAATAGAAACCAACAAATGCATTCCAACCAGCTGCTCACATGGCCAAATGTTCTCCCTACCTCCATGAACCACCCCCCCCACACACACACACATCTCACACAGCTGACCGTGGGGCAGCAAGCTACTGAACTTGTCCGGAGAAAGACAGTCTTGGCTGGAAGCAATTCTATTAATCAGATTTCCTGCCTCATGCCTTTGCCCACTCAGCAACTTGGAGGACAGCTTCAATGCAGCTGAAACAGGGGACAGCAGTGACCCGGAACAAATCTTCCAGAACATACAGTTCCAGAAGGATCTCGTGGCAAACATTCGCTGTCGACCCTGGACCATGGGACAGAAGCTGAAGGCACTGAGGTAAGGACCTCAGGAGCTCATACTTGCAGATACGTTTTCCAGTAACCCACCATGCCTTATCCATGAGTCTGTGCTGGGTGGGAGGTGTGTGTTGGCAGACACCTTCTGGTCTGCTTCTTTTCCAAAGATGAGGTATATTGATTTGAAACACAGAGAGAGACAGAAAGCTTCCACCTCACCAGTTCACTCCCTATGTGCCTTCAACAGCTGAGGTAGGGCCAGATCAAAACCCAGAGCCAAGAAAACCATCTGGGTCTCCCATGCGGTGGCAGAGAGCCACGTACTTGGGCCATCGTGTGCATGGAATTGGAAGCAGGGCTGGGACTCAAACCCAGGCAATCTGATATGAGATGTAGGTGTGCCCCATGTGGTATATTCATGGTTGTACCAAAAAATAAACCTCCTGAACACTAGATATTGACACCAGTCTTCTACAAATAAGGATAAAAGGTCAAATAAAAAAATAGTTGTTTATTTTAACCATGTGACTGCTCTATCCCTCTGGGGGAGTGCCATCTCCATGGAAAGCCAGATTCTGGTGGTGCTTGGCTTAGAAGAGAATCTGCCTAGAGCAGAGCTTAATGCTGAAAGCTGCTCACGGATCAGCTGAATCGAACACTACATTTCTCACCTTCTAGCCTTGGGGTTTGTGGGTCATGTTCTTCATTTCCCCTAGTACTGGTTCCTTTCTCTATCATGCTAAAGGGATGATGAGGCGCAACCCTTATCTTCCACACTAGGTTGCCAAAACCATCAGCAGATAAGCTCCCCGGGTGTTTGGAAAACTCAGAAACCCTGGAAGCCCTCACAATTATGGAATCAAACTCTGGGAGACAGCCCAGCATCTGTCATTCCCATTCAGACAGATTCTTTCTGCCTGCTGTGCATGTGAGACCCACCGGCAGCCATGGAAGGATTCATCAGGACAAACCATGTGTGTGCTTATCATCATGCCTGGCACAGAGTGTTACTAAGCATGGCAGGTGCTGAGGAAGGTTGATCCTGATGCCTCAGTCACAGGATGTCCCTGGCCTGTGCTACTGACCTCCTGGAGCCTAGGGGAGGAGGGAACTGGTCATCGGGCACTCACAGGTGAACAGAGCAGTGCCCACAGCTTGCTTGCCTGGGCACCCAGCAGAAATCCTTCTCTGTATCTGCTATCTATTGTTCTTGCCCTTTTTTCCCTCCTAGTTCTTCCCTCCTCAGTCTTCCAACCAGACCCTGTTCTTCCCATCCAAGCACCTGGCCCTCAGCCAGCTGCAGCAGGGAGTTGAAGTCAGCTGCCGTCTTTACCTGCAGAAGTTTCCCACTCGGCCTCCTGGCCCCTGCTTCTGTTTGTCATCAGCACTCCTCGTGTGGAGTTGTGTGACTCAGGAGAGCATTGAATCCCTTTGTTAGTTGGAAAGGTTGATACTCAGAGACACAAAGAGAGTAACCCAGGCTGCCCAGAGCTTCTGAGCGCTGGTATTGAAACCAGGTTCTCTGACCTCCACATTCCAGTGTTGTCTTATAGAACAGATTTAGATAGATAGATGATAGATAGATAGATAGATAGATAGATAGATAGATAGATAGATAAACATATAGATATATCTGTATTCCAATAGATACTTAAAACCAAAGTGATCATCAGAGCAATTCATCCAAAAACCCAGAAGGGCATGTGTTCCAGGAGAAAGTTGAGAAGTTCTTCTGAAATGACTCTGGTTAGTTGCTGTCTGAGTCGAAGGAGCTTGGACCCTCCTGAACCTTGAATGCTACTTAATCTGCCAAAGCACTTCAGCCCCAGGAAGCAATTCAAGACTTCTGCCACTTTGCAGGGCCAACACCAATGGCCAGGGCACTCTTCTCACACAGCTCACTTCTCATTTGTCATCCCTGTCACACACATCACCTCCCCGTCACCTTGAGAAGCTACTGGAGCAAGGCTGCACTAACTGGACCTGCTGAGGCTCATCCCAGGAAGAGTGCAGAAAGCACTGGAGCCTGACCACTGAGGGACCCTGACTGCCCGATACAGAGAAATGCCACTTCTCTGGAAAAGTGTGGCACAGGCTTGTTTCCCTGTGGCCAGTCCTGGCAGAACCAATGCAGGTCCAGGTCGGATTCACCCCTCCCTGCCGCCTTGCCTGACCACACTCCTGTCCTAGCACTTGCCACTCCCATTATCTCAGTTATGAAATTTCCTTTCTGGCTTAGGTAATGGGTTCTTGTAAGGTATTTGTTCTGTTCTACTTTCCTTTGAGCTCTGCCATGCTTGACTCAAAGCAGGTGTTCAGGATATATATATATAAGAATAAAAATAAAAGGTTTAGATAAATTAGATGAGATCTTGTTCAACTTTGAGAGACCTTTATTTTCTAGATGCTTGTAGCAGATAGCACTTCTGAAAATGCACCTTAAGGTGGTAGCCATGGCTCAGAGTAAAATGCCAACTCGTACCCTTACCTGCACTTCTGGTTCCGACCCATGTAAAGCCAGTGCGAAGGCTGGACTGCAGAGAGGGGTGTCAATGCCAGGCACTCGGTTGGGTCTAATTATGAAGAACTCACTGTGCCTGTTGCAAAGGGAATCAGCTTGTTCCTCATGTCTTCCAAGGGAGCACACAGACCCAAAAGGGTATACCTAGGAGCTTGCTTGAGATGCACTTGAAAGAGCATCCTAACAAGGAAATGTGCTGAGCCTGCCAATTGGCTGATGCAAAAGTAAGCTCTCCAAACACTGATGACAATTGACAGAGGGCAACCGACCATCACATGAATGATGAGGGTCTCTACACTTGGGCAGAGTATGACTAGTTGAGCCTGAAGGTGACATCTGTCACCAACATTTATTTTCTATTTCTGCTGCTCACTTGAGTGTGGATTTAGCCATCCATTCCAATGGTTCCAGTCCATTTATATCCCCTTGAACACTCAAGGGGGGATATTAGGTGAATTGACACAAGGAAGTGATTGGCTACGGTGTCAGGATTTGAGGGGGGCTTAATCAGGTTTCTCATGGACACACAGATGCATCTTTCTTGTTCATATGAGCCAGATGTCTCCCATTTCTCAAAGTGCATTGTCTAAAACTTGGTCTGATTCTACTGCCAAAGAACTGACAACAATAGGAGGGTTGCTAAGTGAAGCAGTGGCAGCCCCAGCCCCTGATCGCTGGGTTTTCAAGACCAGTGGTTCCCAAGGAAACACCAGAATCAGGGAAGGGCTTTAAGCAGATTGGCTGTGGGGTGGCACAATGAAGCCAGTGGCACAATTAAGCTCCTGTTTTGGCTGCTCAGCTTCCAATCCAGCTCCCTGCTAACAAGCAAGAGAGAACTGCAAATGGTGGCTTGAGTGCTTAAGCCCCTGCCACCCACATAAGAGTGGAGGATGGAGCTGTAGGTTCCTAGCTTAGGCCTGGCCCAGCCCTGTTGTTGCAGCCATTTGGGGAGTGAACCAACACATAGACATCTCTCTATCATTCTGCCTTTCAAACAAATCTTAAAAAAAAAAAAAAAGAAAAATAAAAGAAAAGAAAGAACATCAGTGGTAACTAATTCTAGCATGACTTCATTATTTTTGGACAATTCATCCCTTGAAACATTAAAGAAGAAAATTTAAAGAGTGTTCTGGTTATCAAAAGTTGGAATTGAAAATGTAAGGTCTGCCTACATTGGTGCATCACTTCCTCCCACTGTCTCTTCACATCGTCTACACAACTGTCAGTGTGATGGCATCGTGTTCGCCCCATGCTTTTCCTCTTTCAGACGAGCCAAGCAGATTGTGCTGAAGTTTGAAGGGAGGTTGACCAGAACCCGAGGCTACCAAGCAGCAGGTGCAGAGGTAAAGATCGTGCAGAAGCCCTGCCCACACCCCCTCAGCTGTGGTCGCCAGGAAAGTTGTGCTTTTCACTGCACTTGCCGTGGTACTTGGACTGCCCGCAGCTGCAGAGCAAGATAAAGAGCTAGAGAGCAGGAATTTCCCCAAACTTGGATTCCAGCCTGTGCTTCAAACGGTGTGACCTGGGCAAGCCTCATGCACTAGGAAAAGGATGTCTTCCCTGTAGGAATAGTCTAGCATCTTCTCTTACTCCATCCCACTCATTCCAGGGTGTTTCAGATTGTTCATGGAAAACAGCAGTCAGGGATAAGTGTGTTTGGATGAAAAAAAAAATCCTTGCAGTTTTAAATGAGCTTTTGGAAGGTTTCTCATATGCATAGATTTCAAAAATTTGGCACTAAGATATATGCATCTCTTAATTTCATTTTTTACTAATGCTTTAAAGTGCATTCCCAAGAGTAAGCTGCATTTTGTTTTGCACTGTGTATAGTTGCAGGCATGTTCAGATGTCCACTTCAGAGCACAATGCCAAGATTTATGTTTGCTTGGTTTCCCGTTCAGTTGCTAAGGGCAAAACTTGACACTGACACTATCTATTATAAAAACACTTCATAAGTGTTTAGAAAGCAAAGATTTAAAAAATCACTTTTCTTCCTGTGCCTCCCGTCCTCGATATGGTGTCCTTCCAAAATTCTCACATATTAGTAATCGCATAAATACCTACTTCTCACACCAGATTATAGTGTACCAAAAAAAAAAGTCTTCTTCTTTTTTCACTCATGCATGCTTTGCTTTTAATGACTAGGTAACAGTTCATCAGATAAGTAAATATCAATTTAATTCTTCATCTGTCTGCTGGATTCAGTATTTGCAGGATTTTGTCATCATCAGCAGAAATCCTATTGAGAACATATGTACACATGTGACTTTCCCTATCTTTTCTCATTCCTTGAAGGATAAATGACAGAGCTATGATCACTGCAGAAAAGACTATGACCTATTTCTTTCTTGATTCTTAATATCTTAACAATAATTTCTCAAGAACTTTAATAATTGATATCAGCCACAATTAAAGAACTTATTAGTCTCCTGATAGCTGCCCCAAAGTTGAAAATTATATATATTTTAAGTTTTGAGGTTTTTTTTTAATTATTTGCTTGTCTGAAAGGTAAAATAACCATAGCAGAAAAAGCAGAAAGAAGAAAGAGATCTTTTACTTGCTGGCTCACTCCCTCAGATTCCCACAACCGCCATGGTAAAGTCAGGCTAAAGCCAGAAGCCAGGAACTTCAGCTTGTTCTTCCCCATTGTCACAAAGGTCCTAGCCCTTGGACCATTCTCTGATGCTTTCCCAGGCACATTGGCGGGGAGCTGGACCGTTAGTGCAGCTGCCAGGACTCATTCATGCCCAGACGTGATGCCTGCATCACAGGTGCAGCTTTACCTACTACACCACAACAACAGTCCCAAGAAAACATTCAAAAAATAGCACAACGCTATTCCCTTGGGTTCAGATGAAGCTGGGGCTGGCATTGTGGCATAATGGGTTCAAGTCCCGGCTGCTCCACTTCCAGCTCTTTGCCAATCTTCTGGCTCCTGGTGGCAGCTTGGCCTAGCCCTGGCTTTTGAGGATATCTGGGGAGTGACCTAGCAGATGAACAATCTCTCTCTGTCTCTCTCTCTCTCTCTCTCTCTCTCTCCCCCCTCTGCCCCAACTTTCCCGAACTTTGCCTTCAAACAAATAAAAAGATCTTCATAAAAAAAAAAAAAAAAACATAAAGCAATGCAAGGTACTGGTCTATTAGTACCAGTAAATTGAATGCGAATTACACATCCAACATGGTAGTTGAGCCCCTGTGTCTGACTCTTAAGCTTTTTCCTAGTTCTAACATTCCGTGTCTTTTGTTTCCCTCATGATACCAGTAAGAGACTTCAGGCTTCTGAGAGCAAGCATGGCATGATTGGTCAAGGACACTCTCTCTTCAGGAAACATCTGTCTTTGATGGGATAATCACTGGGGGCTCCCTAAAAGGAGTCCCCTACAGACCCCTCACCTCTGCTCAGGAGCCAGGGCAACCTTTGAAACAGAAAATAGCCCATTTTCCCCTTTCTTATAATAGTAATAATAACGACAACAATAGTAATAATAGCTCAGTACAGGTAGCACTAAATCCAGACCCCTTTCCATGGCCCACATAATCTGGCCATTGTCTACCTATTGGATTTCAATGACTCAGTAATGACCTCCCCAGCTACACGGCCCTTGACCTCAAGGTTTTTCTCCCCCAGAACTAAAAAACAGTGACACATGGTGGCCTTGATTGTGTAGCCCCATCTCCCCTCTACTCAAAAGCAAACCACCCCAGCTGAGCTTACGTATGCCTTCTGCACTGCCTGTATGCCCAAGAAACCACAGCCTAGATAGCCTGACACTCACTGTGAAGAATTACACCTCGCATAAACTCTGGTATGTCTGGTTGACATTAGGAACCTTTCCAAAGAGGAAAGAAGGAGCTGATTCTTCCCAAATGAAGCTTTCAAAATTAAGGTAGTAAAACAACAAGTTCCAGATGAAATAATTTACCAACATTTAGCAGTGCCCCAAACACAAGTTCTTCCCCAAACTTAGGAACCCAAGTCCACAAAAAAAACAAAAAAACGCTGTGTTCCAAGTTTGGTTTCCCTTTTCTCTGCCTCAGCTTTGCTGTTAATATCTTGGATCACTCCGAAGTCTCAAGGCGTTGGCCATGAACATTTGGTGCCAATCTTCCTAGAAACCTGACAGTTTCCACAGGGTTTATCAAACATTGGCTATTGATAAGTCACCTTTTCCAATCATGCTCGCCTCTAGGAAACTCCTCCAGGGACAGCTAGAGTTGACTGTCGTTGCTGGTGTGAGCTTCTGGGCACTCTAGACTGAGTCTGGGGCCTCTGGCTCTCCAAGTACATGGCCGCAGAAGGGACTGCACATTTCCTATCTATAGATGCTGCACTGTTTTCACCTGTATTGTGCATTATGATCATTTGTCAAGGGGCATAGTAAGACAGATGCAGAGCTAAAACCGAACTCCTATCTGCTCCTCCATGCAGTCTTCTTAGACTGTGGAACTTGAAAAACAGGCCCAGAAGCTCCGACATTTTCTAACCCCAAACCCTTGCCAAGGGATATGTGCGCACCCAGCAAAGGTCCCTGAAGCCTTAATCTTCCCCTCGATGGCTAGGGGAGAAGCCAGATGGAACAAAATGATGGTGATGTCAGGTAGGATGTGAGACGCATAACAAGGGAGACCAGAGATGATCCCCAGGGGAGTTAACAGGGAGAAGAAGTTTCTGGTTACTGAGACCCTGTGGGTGATGGGAGAGATTGTGTCAGAAGCTTGATCCACAAGCGTGGAAGAACACTTCCGACTTCTGATAAAATTTTGACTTGCATTTGCAAGCAGCCGTCTGGCCTGAGCAGACACAGCCAGAACGACATTAACATCCGCGACTGTGGCAGGCCCGGGTGCTGCCTTACAGTTCACAATGTGGTAATTGCATTTGTCCCCCTTTTTTCTGCTATGATATCATTTGCCTCCAACACAAACCCAGATTGTTTGTGTGTTAAAATGCATGACCTGCCCATGTTCATTTATTTATGTATGTATTTATTCATTCATTTGCTCATTTATTGGAAAGCAGGGCCACTGTCAGGTTGTATTCTCCTTGGAGGAAAAACAAAAAAATGTTTTTGAGCTTTTGGCAATTACATCTGAAATCCACAAGGCAGGCTGCATTTCCAGGCCTTATTCCTAGCACCTTTGGTCCCGAGTAAGGCTGAGGAACCACCAGCCAGCTGCAGACTGCAAGGTGCATGGGCTTGTGTCAGGGGAGACTCTTGGTCTTTGGTGAGGGATGAGCTGCAATCACCTGGAGGGTTGGGTCATCTCTTAGCTACCTTAAGACTATGGTGAAGCCACATGGGTGTGAATCTTGACTTCATTCCTGAGGTCATTCCCATTGTCCTTGGATGCTGTGTCATGAATGGTACAACATGGTAAACCATCCCCCTATGGAACATGGCCTTCAATGCAGACATCATGGGTTGAAGCCCAAGGCAAATGTCTACTCCCCTGGTCAATAGCATAGAGGACAAAAGGGCACTTGGGCCCTAGCCAGTGCTTCCATCATCAGTGGTACCAGTAGGGTGACTACCAGACCCCTACCCCAGGGAAATCTAATCCAGCTCCTTCCTTCCCAGCTCTGGAAGAAATTTGCTCGCCTCGCCTGCAACTTCATGGTCATATTCATTCCCTGGGAAATGAGGATAAAGAAAATCGAAAGTAAGTCATTGCGCCTGAGTGTATGGCAGGCAGGCATGTGGCACCTGAGGCCAACTCACAGCCCGGATGGGCCTGGTGGGCCCTGGTCCTTGTGCCACATGCCAGGGATTCTGGCATAGCTGGTGTTGCACCAATGCAAAATGTAGGATATGGGACATGGGACAGGAAGCAAGGGCCTGTCACATCTCCTCCCTCAACACACCTTCCCAAAGTAGCTTTGCTGGTCTCTCCTGGTACATTTGCTCTCTAGTTCATTCACCATGAATGCAATGAACAAACATAAACTCCATTTTCTGAGAAACCATTGTAGTCATGGAGGAAAAAAATTGCTAAAAAAATAAATCATATCCACAATTACACATACGACACATGCAGCACACGATATACAAATAAACTGATAAATCCAAAATTAAAAATATCCCAAATTGGACCACAGGCTATAGAGACATGGAAAGATTTGGTAGTTGTCATAATGGAGGTCCTGTCCTCCAGTGGGGAGATCAGACCATGACGTTGGCTTCTGGCTTCGGCCCCAGCCCAGCCCCAGGGGTTCTGGACACGGAGGGAATGAATCAGAAACAGCAGCTCTCTGTTTTGCCTCTCTCTTTGTTCCTCACTCTCCAGGTATCTCTGCCTTTTAATTTTAAAAAAAGTGATTTGATAGAACAAGATCACTAAGCAAAGCCCCATGATCTTTTTATCACATTAAAAAAAAAAAGAAATTTTCACCCAAAGAGAGGTTTAATAATTAAAAGTTCTCTAAATGAAACACTTAAAATTCATCTTAGAGTAGCAACCGAGAAAGCACAAAGAGAGATGTCCATTTTATCCCATTGTTTAGGGAGGCAGAATAAGGGAGAGTAAGCTAAAAACTTCAGAGACGAGGATTTCATATAAGCCGTTCATTCTCATGGTCTCATCTTTTCTTCAGGTCATTTCGGGTCAGGCGTGGCCTCCTATTTCATATTCTTGAGATGGCTGTTTGGGATTAATATCGTGCTCACAATCATGACAGGGGCTTTTATTGTCATCCCCGAGGTAAGGCCTGTGCCGGCAACGAAAAATGCACCCTGTGTTGGGAGGAGAAGTGAGAGAGCCATGCGTTAGAGTGAGCACTCTCGCTATCCCAGTGAAGTGCATACGGTCAAAGGCAAACAGGGGTCACCAGCGTTCCCCATAAAGGGCCAGATGCTAAATATCTGAGGCTCCGTGGGCCCACAGTCTCCACCACAGCTGCCACAATCTGCAAGCAGGCCTGGCTGTGCACCACTTCAATTTTCTATGTGGACCCCTCCCCCCATGTTGTTTTTATGCAATCACAAAATATGATTCTTCTTTGGATTTTTTCTTCCTTTTGGGCCATTTCAAAATGCAGAAACCAATCTCAGTTCCCAGGCCATAAGAAAACAGACAAGGGCCCAGACTAGGTCTAACATCTAGTTTGCCAATTCACTTCTCCACCGAACTTCAGCCTCATAAAAGTAACAGAGCCATTGGCGATGCCTTTACCAATACCCCCATAGACGCAATGTCTCACCCAGACAAGGTCCCCTCAAATAAGAGAAAAATCTAGTTTCCCAGGGATGAGAATTAAGCAGAGATCCAGCTCTCCATCCCCCAGGCGTGGCCTCTCTACCTCCCAGTGCCCTCCTGCAGGACCTCCCAGGAGACCCTTTGTTCTCTTCCCAGCTGATAGCCGGCCAGCCATTCGGAAGCACAGCCAGCAAGAGCATCCCGGGAGAGCTCCTGGCATCGGCCCAAGACCTGGACACCGTCTGGTCCCTGGGGGTGAGGCTGGTGCTTGACCTTGCCCCTGCCAGGTGGGAGGGACTTGATGTGCTCTGAGAATCGGGAAGGACCCGGGTGCGTTCTCTTCTCAGGGCTATCTGCAGTACTCAGTCCTCTTCTACGGCTACTACGGCAGGGAGAGGCGGATCGGGAGAGCAGGCTACCGGCTGCCCTTGGCCTACTTCCTGGTGGGCATGGCGGTGTTCGCCTACAGCTTCATCATCCTCTTGAAAAAGTACGAGCGCTCGGCTTCTCCCAAGGCCATTTGGAGAGCCGTGGGCCGTGTGGGCTAGCTGAATCTTGCCAATAACGCTGCCAAGCGAAGGGATCACTGTGTTCATTTCACAGATGAGGAAGGCTACAGGATTTTGTCTTCCTTTCTAACCAGCAATGATGGAACACTTAGAACTGGGTGCTAGGATCTGTGCTGGGTTCTAGAGGAGACAAGAATCAGGTAGACTTAACAGCGGATCCCATTTTAGGTAATGTTCTAGCTGAGCCAATAGAGAGCTAAACGCCAAGTGTGACCTTGTGGCCTGCCAGATTCTTTTCTAGAAAAGATGTATTAAGTATGTATTTATTCATCTATTCATTTGAAAGGCAGAGAGAGAGAGAGAGAGAGAGAGAGAGAGAGAGAGAGAGAGAGGAGATCTTCCTACATGCCCATAACAGTCAGCATTGGGCGAGGCTGCAGCCTAATGCTGGGAGCTCCATTCAGGTCTCCCACATGGGGTGGCAGAGGCACAGGGACTCAACTCATGCCTCCAGGATACCCATTTGTGGGATGCTGGATCAAAGCAGAGATGTTTGGGTTGGGCTGCTGGCAGCCCAAATGGCAGCTTAGCCCACTGTGCCACAATGTTTGCCCCCTTTGCCTGGGCTGTGATGTACCTGGCACACCTTTTGAATCCCTGAGAGGAAACAAGGTTAAAGAGTTGCTATGTCACCTCTCTGTGGCACCTGCAGGAACTCGCTAGCCCTCAGTGGACCTCATCTGTTACATGGACAGGCACCCTTCCAGCATGGACTGTCTCTAGCAATAGAAGTACAGACCAGCGTTTCCTTCCCATTTCCACCCCTATTGCCCCTTTTTATTCTCTCTCCCCATCCCCTTGGCTCACCTTGCTACACCTCTCTGATCTGAGCCACCTCCCTTTATCACCCTGCCTGTTGTGGTTGCGTCATTTAGCAAAGTGTAGAGCAGAACAGAGTGTTAAACCTGAACACAGGAGGGCCAGCCTAAGGGACAAGCAGAGTTCCAAGAGATGGAGGATCCCAGCCCTTGATTCCCAGTACCTAAAGGTGGGTGAGTGGGTGGGTCCACAGCTTCACCAAGTCCCCAAGGGCTAGAGTGACTGCAGGCAGGCCCTCCGAGAAGGCAGCTTCTGTAGTTTGTACATAGAAGAAGGATGGCCAGTTCCTCAGGGTACACACACCTGCAGTGACCGGCTGCCCCTCCGTGGCCACTCCAGTGCTCACACTATGCAAAAGAGCTAGCCAGAAGTGTGGACTGAAGGCCAGGCAGGGCTCTGCGTCCACCACAGGGGGCAGCTTTGCCACATGGCCACCAAGGCTCGGAGTGAGCCTGCCCAAGCCCCCAGGGATGAACCCACATCTGAAACTCTTCCTATCACCTTGTCCTGAGCCCTCTTTTGCAGGATGGCCAAGAACTCCCGCACCAGCCTTGCCAGCGCCTCCCACGAAAACTACGCTTTCTGCTGGCGAGTGTTTTGTGCCTGGGATTACCTTATTGGGAACCCCGAGGCTGCAGAGAGCAAAACAGCTGCCATTGTGAACAGCATCAGGGTGAGTGAGCGAGCTGGATCAGGTTGCAGAGAGAAGGCCCTGAGCAGGGTGAGCTCAGAGGGTCTGAGTCTGAACCGCCTGGGTCCCCCAAAGTACCTGCTGCCCACATGCTGGCCCAGGGAATACAGCCATGGCCTCGTGGATTGTGGGAAAGAAGTAACAGAGCACCCCCTTTACAGTCCTTTAAAAACATCCTTCTTGTAACACTTCAACCTGTGTATTCTCGATCAATAAGATCACATGTCTAGAAGGATGTTTCAACAACTTCTTGGAAAGATAGAATTTAAAGGGAAATTTTATTTTGTGCATAAATTTTCTGTGATGCGTGTTTTTCATTATTATTTTTTTAAATTCCTAATGTAATCCATAAGCAATAAATACATACAAAAGGTGGGCGTGGGCTTTTAATCAAACCTGAGAAGCTCATGCATTCCAAAGCACTCAGGGACTTGGACAGCTAACTGATGCCCACCTGAGACCAAAGAATTTGGGCCATTTACATGATTCTAGCCATTCCCTTTGTACAGCCTTCAATTGATTATCAGCTCATTGGCACATAAGGGGTTGGTAGCCACAAAATCTTCCAGAATGAAGTTTCAGGCAGAAGAGACAAGGGTCTGAGGGCTGGGGAAGCCATTATTAGGGGGGTTCTAATTCATGGCAGTGCTGAGATGTTCATGCTGGGTCTGTTTCTCCTGCCAGGAGGCGATCCTGGAAGAACAGGAGAAGAAGAAGAACAAAAGTCTGTAAGTGCTGCTGCTCCCCGGCCCGGGCTGCTCGCAGGGGGGATTTTATTTCACTTTGGGACAAATAACACAGGTGTCTGTGTTTTCTTTTTGCAACTGCCAGCTGCTCTTCTTTCTCTGTCAGATCCACTTATCCAGGCATGTGGTCTGAGGGCACAGGGTGCTTTTTTCTCTAACAGGATTTATAAGGGGGTCTTTCTCCCTCCACAAATCCCTCAACAAGTCTCAGGTTGCCCAGTTTTCTGCTTTCTTATTTTAGATAACAAAGCAGGTGTTTGCCTATCTTTTTTTTTTTACAAGTTTTATTTTTTAATAATGATTTCATGGTTATCCGGGTGGGGAAGATCAAGGTTTAGGGAAAATTGGGTGAACTCATTGCTTCCAAATTTGCTATTTCTTCTTGTTCCTGGGAGAAAGGGAAAGACAAAGGCGAAAACCACTCGTGATTTCCCACACGTCCCAGTACCCAGGGATGAGGAACTGCCACCTCATATCAACCCAGAGTCTTGATGTGTACATATCCTGAGGGTTCTATTGAAGTGGTTTGGATAGTTCTGGAAATGCTGCCGATTTCACTGATCCAAGGATGATGTCACCTTCCCAGTGTCCGTTGGCTCCATTGATGAAGGTTTTTTGCTGTCATTATTTGCTTGGGGTAGTTGTCCAGCTAGTTCTATTCTTCTGTTACAGCACCAAATGTGCTGCCATATTCTCCTTTTACAACAGGGCCTGTGTCCTCTGCTCCACCTTTTTCATTAAGTAGGACATGTTCTTGCAGGCAGGTCCAAGTACCTGGGCCAAGCGTCCCAAACATCACCGGATCCCCAACCTGGGGGCACACAAACCTACCCCGGGTCTCGGGGATCACCTACTAGGTGGGTACCGGGTTTGTTTATCTTTTTTAAAGATTCGTTTTTATTTACTTTTTTTATTGGAAAGGCAAATTGACAGAGAGAAGGAGATATACAGAGAAAAATCTTCTGTCCATTGATTCACTCCCCAAGTAGCCACTAAGGCCAGAGCTATGCCGATCTGAAGCCAGGAGCCAGGAGCTTCTTCCAGATCTTCCATGCAGGTGCAGGGTCCCAAGGCTTTGGGGTATCTTCAACTGCTTTCCCATGCCACAAGCAGGGAGCTGGATGGGAAGTGGAGCATCTGGGACCCAAACCAGCACCCTTATAGGATCCCAGTGGATATAAGGCGAGGATTTAGCCACTAGGCTATCACACAGGGCCCCAGGTGTTTGCTTATTTTTATACAAAAGGAAGAGCCACAGAGACATGCAGGCAGACTGGCCAAGCTCTCATCTTGCTGATTCACTCCCCCAATTGCCCAATACAGTTGGGGCTGGGTCAGACTGAAGCCATAAAGTTGGAACAGCTTCATGTATGGCAGAGACCCAGGTACTTGAGCCAGCACCACTGCTTCCTGGAATACACATCAGCAGGAAGCTGGGGTCAAGGACGGCAGTGAGACCTGGATCACTGCTCATTCTGAGAGCCGCCCACACCCCAAGAGGCACGCAGGTGAAGAGCCCACGGCCTGTCTCACAGTTGCTTAGCTGCCCTGCTGAGGTCACGAACACCTCGGTGTGTCACATTACTGTAGCAGCTGAGGACACGGCAGCAAAAGCCACTCGTGTGTGAGAACTGATAGCTGTCAGGGCAGAGATGGCAGAAAAGCTATCAGTGGTGGTGCCTGGGCTGTGCCATGTCAGGTGCTTTCTATAGAAGAACAAGCAAACTCTGGGTCTTCCCTCCTCCCCTTCCTCTCCTTCTATTTCTCCCTGCTCCCTTTTTCCCACTGTTGAATGCATTCCCTTGGAACCTTGCAAGGGCGGCCACCATAATGGGCCAAGCCTGAACTTGAAGCCACTCAGCCACTAATAATCAGGGTTGCTCATGTGTTTACTTAAATCAGCACTGGTGCCTGTTGGTTGAGATTGCCATTCATTGTTCGTCTGTTAGAGACAGGGATTTGGGCTGAAAGAGGATGACTATGCAGAAGTGCCCTGGAGTGTGAGTATGCTGCTGCCCCATGTATCCATCCCTAACGCTTACCTCCTTCCCCACCAGGGCAGTGACCATCTGTCTGCGGATTGTGGCCAACGTCCTGGTGCTTCTCTCACTGGCTGGGAGCATCTACCTCATCTACTTCGTGGTGGACCGCTCTCAGAAACTAGAACAATCCAAGAAGGAGCTGACGCTCTGGGAGAAGAATGAGGTACCCCTCCCAACCCGTCCCCTCACAGCCCGCATGTGCCCGCCAAGAGGGACAAGGATGGGGTGTGCACCTCTGGCTCTCAGGGGGGCTGGATGGGGACATCTCCAAGGGATCACTGAGCCATCTTGTCATTGAATTTGGACTACTGTAAGGGCTCGGAGTGGAGTGGCAATGGCAAGGCTTGACTGAATGAGTTTGTTGGTATCATGGGGAAGGATTTTGTTCTCAACTGATGCCATCTGTGCTTTGCTGTCCACATATCTCTTCCTTCACATCCTAGTTTCTTGAAGTGAATTCCACCTGCATGCTTGCAGTGACACCTACCCTATTCCATGGCTGATTGGAACTGGCTGCTAAGCACTTGGGTGTTGTCATGGTTTTCCCTTTTGCTTTTTAATTTGTGCGACTCAAGGAAAGAGATGGAGAGAGAGAGAGAGAGAGAGAGAGATCTCATCTGCTGGTTCACTCCAAAGATGTCCATAACTCTTAGAGCTGGGCCAAGGCCAAAGCTGGAGCTAAGAACTTAGTCCAGTTCTCCCATATGGGTCAGGAGCCCAACTACTTGAGCCATCACTGCTGCCTCCCAGTGTGTTCAGTGGGGAGTAGCTGAAGCCAGAGCTCAGACACAGGGACTCCAGTGGGACAAGGTGATCATTGAACAAAATGCCCACGACTGGCTTTTCTTTTTTCAAGATTTATTTAAAGATTTATTTATTTATATTGGAAAGTCAGATATTCAGAGACAGAGAGAAAGATCTTTCATCTACTGATTCATTCACCAAGTGGTCTCAACAGGCAAAGCTGAGTCAAGCCAAAGCCAGAAGCTTCTTCCAGGTCTCCCACGCAGGTGTAGGGTCTCAAGGCTTTTGGACATCCTCCACTGCTTTCCCAGGCCACAAGCAAGGAGCTGGATGGGAAGTGGAGCAGCTGGGTAGAACTGGTGGCCATATGGAATCCCAGTGCATTCAAGGAGACGACAGTAGCTACTAGGCTACCATGCTGGAACAATTTTTCTCTATTTCCAAATCACAAGGGAGACCTTCACAAGCAGCTCCACACTCCAAAGAGCTTGTTCTGGAAATAGTCTCCCCTCCTTCCTGGTCTGAATATTCCATTAAGGAGAAGATTGCCAAATGGGAGACTAAGGGAAATTTTAGAATTCCCAATATTTGCTATCAGGCTGCTGTTTTGACCCAACTTATCTGTAAAGATGTAAAGGTGGGAACAGCACAGAAACCACCTGTCATATTTGCACTATACAAATGATAACGATCTTCAGAGACTTGAAAGGCCAAGAGCCTAGGCAGCAGTAAGGTTTTAGTTCACCTGCAAAGAATGATTTATTAAAAACTGACACTGAACTGAGTCAACTTTTCCCATACCTCTACTTCCTGACAGTTAAATAACTTTATATTAGTGCTGGCTTATTTGTTTACAGATAGATGGATCGCTGTTGTTGTTTTAACAGATATGTCCTGAAATCATTTCCTATTTTAGCTGAAACATCTCATTGTATGAGTTAAAACTCCTCTTCACTTTGCCCCAACTACAAGAAACAAGAGCCAGGCATCATACTCTGGGTAATTAATCCTCCATGTATGGAAAGAAGATTAAATTACCTCTCTGCTTTCCTTTTTCTATTCATAATGGTTGCAGTTGTTTTCATCTTCTACCCAAGGTCAGCAAAATATAAATAGAGGGAGGTTGTAATTGGAAAATGTGGTTTCTGTGCGAGCGAGTCCCTGATGGCACACGTGAGGGCCTGCAGAACCTTTTGCAAGAGCTCCTTGGAGGATTCCACCTGTAACCAAATGGGACTGGCTTTGGCCAAGGGAATAACAGCTGCAACTGAGGAAGATTTTTCCATTTGGGGATTGCCTGATCCTAGCCAAATATTACACAAAGAGACCAAAGCTGGGCAAGGGGAATCCTGGAGTACAATGTACCGTGTGTTCTCTTGGCAGGTGAGTGTGGTAGTCTCTTTGGTCACCATGTTAGCACCATCAGCATTTGACCTCATCGCCGCCCTCGAGATGTACCACCCACGGACAACGTTGCGCTTCCAGCTGGCAAGGTAAGGGAGCTGGGGTGGTGAGTGCCATGCCCATTCACCTGCTTAGGCACAGTAGGCATGGAAGTCCTTTCAAGCCAGGGCTTGTTTCTTGTGCCCTGATGCTAAGCAAGGACTCAACCAGTAGATACAACTCAAAAAAAGCAGGCAGCAACAGGAGACAAGTGGGAAAAGGCAAGGCAAGGGGAGGACCAGGATGACAAAGAGAAAAGGAATAGGTTAAGCAGTCCTAGAGAAGAGGAGAAGGCAGAGATGGAAAAGGAGGAGGAGGAGGTGAAAGAAAAGGGGGAAGAAGGGAAGGAAGAAGAGAGAGGTAGGAAGATACAGCAAACACCAGTAGGATCGAGAAGACGATGGGACATGTCTGGTTCTCCCCACCATGTTTTTCCATGGCTTGCCATGACCAAGGAAAGGGAACCAAATCATTGTCCAGACGAGAGCAGAGCAGTTCATGCTTTGACAACAAATTCTTGAAGCACAGACTCAAAGAGCTCTCGTGGATCTACCTGGAAGCTTCTGGAGTCATCCAAGCCAGTCAGGGGCAGACCTGAGCAGCCACAGACCAGTGCACCTGAAGGAGCAACCTGGGACTTTCTGCAGGTGTCAAACACGTGCATCACTTAGTGCTGGCTTCGGCATTGCCTTCCTGAGCACTCCACCACCCACTGCCAAGACCGAGCTGTGATCTGTACCTTAGCCCGTGGGTTTCAGTGAGTTATCCACAGAGTTGGAGCCAAGGAGGAGTGTTAGAGCCTTGGTTCCTTGATCCTACCTTCCCCCTTAGTCCATATTTAGTCTGATTTCTCCATCTTTTCTCAAAGAACACCTGAGAATATTTCTACAGCTCTGCTGGGGAGATTTGCCCTCATTTAGGAGTTGTCAGCCATCTGGTGATAAGGACTCAGTCACAAAGGTTTTAGGTGTGTGGGTGTTGTGCAATATGTGCAAAATACTCGATGCTCACATGAGAAAATACAACCACGAGAGGCTGCAAGCATGCTCGAACACAGCCTTCTTTACAAAGCGGGGAGGTGAACGTTTCCAACCCCCACAATCCAACCATCATTTTAGTGACGAGAAAGAACTAGTAGTCAGACGAAGCTTCACCATCAAGAGAAGATCGGCGTGAGGCTTGCAGCCTCTGGCTCCTAACCCTGCATCCTTGGCTGCACTGCCGCCCTGCACGGGAGAAGTATCTTCCTCAGCTCCTTCCTCACCAGCAAGCACTGGAGAGAATCAATTCCATGATTGCATTTGGCCGAGCAGCAATCCTATTATACAGATTGGCCTCGTTCTTCACGTTCAAAACAGGGAAAACAGAGACGTCCAAAAGCTGGCCTCTGACAAATTAGCCCCGTGTCTGGAAATAAGAGCAACATGCGCTGTTCCAGTCCTGTGAAGCCATCAGCACATCACGGCACCTTTTTTCCAAGGCACAACGGTGATACCAAGAGGAAAGAGGTGAAACAGATTCAGTCTTTCTTTCAGTTCCTCCACACTGCACACCCCTACCTTGTACTGAGGGTTGTGGCCTGTGCCGGCCACTGCAGATGCGCAGCTAGAAGTTCCAGGCACTGTGTCCAAGGAGAGCCTTTCCCGAGTTGCCCACTCATCATCTCCTCAATAGGAAGTTGCCTTCCCGTCAACTGACAATGGCAATTTTACAATTCCCTAAGTGCTGCTCATTGCCCCACTGAACGTTGAGAAACCTGCCATTCTCCATTCTCTTCTCTGTTCTCCAGATGGTTTTCCATAAGACTAGGGCTTCATCTTGAGCAGTGGGTTTTCCAGCACCTTCCAAGTGTAGAGAAATTGGCATCAAGTCATGAGTCATTGGTGCAGGCTGTCTCTAGGAGCTTCCATTCACTGACCACTGTCCACACCTTGGGGCAGGGATGGTGGGGTCCTGTCGTTCAGGGGCAGAGCACTGAGCTTCCACAGTTGCACCCTGACTCTCTCTAGCGCTGTGGCTAGAGAGCATGTCACTTAGCTCCCTGTCCCTGCCCTGTCCTTATGCACATGTCCCATTCAGTGGAGACTATAAGAAGACATACCTCACAGAGCCGCAGTGGGTTACAAAGGAGACAGTGCCTGGAAAGTTCCTCGCTAAGCCAAGGCATCACACAATGACACATGCTTCATCAGGCACACTAGAGTTCTACTTTCTAAAGCCACACTCTTTTTTCTTCTATTCTTGTATTTCTAAAATGCTGAGCCAAGGCAAGAACTCCCAAGGGAAGCCTATGGAAAGATTTCCAGACTTAGGGTAGCTGGGTAGATTCTGGGATTCTGTGTGTGTTTCAAATGCCCTCAAGGTGATCCCCCAAGGGAGCCAAGGTTGGCAGCCACTGTCGTTGTGTGGCCACAATAGGCTAGACCCATGACCTTGCGCGTGGTGCCCCTTGTGACTTTCAGGGTCCTTGTGTTGTATCTGGGGAATCTCTACAGTCTCATCATCGCCCTCCTGGACAAAGTGAACAGCATGAGCATTGAGGTGAGTGAGCTCTGCACCCCCATCCTGGCTACGCCCTCTCAGCCTTCCCATTCCCCACACACCGGCTCATAGTCAGTGCTCTGTGTAAAACTCCACTAGGGTGTGTGCTTACTTTGCAATAAACAGCCATGCTCCACAAAACAAACAAACAAAAACTTCACCAGGCTGTGGTCTTTTTTTTTTAAGATTTATTTATTTTGACTGGAAAGCCAAATATATAGATAGGAGGAGAGACAGAGAGGAAGATCTTGCATCCTATGATTCACTCCTCAAGCGGCCGCAATGGCTGAAGCTGAGCCAATACAAAGCCAGGAGCCAGGAACCTCTTCTGGGTTCCCCACACGGGTACAGGGTCCCAAGACTTTGGCCCATCCTCAACTGCTTTCCCAGGCCACAAGCAGGGAGCTGGCTGGGAAGTGGGGCTGCTGGGATTAGAACTGGCACCCATATGGGTTCCGGTGTGTTCAAGGTGAGGACTTTAGCTGCTAGGTTACTACTCAGAGCCTGGCCGTGGTCTTCTTACAATAATAGCAAAAATAGCCCCATTCCTCAGCTAAAGAAGCAAGACACATAACTTACAACTAGTGAGTGATGGTGCTTGGAGAAGAACTTGAGGCTGCTAGGTCCAAGTGTCATTGTTCTGCACTACTGTGTTTCATTCTCCACCAGGAAAAGTCATCCACAGCTACTGCAAGGGACCCTGGGAAGAGTGACAGGCCATGGCACTCCCTCGTAAAACCAGGAGAGAAGAAACATCTCCTGAGAAATTGATGAGCCTGGTCCCCACCATTCCAGTCCAGCAGGAACCTCCATTCCCAGTCTACGTGTTTGTGTCCAACCTGGTTTACCTGCCATACTATCCTGTATGATGAAAAGGCAAGCTTTCCCAGGCCTGCGTGCCTAGGGAATGTTTATGATCATGCCAAGGCTTGGTCGTAGGAAAAGGGAGCCCTCAGGAGCCAGCCCCCTCTCCCCTCTCCCTTGACCTGGGGGCCTGGAGATTACAGAGGTCTGGCGCCTTTGATATCCGTGACCGGAAGTCTGACCTTGGAGCTTAGAATAGAATTCAAGAGAGTTCCAACCTCCCATCTGCACTTGGGGTGACGATCCGTATCTGAAACCTTTAGGAACATGAGAAAGGATAGCATAGGGCACCCAGAAGAGCGTCTGACACTTTTTGGGGACCAGTAGCCGCTACTGCCGTACTGTGTTCCATTATGGGACTGTGGGGGTCAATGGTAATCGGAAAGGGAGAGAGAGAATACATGCAACAACCTTGGTGTCCACAATAGATTTTTCCACACTTTTATTTTTTTTGTTGATTTGGCGTGTACAGAGAGAGAAAGTTCCTGTCCATTGGCAGGAACCCACATGACTGAGTTATCATCTGCTGCCTCAGTAGGAAGTTGGACACAAGGCACGCCTATATGAGATGTGGGTGTCCCAACCACCATGGCAAACACCCATCCCTATTATTATTTATGAACACATGGTACCTTCTTCATCCTCCTTCTCTTATTCCCATCTTCTCTCCATAGGAAACTGCTACCAAAAACAACACAAGCTATTGGACAGATCCTGCCACCTTCTTTGCCACCAGGACAGGTCCCGAAGAAGAGAACTGGCCCACTCTTCAGCCTGGAATAGCACCCGGGAGAAACAGCACCTGGGCCTCAGAAGACATGAGCGTGCTTACCTCCACCACGCCACTCACCAAGGCCAACAAGACCACTCTGTCTCCCCAGCGCCTGCAAGGCCAGTGCTGGGAAACATATGTGGGTCAGGTACTTCCCTTTGCCCTTACAAAGCCCTCCGCATTCATTCCATCACTTATCCCGAGCAATCGGAGATGCCATGGTCCCTGTTGCAGAGAAAAAGGAAGACTCGGTGAAGATGATGATTTCAAGGCCTCAAAATCCATTCAAGCAACCAGCACACAGATGCATTACCTGTACCATTAAGTTCATCCTAAATGCCACAAGTGAGGGAAGTGACTCACAAGTGGCCAAATAGCGTGCCCAATGACACCAATAGTCAAGAATGAGCACCCAAACCAACCACCTGCTCCCACATTGTTTTTGTTGTTGTTTGTTTTTGCCCTTGAAACATAATCTTGCATAGTTGACCTCAACCGGGAGACATTGTCGGCTGGATATGAGTCATGGGCTTCCAGAAGTTTCTAAGGCTCAGGACCACAGGCTCAGGACCACAGGCTCAGGACCACAGGGTCTTCCCTTGCCTTAGGTACCAAAATGCAACTGCAAATTAACAACTGTTTTTTGAACACCCATTCTGTGCTAGGACCATGGCAGGGCTGGGCTCCTGGGCACGGACGGGAGCAGGAGGGGTCTGACAGGGGCTGGTGGCAGGGGAGGACTCCCTGTGTTGCAGGAGATGCTGAAACTGTCCATCATTGACATGCTCTTCACCGTGGCCAGCATCCTGCTCATAGACTTTTTCCGGGGACTTTTTGTTCGATATCTAAGTGACTATTGGTGCTGGGATCTGGAGAGCAAGTTCGTAAGTAAAACCCTATCTGTGTCTCCCAGGGAAGCCTGACTGAGGGGACATGTGCAGAGAATATGGGTGACGGAGAAGGGAGGAGTGCATGTAGCTGAATGTCCATTGCTTACTTACAGCGGCCACCTGCTAGGCTAGACACACAGGCAATGTTCTCCCATTGTCTGCAAGGGCAAAGAACTCTACTGCAAGTGTGCTTCGTAAGATCCCTGGAAACCAGAATTAAAAGATTGAGTCAATTTTACATTATGTATTTATTGAAAAGATAGAGCAACTGAGAGAGAATGAGAAAGAGAGAAAGAGAGAGAGGGGGAGAGAGAGAGAGAGAGAAGATTCTATCTGCTCTTTCTGCATCCCAGAGCTGGGCTGCAGCCAGGAGCCAAAACCTCCATCCTGGTCTCCCATGTGAGTGGCAGAGGCTCCAGCACCTGAGCCATCAAATACTGTGTTCCCGGTAACAGGGAACTGAATCAGAAGCAGAGAAGCCAGGACTGGAACTAGCACTCCAATATGCAATGCTGACATTGCAATTGGGAGCTTCACCCAATGCAATGCAACACTGGCCCCCAGAAGATTAAGTTGATTTTAGTGAAAAAAGATTTTTCAATCCGTGACCATGAAATGGGTCTTCAAAAAGCCCCTGGAAAGCTGTATTAACAGAAATTGATGCATGGATTTCAAAAACTTGATATGGCACAATAAACATGCCTTTGAATTCCATGAACTGTTTGAGATACTTTTGCATGGGACTGTATTAACTGGTTTATGCAAAGAACTTTAGTGTCTTTTTCCCCCCCTTAATGAGAAGCTCTTGTTCTTTTGTAGCCTGAGTATGGGGAATTCAAGATAGCAGAGAATGTGCTGCACTTAGTCTACAACCAGGGAATGATTTGGTAGGTACCGACACTGCTCTTCATCGAAGCTTCAGCACCACCTGGCCTCACCATGAAGGAGTCCAGATAGGGCAGGGTTGTGATCACCGCAACCATAAGCATTCAGAACAGGGCTTTCTGAATGAACCACATCACATGTGTGGTCATTTTATGAATGCTTTCTGGGGATTGGGGTGGGGGGAGACGGCACGTTTAGACAGAAATGACAACAGGACCAATCCGTTTTTAAGTCATCATTGAAACACCTGCCCAGGAAGCAGTAGAATCACTCCGCCCAATTATGAAGAGAGAGATGAATGTGTACTATTTGTTTTCCAAAGAGGATCTATCAAAACAGGGGCACACCTCCAGCTCTCGTGACTTCTGTGACTCCCAAAGGGTCACAGACCTTTTGCTGAGAGTATCTGTAGCTCTTCAAACACACACTGTGAACCCCCAATGTCTCAGGGTTCCATTCTTCCATGGGGGTTTCTGCTCCCTGGAGCTTCTGGACCACAGCCCTGGGAGGAGACCATGTGCAGAGACCTCCCTTGTGATTCCAGGATGGGTGCCTTTTTCTCGCCTTGTCTCCCGGCCTTCAACGTTCTGAAGCTCATTGGGCTCATGTATCTGCGGAGCTGGGCCGTGCTGACCTGCAATGTGCCCCACCAGCAAGTCTTTCGGGCATCCAGGTGAGTAACACAAGGTCAGCTTCGTGCAGAAAGCATGTGCCTTCTCTAGGAGGGTCCTGCAGCCACGCCATTGCCCCCCTCCCCCACCCCCGCCCAGCTCACTCCCTGGCCAAACTCTCGCTTGGCTTCCCATTATATTTTTTTGCCCAGGAAGCCATTGATATTCATCATTACTCCTCTTCCATTTGTTATTTGTTTTATAAAGCTTTTTGCTGATGTTTAACTATCATATAGAAAGATCAGATGGGAAGCATCGATATTGAGCTTGAGGGATTTGTACAAGCTGAACACAGGTATATAATCAACACCCAGATCAAAAGTAGGGCACAGGTGACACCTGGGCCACTACCTACATTCTGGAGTCCAGGCCTGGCTCCCAGTGGCATCATCTGGCTTACCCAGCATTCAGCTGCATGTCAGTGGTGTAGCAGGCAGCATGGACTCTGCACTCAATTCTGTTCCTTCTGCACAGTGTTGATGAGATTCCATTTGCTGAAACTTCTGTTCCCATGCTGGTGCTCAAGGCTACCAGGAGAGGGATCCACTTGGGAGGGATGCAGATGGATGGGCAACCAGTCTAAGATGTTTCCTTTGGATCGAGTTTATTTAGCAAAGAGCCATGGGTACGGGATGGCATCACAACTCTCCTGATTGGTGATGAAGAAGTGCTTATCAAACATTTGTTAGATGAACAGGCTGGCTGAGAGGCCTGTGACATCCTTGGAGCACCGACTGTTGGGACTTCAAGCTTCCTACAAGGAATGACACAGCGAGTTGAGTTTGTGTGTTTGCAAAGATTTGGGGTGACAGTTTCGTTGGCATTCCTTTGGCCATATGCATCCTCTACAGGAGCCCCAGGGAGGGGTGGCACTCCATGAAGGGCATTTGTTCTTGTTTGTTTTACAGGTCCAACAACTTCTACCTGGCCATGCTCTTATTCATGCTGTTCCTGTGCATGCTGCCCACCATATTTGCGATTGTCCGGTACAAGCCCTCTCTGAACTGTGGGCCCTTCAGGTAAAGTCACTGTGGTGCTGCCAGCTCCACCTGGAGATGCCGTGAGCCACAGGAGAATTGATTTGCATGCAACTGCACTTTCCTCCTGACTCACAGTTACAGAAAAAGCTCTGCTGAACACAAGACCAGGGTTCTTAGCAAGTTGCTCTCCAGGACAATCATTTCTGCTTGTGTTAACAAGATACAACCCGTTCAGCAGGTGTTGGCCCAATGGTTAAGACACCCACTTGAATATGGGAAATATTCAAGTTCCTGGATGCAAGCTCCAGCTCTGGCTCCTGACTCCAGTTTACTGCTAAGGTGGACCTGGAAGGTGTCAGGAGATAACTCATACAGTCAAGTCCCCATGGGGACCTACACTGAGTTCCCAGCTGCCAAGCATTTGGGGAGAGAGCCAGCAAACAGCTCTCACTCTCTCTCTCCCTCTCTCTCTCTCTGTCCTTTTCTCCCTCTTTCCCTCTCTCCCTCTTTCCCTCTATCCCTCTCTCCCTCTCTCATCTCTGCCTCTCAAATATTACAAAAAATAAATAAATAAATAAAAAGACATAGCCCTTCCAAAAATCAAAAAAGCAAGTTCATAGCTTCTGGGCTAGAGAGAAATCCCATCTGATCAAAACCCAGGAAGTTTGTATTAATAGAGCGAGAGTTCACACCATTTCTTCTACACTCTCTAGCTGTGCCCAGAAGCCCTAAAGCCATGTGCTCCTAACATCAGTCTTAAGTCGATTTGAATGAAACACATCTGTACTTTTTACAGTCAAGCTTTGCTTACACTGTCAAAACACACACAATATTATCACGGAAGCCACTCTTCCTCTGAGCTGTTAGGTACTGAAATGCCTATTTTTGAATGAAGTTGCCTTAGGAGTGTCACGTGCCTTGTGTACATGGATAACTGCTTCTGGCTTTGTGAATATGTTGAGAATCAACCTCAAAGCACTCAGCCACTTTTTGAAGTCCTGCAGCATCCTCTGCTAAAAGCAGTGGCATCTGGAGCTGCATTTCTCTGTGTGTCTCTCGCAGCGGACAAGAGAAAATTTATGACATCGTATCGGAAACGATTGAGAATGACTTTCCTGCGTGGTTTGGCTCTGTGTTTGGCTACATCAGCAGCCCTGTGGTCATCCTGCCTGCTGTGCTGCTTCTCTTGTGAGTACCATGGCTCCAAGTCTTAACGGGAACTCCTCTGCTGTGGGCCAACAAGACAACACCACTTTGCCATAAGACCACCTGATTCATTCTTGCCTGTGAAGATCCCTTGCAGAGCCTGCCGCTCTAAGCAGGCACTATGATCTGGCACCACTGTGTCACAGACTCCAGGTCCCAGCCAGGGAGAAAGAGGGAGCACCCTGGGCCTCCACTGGCTCATGATCAATTGACCAACAGATTTAGGTCCATGACTGTGGCCACAGCCAAGCACTCACTGTCACTATGTGATTACCCATGAATTTCAATCATCCTGAGAAGATATGTCACCATTAAGCAAAATCACTGTGGTTTGTCTTGGCTAACAGAGAAAAAAAAAAAAAAAAACGGCCAGGAGCCCAGTCCCCCTGATTTAAAATGCTGGACATTGTCTCTCCCACTGTCACTCTTTCCTTCTGGTGACCACTAGGGCAGAAGTCCAGGTTCATTGGAACTGCCATGAGAAGTAACAGAAGGAAACAGGAAGTGGCTCCTTGTCAGGGTCCCCACATGCAGGTGCCGGGGTAGCCCATATCTGGCTCCAAGGACTCCCCTTTCCTGGCAAGCCCCAGGCGTGGAGAGCCTGGTGGGCACTGTGTCCTCACCACCCCGTGTCCTCTGTCCTAGCATGCTCATCTACTACCTTCAGAGCATCGCACGGTCACTTCGGCTCAGCAACCAGCAGCTCAGAATGCAGATCCAAAACGCAAGTATCCCCGGGCACTTGCCCATGGCCAAGGTGTGTCAACAAGAGGCCTGGGTTCTCACCAGCAGGGGGCAGGAGAACAGATCAAAAGTCCATGGAAAGATGGAATTAACAGATAATGTTTGTTTGGGTGCAAAAGCCTACATACAAGGAGTCTTTAGAAAGTTCCTTGCACCAAATCAGCCTGCTGAGTGAGGTCCCGTCTTGCCGTTCCTGGGATCACCTCCTAATGTACAAGGGCACCACCATGACTGCCCAGTCCCAGCCCAGGGCTGCCAGGAGCAAGCCACCTTGAGATTCTTGTCCTCCACAACGGGCCTTTGCAGATGCAATGGCTCATTCTATGAAAGGCCTGTGAATGAGCTGGCCCTGCCGACAGCTGGTGAGGCATCAAATCAACTCAGAGCTGTCTGCATTTGTTCACTCAAGGAACAGACCTGGGTCCACAGCACCCTGTCCCAAGGTGGCACTAGTCGCTGAGTCTGAACCCAAAGACCGTCCCATGACATAAATCAGGTCTCCCCAAAAGAACATTGCTGCCTCTTGTTTGCCGCCAGCCCAAAACTAAGTATGATGATTGTCATTTGTATTGCAGGCGAGATCTGAAGATAAGAAAAAGGTTGCCCAAATGGTAGAAGGTACGTGGATGGTTTTTGAAGCTGCAGAATCCTCTTTCTGGTAACTAACCTGAGGAGTTTCAGAAGATGAAATGTATATGATGAAACTGACTTCTTGTTTGCAACCCGCAGCTGTGCTCCTGAGCAACACGGTTTTTCTGCTCACTCCTTGTGGAAGTCTTTATTTAGTGGAAGGTTATGCTTGGGATTATGAAGGACATTGAAAGCCTATCGCTGTAAAAATGAAAAGAAAGCTAAGAAAGGAAGGAGGGTGGCAGTGAAAGAGGAGGGGATGGAAGGGAGGAATGTAGCATTATGCACTCAAAACTCCATACGTGAAACACATGAAATGGGTTTGCTCGTAGACATAAAATAGTTAAAAAATGCAGAATCCTCCTCCCTCAGCTGGTGGCCATTGATGAGTGACCAATGGAGAGTAGTTGATGGTTCTGTCTCCTAAATATCCCAAATTTTGAAATTAACAAGGCACAATAAAACACTGCCAATGTTACTTGGGGTGTCCCGTGTTCGCACCATGCCCATGCCTGCGGGTAATCCCCAAACATGTCTTAAAGGTCTGTAAAAACCCTCGGAGCACCCTTTGTCTCTTCCCCATTGTGTCCTGCCTCTCCCTGGCTCTTCCCTTGCTTGCCAGGCCTCTGCCCCAGGGCCCAGCTCCTTCTTTGTCCCGTTCCTGGAGAGCAATGCCAGCTGCACAAGCTCGACCCCCAACACAGATTCCTGGGGAAGGAGTCACAGCGGGGCCTTGCTGGGCACTCTTCCTGCTCTCCACATGTTCCTCAGCACCACCCACTTAGGCAGAGAGCTGCCAGACAGCAAGGATGGCAGGACCACGAACTGGAAGAGAGGCACACGAGAATACAGGGAGGCCTCATGGGACTTGGAGATAGCACCCGCTGAGCCAGAAGACACAGCCTGGGGTGGAGGTTGGGGACGGAAGCTAGGACCTCTGCATCCCATATGTGCCTTGGTTGCAATCCTGGCTCTGTTTCTGATCCCAGATCCTTACGAAAGTCCATCCTAGGAGGCAGCAGGTAATGGACCACATGCTTGGGGCCATGCCATCCCACCGGGGGAGCCAGACTGAAACCTGGGCATCAACCTTGGACCTGGCCCAACTCTGTGCTGTGATATGGACATTTAAGGAGCAAATAATTAGATTTCTGTCGTCTGCCTTTCAAAGAAAATGAAAATACTTTGTTTAATTTAATATGTGACTTTTTTAAAAGATTTTTTTTTATTTAAAAGGTAGAGTTAGCACAAAGAGAAGAAGAGGCAGGGAGACAGAAATTTTCCATCTGCTGGTTCACTCTCCAAATGGCTGCTATGGCCGATTCAAAGCCAGGGTGCAGGAACTTGTTTTGCATCTCCCATGTGGATAACAGGGATCAAAGGATTTGAGTCAACCCCCACTGCTTTCCCAGGCCATAAGCAGGGAGCCAGATTAGAAATGGAGGATGCAGAACTTGCATTGGGATGCCAGGACCACAGACAGAGGCTTAGCTAACTATGTCATAGCATTAGCCGCCTATACAGTAGGCTTTTTGCTGGGTTTTTTTTTTTTCTTTAGTTTTAAAAAGCACAGGCCACACCCTACATCAGAAAATAAGGGAGAATGAGGCTTGCAAAAGCCCTCCAAGTCTGCTGTTTAAAGCTGTTTGGACTGTGAACTCATTGAAAGCAACCTCTCGCCCTCTGGGAATGAAAGTCTGCATAGGAATGAGAAACCCTAAGGAGTCTACAGCCATACCACCCTGAACCCGCCCGGTCTCATCTCATCTCAGAAGCTAAGCAGGGTCGGGCCTGGTTAGAACTTGGATGGGAGACAGCCTAAGGGTTGCACTGACTCCACTCTGCCTGTACTTGCTGAGAGGGAAGTGGTCTGTCTGTGACTGCCAGCTGAGCGTGGTCAAGTTCAGTCTTCCAAAGCTAGCTTCTGTGCAGACTTTCTAGTGACAGCAATGTTGCTGTCTCATTTGCCATTTCAAGGCCACAGGCATCTCTTTGCCCAAAGCCATGTGAACAGGTTACCAAATAATAGTGTTAATTAATAATGATAATAATCATAGTGCAAGCTTTATACTCTGCACTGCACACAAGGAGACTTCCAAAATTTCATGGAAAGTGGAATCCAAAGGTAAGTTCATTTTGGGGTTTTGATATGAATGCATGGTTTCAGTAGTGCTCTGTCTCAGCGACTTTCTGAAGACCTACTCTTCTAGAAAGAAGTGAGTCCCACCCCTGCTGAGGGGCATCAGGTGGCATGCAGCTGAACCTCTCGGCTCTCAAGGGATTCCTCCTAGACTGGCAGCTTCTGGAACGAAACACTCGCCATTACAGAGTGTCCCTGTAATGGCTCTCCCTGGGGTTAGGGACACTCACCTGTCTGCCGGCTAGGCTGCTGAAAGCCACAGCCGCCTTCAGGCTCATATACCTGTTTTCACAGGTCCTCTCCCTCTGCCCACAGCCCGAATCCAGACCCAGGAGGAAAGCACCAAGAGGCTTCCTAAGGAAAACGAGCTTGTCAGCCCTGCAACACCCCAAAATAACGGCACTGTGCTCAATTTTGATTCCCTGAGCAGTAAGAGTAGCCGAATAGAGACGGTCACCCAAGTCCTGCCCCAGAGCCCCAGGCTACGGCAGAGGGGCCCCTGCTCACCTCCTCCTGGAGTTGCCAAGTCCAGGCCAGAGCTGGATACCAACAGGTGAGGCTAATGGTGACACAGAGAAACCTGGCTTCTTAGAGGATGGGCGGGGCAGGTGACAGGGAGGGGGGAGGTGAGGTGGGGGCAACGAGCGTGGAGGGCTTGAGAAGTACAAACAAAAGGGACCTGGTTGTGATGTAACACGTTAAGCCACCACCTGTGATGCTGGCATCCCATAATCGAGCATTGGCTCGAGTCTCAGCTGCTGCGCTTTCAATCCAGCAGCCTGCTAGTGCCGCTGGGAAGCCAACGGAAGACAGTCCCTGCCATCCGTGGCCCCTACCCACTGCTGGCCTGCAGTTGGCATTTGAGGAGTAAACCAGCAGATGGGAGCTTGCTCTCTGTCTGCCTCTCAAATACATTTTAAAAAGGGGAGGGTGAGGTAGGGAAAGGGGATCAGGTGCTGCTGCGGAGGCCAGCAGGGGTACACTCAGCCCCTGGGCAGATTCAAGCCTGTATGGGGAAGAATTTCAAGTGGGTCTACCTCCCCCTAGTGGGCACTCCAAGAAGTTCCCGGGAGGCTGGATTGTTGCCTAGCAAGGAACTGGAGAAATCCAGTTCCTGAAAGTGTTGCACAATCCCTGGTCTCAACAAAATAGAGCTGGGGCGCTCCAACACGGGACACAGATGACCCAGGAGCGTGCTAACAGCTACACCCCCCCCGCCAAAGGCTTCTGTTTGCACAGTGCATATTAACCTCGAGCAGTGAAAAAAAAGCTGAGCCGTTGCCCTAGCTCGCAGACCACGGAGACGCTAGCTACCTGCTCACCTCTGTCTTTACAGGTACGCACACAGCCCAAGCGCAAGCACAGGTGACCTGTACAGGGGCGGGTCCTACACACCCGGGACGCTGACAAAGCATATTGAAGATATTCGCTCAGCACCGCTTTCCCGAAAAGACTTCCAGCCCACCAGCCCTCCCACACGTGGCCCAAGAGTCCCGGTCTGGGGAGCGGGTGACCCCCGGCCCCACACCCCAAGATACTACATCATCCACGAGCGTGACACTCACAGGAAGACTCCTTCCGCTTTCTGGCCAGAAAGGCATTTCAAGATGAGCGCCTCCGGTGACCTAGTGGAGGTGTACCCCAGAAGCGCACGGCAATACGTGTCCCGCCTCCACCAGCCCCACTCCCCACCCCCGAGTGAAGAAGAGGACGAGATACAGAGAGATCTGATCGAACGGTCTTGCCCTCCTCGCTCTCTGACTGACCTCCGCCGGGTTCCCCACTTCTACATCGGAGAAAGGTCACGGAGCCAGACCCTGGCTCCCGGGCTCCACAAGTCTTGGCACAAGGGCTTTGAGATTGAACCGGACAGGCCTCTGTATGTGCTCAAGAAGCCTCACTCCCGAAACCTCCCACATCCTCCGCAGCCTCCGAAACACAGAGGCAAGCCCAGAACGGAGCCATCCATCACGGAGTCTGACTCCATGTCTGCCGCATCCAGTAGTGACCAGCAGAACAGCGGCACTGACCAGTACCTGCAGATCTTCCACAGCCAGGCCAAGTTTCCCCGGTCTCCAGGCCCCCCAGGCAAGAGGAAGGCCAAGTCCAGGCAAGAGCTGGCCACAGACCTGATTTGTTCCAATGTCTGAGGCTTCTGAGTTCCTATTGCTAGAGCTCAGGAGGTCCCTCTTGGAGATCCCGGCCTCTCTCCCTCTCCGGAAAGAGAGAGTTAGGTCAGGTTAGAGACCTGCGGTGCATGCCTAGACACGCCCACCAGCTGCTGCCTGGGGCCCTGAGACTCAGAGTAAACACACAATTGAGTCCTCTCCAGGGACTCCTTGTACCCCAGCATGCCGTGTGGCAGACGAGGCCATCCCCCATCTTTTCCCTCAGTTTGGGGTGACCACAAAATCCCAGACAACCCAGACCAGATAAGTCATCCCAGTCCTGAGATTTCAATGTTTGTCCTGAACAACGAGGGTGAACCCTTTGTTTTTGCAACCTTATCTTCCAACACAAATACTAACCCTCTCTAACTAGCGCCCGGCAGTTAGATGACTGTCCTTCAAAATTCCACAAGGCTTGTATCCCTGCATTGTTTGGTTTCCCTAGAAGCGTGGATTCAGGCTCAGAGCAGGAAAGTGCGTTGAGAATATTTAGGAACACCTGTCTTTCCACCTCTCTGCTCACCCTTTGTTAGCCTTGTTCTGACTTGCTGGTAACCCTGCTTCCTTTTGCATGGCAGTGGATAAGGAACTGCTAGCCTCAGGAGACTGCAGCTTTGCCCCCTCTAGCCAACAAGCTGGGGGAGGAAAGCACAGCTGCCCACCCTACTTCCCACACCCCCACCCTCGTGATGGACGCCCTCTGGAGCCTTTCTGTGGGCGACACAAATCGGTGGTAGTCCAGTCCGGTCTGCCACAGTGACCCAGGTCAGTACTGGGTTCCACAGCAACTCTTTCCTTTCTGATTTGGGTCATTGCAACCTTTCCAGCTCCTTCTCCACTGTGTGAGCATGTCCGGAGCAAGAAAGCTGTTTTCTTCATTCCTGCATCCCCAATATCACACACCTAAGGAAGATGACCTGGAGACATGAGAGATTCTCCCAACATTGACTTGTCCAAACATGGTAATGGGCGTGCACAAAACCCAGTCAGCTGGAGGACATTCAAAGCCTCTGATGCATACGGATGCAAGGATTCCATACATCGTCGTGAACTGATTGTCCTCGGCTAGTAGGATCTCTATAAAGGAGTTAGAGGAGGCCGTTGTTGGGCAAGCATCTTCTGTGTGAGTTGTGGCGGCTTTTGTGCTCACTCAGTTCTGATAAAGCCTTTCACAATGCTTGTTATTAGGCCCCTCTGTCAGAATCTCCCACGGTCTGAACCTGCCAGCTTTCCTTGTCTTTAGCCAGACTTGACCCCAGTGACTCCAGGTGGGGTCTGCTATGCTGGAGCTCAGCAGGCTGGACTCAGGCCATCAGCCACTGCCAGCACGTCTTCTGTCCTAGGCTCCTGTGATGGTGGATCGGAGTTCACTCCCTGAGGGGGTCCCCAGCTCACAGACTCTGCCCTACTTCCTGGCCATGCAGCGTAGCCACCTGCTCCTTCAAGGCCATTTGGAGTGTCTTTTCCAGCTTTGCCTCTCTCTCTTCTGAGACCCTCCTTTAAAAAGGACATGGAAGAGACACCTACAGTGAGGGTGTGGAATCAATCTGGGTGTCCACTGGTGGATGAACACTCAAGGAAAACGTGTTTACACACAATGGACTATTCTTCAGCCAAAAAAAGAGTGCCATTCTGTCCTCGGCAGCAGCTCAGATGGAGCTGGAGGACATGATGTCATTTGAAATCAGCCCTGCTACAGAAAGACAAACTCTTTATGTTCTCCTTGGGTGTGGAAGCCAATACATTGGATGCAAAGAAGTGGAGGGGTTACCAGAGCCTAGAACAGGTGTCGGGGGTGGAGGGCTGCATAGGTTGGTGAGTGGGTCCAGGGGCAGAGTGGGATAAATATGGTTGACCACTGAACATTTCAAAACAGCAATAGGGGGGGTTTTGAACATTCTCAATATAAAGCAGTTCTGATCATTATACACTGCATGCATGGAATGAAATGCCATATGGTAGCTCATAAATATGTGCCATTATTATGCAACAATTAAAAATAAAATGTCCTTAAAATGGGATTAAAAAATCACCCCACATGTACCATACAAGATAACCTAATCATTAGGAGTGAAATCCAATCATGGGCATGGGCACCTGGATTCTACTGGCGTGGGAGGGCTCACGAGGGCCTGGGAGTGTCCACTTGCAGGCCTAGGGGGATGATGCTGATGGTGGGTGCGTGCAGAGACCTGGGGGCACCAGCTCAGATGGGCAGAGTGAACCTGAAGATTTCCTGAGGTCTATCAGGACATGGACACCTCCAGCTCACTGCTTCCTCGCTGGCTGCACAGGTTCTCCTCGTAGGAGTAAACTAGGTGTGTTTCTCCCATTGTCTTCTTGGTGGATGCTAGAGTCATTTACATCTCTTTGCTACCAAGAATGACACATTGCTAAACCTCTATAGATAACTGAGATGCAGATGCTGGCTCTTCCAGAAGGGAAATGCTACAGAAACATGCTCAACCTTTCTGCCAGCTGCTCTCCTTGTCCTCAGGAGGTCTGACCCTCCTGCACCTGTCTCTGTTGTGCCTTGCAAGAAGGGCTTTTATTTTTTTACATGTTCACCAAGAAAACTTCATACTATCATGCTGCATAGTTTTAGTGAGTGACTTTTTTGTTGTTAATGTCTTTTCCTAAGTTGATTGGCCATTTATTTATATTTTCCATTGTGAATTGTTGCCTTTTTTATGACTGTCATTCCCCCCCCCCCCCCCGCTTTTTTATAAGCTTTTAAGATGTATATAAGATCTTCCATGCATTTGTTCACTCCCCACATCAGCAGGCTAAAGCCAGGGTCCATGAACTCCACCCATCCAGGTCTTGTACAAGGGGCGGTTGGCAGAGATTCGAGTGCTTGGACCAGCATCAGCAGTCAGCCAAGCCCATCAGTAGGGAGCTAAGTCAGAGTGGGACAGGGCTGGATCCCAGACACTCTGTTGTGGGCTGTGAGTTTTCAAGAGTGGTTTAACGGTTGTACCACAATGCCCACGCCCTCAGCTCATCTTCCTAAGCTTTATGGGCTCCTGATTAAAGCACCACATGCGGCTCCGTCATCCCTTGTGTCCTCAAATGCTAACATTTTATAAAAGAGGTGGCAGCAGAAAGCTCCAGACGTGCGAGATCAGGAAGTCCTTGCACAAATGGGTGCTGGCCACATTCCTGTGGATGTTAGTCATGGTCCCTGGCAGCCAAGGGTGTGTGGGCAAGCTAGCGTTGCTGACATAATGCACTATGTTAAAACATTCTCCCCAGTAAGTACCTGCATAACAGACTCAAGTGTCAGGGAGCAACAAAATTGCGTCCATTAAAACATAAAGAGTGAGTATCTCTTAGTGAGAGCATCTTGGTAACCCAAGGAGGCATCTTTTAGTCACTGCTTGTGTTTGTGAAAATTTTGTGTACATCTTGGACAGACTAGCTGTTCTTGACTGTGGGAGTGCTTTCTGGGTGCTCCAAGTGTGTGTGTATACTTGTGCATGTGTGTGAGTGTGTGTGCATGTGTGTGGGGCATGCCTGTGCATGTGTTTTGCAAGTGGTTTGTTTTGGTGTATCGCTGTGTATTCCACAGTCAACACCACACGTGTTTATAGGAAGGAGGAGTGAGTGAATTTGGGTGCTGGGCCACAATTCTAGCTACGCGTATGGCCTTGCATACTCTCTGAAATCATCAGGCTATTAACCCACAAAATGGGGAGAATGGTGCAGACTGCACGGGTTAAATGGCACAATATAGGTAAGTGCTTAGGATAACAACTGGTAAGCAGAATAGCAAGTAGCTGTTGCAAAGTGAACCCAAATGCACACGTTCCCTTGCGTAGGTAGCATCTTCCTGAGCTGTCAGTGCGAGAGAGACAGGAAGAGAGAGAGGGAGAGACAGAAGAACAACCCAGAAGAAATTTTCACAGGAAGTATAATTACAGCAACTAAGGAGACCACAGGGAATGAGTTTCACAACGGTATCTGCTTGAGCAAGGGAAACAGATATATTTTAGTTTAGGAGCAAACAGATAGGAACAAGAGTTCTTATCTCATGCAGGGGTGGGTACAACTCGCCCAGGTTCAGTTCAGAAATACGTCTTGACGTGTATGACACACATGGTGATGATGTGTTGCAACCATTCCGTGGGATGACTGTGTGAGCTGAAAGCCACTGCAAGCCCATGAGTGGCATTTGTCCTACTTGTCCGTCAATATGCACCTTTCCCCAGATGCACCTGCTTCATCTAAGTTGGGGGTGGGCACGGCATGCCATGAAAATCTGGTAGTTGAAGTCCATGTGGAACTTGTGGAGGTATCACAGAATTCCCAGGGAGCTTCCTGCCTATAGAGGCACCACACTGCACGCCACGGGAAGGCAGGGCCAACAGCCAGGGAGGCTCACACTGTCTTGCAGAGACCACAGCTAGAGGTAACACCCAAACACCCTTTCTCTCCCCTCCCAACTACACCTGCTCCCTTGGGCAATCTTCCACTCATCATGGCTCGTGCTCACATGCATATGTATGCTCACTTTCTCATCTTTTCAGCACATTTTGTTACCACTTTAGACACCTTTTTTTTTTTATAAGCACTTGATATGTTTGTCCTTGGGTGAGACAAGGATGTGAAAGAAATGAACACACCCACGTATTCACATCAGTAATAAGGATTAAACTCCCCGGGCAGGGCTGGGGAATTCTGGGCATGACAACACACTATGGGGAGACCTTTGGCTGCCTTTTGACCAAATTGCACAGGTGTGGCCCTCACAGCAAGGGTGTGTCAGCCTAGGGTGGCTGGGGATGACACGCGATAAACATTTCTTCATTTCCATGGATTTCTTGCATTTCCAGGTCACAGAAAAACATCACTGCAGAGAATACGGGGGGAGCTTTGGAAGTCATGGGGTCTTACCAGAGAGGAATCACGGTGAAGACTTCTGAGTAGCTGGTCACAGTCTCCTGAATGCTTGAAATTGAAAAGTTCACTCATCATTGTCTTCTTAGGGCTTTGTGCCCAGCGAAAATTCTAGTAAACTCCAGCACGAGTGGGTCTCAAACTAAAGCTTTATAGAAAAAAAAAATCTGAATTAAAAAAAAAAATATATATATATATATATTTGAGAGGGAGCTGGCACTGGAGTATAGAAAACTAAGCCCCCACCTTTGGTGCCAGCATGCCGTGTGGGTGCTTGTTGGAGTTACGGCTGCTCCACTTCCAACCCAGTTCCCTGCTAACGCATCTGGGAAAGCAGCAGAGGATGGCTCAAACCCTTGTGTTCCTGGAAGAAACTCCAGGCTCCTGGCTTTGGATCAGCTCATTGCTGGCCATTGCGGAGCTGGGGAGTAAACCAGCAGATGGAAGAAGTTTGTCCTGCGTAACTCTGCCTGCAGCCATCAGAGCTGGACTGGACCAAAGCTGGACCTTCCAAAGCCAAGCGATGCACATACTTGAGCCATCAGCACTGCTTCTCAAATCTAGGAGTGTGAGTGAACCCGGGGCACATAGGCACCCTGCTTGCGAGGTCCAATGCCCACCTCTGGGTTTGTTTTTTTTTTTTTTCCAATGAGGCGTCTTTGCCCATTTAAGTCTTATATATCACAGCTAAAATAAATAGTATATGTTAATATAAAATGAAAAGAAAATGTCCTTTGGGGTTGCTTTCCATTCTTGACAGTTTATTCTACACTTTACTAAAAATATACATTATATATATATATATATACATATACACACACACACACACGTATATAGACCGAACACACAGAACATACACTATCTTCTAGGCGTATACAGACCATACACCATCATAAACTTATTTTTTCATTTCACTTCCCACGACCTTTAAGTAGCTCCCCCCTCACTCAGTGTTTACCAAATGCCACGTACCAGTCTATTTGTCACTGCTTTATGAAATCACCCAGTCCACATGTCACCTCCAGGGCTTGATATTACTTCATTTCCCACCTTCCAAATCAGGATCTTAGCGGCTTAACTGGCCAATGGCTTGCCAAGGTCACAACTGAGGCCTCTGGGATTAGAAAGCAGGCAAGTCAGAGAAAGTAACAGCTCTCCTGTCCAGTGATGCTGCAGGATGGTCTGCACCCTCTGATCGGCTGGGACAGACACACACACCGCGCGCGCGCACACACACACACACACACACACACACACATCCCAGGGGACTGCTGCACGTTAGTGACAAAATACAATTAAAAGGTAAGTTTATTTCAGCACATTTTTTGCACTAAAACTTATACTTTTAGTTTTTCTTCTTTTAATGAATGTTGTAAAGCGTCTTCTCATAGGAAAACACCTTGGGCTGAAGTAAGAACTCACGTTGACCATTTAGTTAGGTTTCGAACACAGCTCACTTCCTGCACAGTCAATTAGTCACAGTGACAACAGTCTCCTAGCACCTCCCTGGCTCTGTTGAGCAAAGTCCTGTGTGCTCCAGATTCCTTGCCTGTCCTTTGCTGGCTACTTCCTATTCCACCTGCTGGATACTCTGTAACTTCACTGAATGACTGACTGGTGGTTCCACTTGCTTGCAACTGCAGGATCAATCCTACGCACCTTGGTTGGATTAAAGACCAAGTCAGGTCGCATTTTCTTTGTTTCTGTTCTTAGCCTGCTCTCAGAAACACATATTCATACTCAACCCTTATACACTACAAAGAAGCGTTTCTCTATACTCTGACCAACACAGGGTGTTCACAAACCCTTTCGTGCTTCTCGGGTGAAAAGAACCTCTTTGTTTTGATGTGAGGTCCTGCACCTTCCCGTATCTCTATGAACTGTGCCATGCTTTCCCCTACAAAGCACATGATGTTTTCTTCCTGCTTGTAAGAACGTCTGCCAATTTCCTGATGTGTAAGAGCACTGTGTACAATAATAAAACCTAGATTTCTGAGGACTTAGCCAGAAATCTGCCTGGAAAATCAAAGTTAAATTTTAACGGGCTGGTGGAGACTGTACTGGCTGCTTTGTAAGCCTGTGTTTGTGTACAGGTTTTATGCTTCCATGGCGGGTGTGCATATGGACCGAAGCTTACACAGGACAGGTGCGCGTGTACTTGTCAATCACATTAATAACCCAGTAGCACACTCGCTTCCCAGACTTGCTGCTCACACACGGGCAACAGCTTGAGGTCCTTGACCATTTTCCCCACAACGCTAAGACTTAAAGCTGGCAGTTTTTGAAGGGACAGGGGATGGGAGCTGGGTCAGAGAGCTTGTGCGAGTGCCTAGGGTGCTTGGCACTCACCTTTCCCCAGCCCTGGAGTGAGTACACGGAAAAAATGTGTCCCAGTTACGGCTCACATGGAGATCTGGCTTCTAACATCTGATGCTCTGTCCTCTTGTGCTGCCCTTTGCTGTCAGCTACCACTGCAGAGCCTCTTGAGGCGTGGCTTGCATCTACACCGGTGTGGCAGCCCCCACATCTCCCAGGAAGAACTCTCATGCCACTGTGCCGATCCCACCATTAAAAACAAACAAACAAAAAACCTTTCTGGAGACTGAGCTGGCCTAGGAGGACTGCCACCCCCTGTGCACGCAGGACGGAAGCCCACACGCTCTTTCCTAGAGGCCCAGCTGCCCGCAGCGCCCCAAGGCCCGGCTCGGGCGACCAGGCCACCTGCAGCGCCAGGGTCCGCCTTCTCGGGCTTTGCCAATCAACCCTCGGGCGAGGCGTGATCAGTCTGCGGGCCCGGACCAATTCGGGGCAGAGGCGGAGTTAACGGGCGGAGGGGGCCGGACTTCCAGGCTCCTCCCGCGGCCCGTGCTTTCCGGCCTCCCCGACGCCGCGAAGCTGCTGTGGCCTCGGGCTCTGCTGCTCCGCGCGCCATGGACCCGGCGCTGGCCGCCAGGATCGGCCAGGAGGTGGCCGACAAGATGTTCCAATACCGACGAGACGCGTCGGGCTGGAAAATTTGCCGGGAAGCCGTGAGTGAGGAGCTGGGCGGGAAGGGGTCGCTGCCTTTTTGCTGCCTGAGTGGGGGGCGGGTCCCCAGAAGCCCCCAGTCCCACCTGCACTTGTACCTGTTCTCAGCCCCTCATTCTCATCCCCATCCCCCGAGGGGCTGCCTTTCCTCGCGGGCTGTGTGTCCAGGAAGCGCTGGGCCCGCGGGGCTCGCGGCGACCTCCCACCCCGTCCACCGCGTCCTCCGGCACGGGGTCCCCTGACCGAGGACAGGACCCCCACTGCTGCCCCTCACTGGCCCGCTGCGTCTCAGGCCCAGGGGGAGGGCGTGGGAGAAGTCTGGTCTCCTCCCTGCCTGTGTGTTTTCATCCCAACTCCCCCGTGCCCGGTGGCTCCAGGAGTCCGCTCCCCCAGTCCATGTGTGCCTTGTGGGGGCAGCTGTGTCTTTCACGAGCCCCACGCCCGCCAGCTGTGGCTCGGGTAACCTTGGAGAACTGTGTGTGCTCGCGGAGGCCTCTGAGCCCCGGGACCCGCTTGTATAGAACAGGTGGAGGGTGCTGGCACAGGTGAGCCGGGAGCCCTTCAAAGCTCTAAATGTTTGCCGTTCTGTGCCTTTTGACAGAATGGAGTTTCAGTGTCCTGGAGGCCATCTGTGGAGTTTGCAGGGAACCTGTAAGTGCGTGCTTTGTGCAGAGCTCAGGGTTGCCGCCTACACCCTTGCTGCTTTCTGGAGGGCTTGCTTCCTTAAAAGACTTGCTTCTGGGACCGAGTTCAGCTGCCTGTTGGCATCCTGGCTGCTCTGCTTCTAACCGAGCACCATGCAGATGCACCTGGGAAGAAAGCCAAAGATGGCCCAAGTGCTTGGTTCCCTGCCAACTCTAGCTTGAGTCTGACCCAGCCCTAGGCCACTGGGGCATCTGGGGAGTGAAGCAGTGTTTGGAAGCTCTCTCTCTCTTTCTCTGCTTTTCAAATAAATAAACAAATCTTTCAAATAAGTAAATCAACCCTATGGTTGACTCATGATTCATCCACCGGAACACCATTCAACTCCTGTTTTTAGCAAAATCTTTTCCAGCATAAGCCATATTCCCGAGAATGCTTGCCGCCCCGTTTCTGCAGGCTGGCGGGACTACAAGTCAGCCGCTTCCGGAAGCTTGTCTGAAAGATCCATCGTGGGGCTGAACGATACAATGATTTGAGGTCACTTCCTTTGTGCCGCAGGTACCGGGGGGAAGGCGTGGTGTGCGGGACCCTGGAAGACGTGTGGGACTGTGTCAGGCCAGCTGAAGGGGGCCTGCGAGTGAAGTGGGACGAGAATGTGACCGGTTTTGAAGTGATCGAGAAAATTACTGATGTAAGTTTTTCCCAGTGTGGCCTCCGCACCCTTTGGCTAGGAGTGTGCCCTGCACACATGGACTTGGGAGTGGTGCCATGGACCAGGGCCAGGGCCAGCTGTGCCCCATGTGCCTCAGAGAGACCCAGAAACCCTAGGCAGAGCCCGGGAGAAGCTGGGTAATGGTGGCTGATCGAAAGTTCAGAGGATGCCAAGGTGGGGCCAAGACTTGGCTCGTTAACTCAAGTCTAACATCCTTTGATTGGGCTATGATAACAAATTGCAAGAACGCTGGGTATGGCGCCAAGGTTCCCTGCCAGCTGCGGGGCTGTGCCAGGTAGCACCTTCTGCATGGACATTCTCTGCTGGTGAAGCGTGTCGTGCCGGCTAGCCCTGTCCAGCAGAAACTTCCTGGCAGCTTGGAAGTCTGCTGCAGATGCCCATCCCGTGAGGCGGCTACGATTTTGAGTTGCCAGTTGTCTTTGCTGTCATCCAAGCTCGTGTCAATTCAAGTGTCCCCCTGGCATAGACGAACAGGGAAACCGCTCTGGGATTGTTTGTATCTTAAAGACCCTCCCTCATTTTCATTCTAGATTTTCAGGGGGAAGAAATAGATGTCACGGTCAAAGCTAAAGCCACGAGTCTGGGAAGGAGAGGGAGGGCTGTTGACTGCTGCATTTGAATGCAGTCTTGGTTTTGACATCTGTGGCCTGGATCACTGTGGGTGTTTGCCCAGATGGTATGTTGAAACTCCAAACAGTGGGGCCAGCTGTTCTAGTCTCCACTAAGAATTTACATTTCACCTTTGGTTTTTATTGCCAACGGCACTGTGTCAGTGTTTCCTAAAAGATGGGGCACAGATGCTAGGGCACCAAAAATGGCTTTAGGTACTTGACACTCAGAGCCAGGAATGATTCAGTTCTCTAGTAACTTTAGGGTTACAGTTGGGCACCTTTGACACCTGCTTAACACGTGTGAGTCCTCCGTCTCACCCAAAAGTAGATTCAGATAATCTCTTGCATGTATATTTTGCAACCACCTTCTTTTTGTGGCAAGTTACACATCCCCCTCGACCCCCACCCCTGTTTCTGAAAGTGCACAGGTCTACTTTCAGTGTATCTTACGTTTCAAAAACTTGAGCACAATTAGAGAAAACAGAAAGGAATAATAAATCACCGGACGAGGGATACCAGAGATAGCCAAAATCATAAAAATGATATGCAAATGACTCCACACAAATGGCTGGAGTTGAGAATATAAGGATTTGTGCCCTTTAAGGCATAACACAAATGTAGCAGCAAGAGCCACTCTGTGCACGCCTATAATTTTCTTGAAGGTAAAAGTGGCTGCCTCTTTTAGCCACTTACCTCTTCTTATAGAGACTTAGTGGGATGCCAAAGCTGCCATAAAAACAGTTGCATGGGATGTGCTATTATTTGGGGAGTCTTCTTGCCGGGGGTGGGATGTGCTGAGGGACCAGGTTCTCGTCTGCAGGATGAGAGGTAGGTAAGGTTAGCCAAGTAATCAGTGCTTTTAGCAAAATGAAAGTACACACTCAAGGCTCAGAGCAAGCGTGCACTAGAGTGAGCTGCAATCCACAAGACCTGAGATCATCTCTGTGGTCTGGTGGCCTAGGGAATGGTGCTCTGGGCACAGTTGTCCAGGAAGGAGCAAAAACATCCAGGACTTTGGACTTCCAAATACAGGCCCATTTTCTGGTCTGTATTTGGAAGTCTGAAAAGTGTCATGACAACAGGTGCATGCTGGGAGTGGGATTGTCAGCCATGGCAATTCCATTCTAAGGATGTCGTGATGGGTTGGAGGCCAGCACAGATCATGGCTGAGAGCCCCGTGGAGTGTGTTTACCCAGCTTGGGTCCCAGCTGTAGGAATTCTGCCTGTGCTCACCTGTTACCTCCAGCTCGCTCTCTCTGGTCCCTGAGCATCTCCTTCTCCTGGCCTGAATACTCCGCCTGCAACGCTGAGAGTGGACTCAGGTTCCCACAAGTGGCAATCACAGAGCCTACCGAGGATGATGCCACATCTCCAGGTCCTAGCTGCCATGGGTGCCTTCACCCACCCCACATCAGGGAACCACCTCCCGGTGAGATCCAAGAAACACACCCGCAGGGGCTGTCCCTTCCAGTGATTTATCTGCAGCAGATAAAAAGGACTGGGACAGTAATTTCCAAAGCCATGACTCCCCAAGCTGGGGAAATTGGGTGTGTTTTGTTTTCATTGGAAGTGAAATGTGTGGAGGAGCAGAGGCTCTTGTCATCACTGGTAAGGGTGCAGGTACAGGTCAGTACAGACTCCTGTGCAGGTAGCAAGCCCTCCACTGCTCCGGGGACGGAGTTCTTGGTGTTCCCATGAGCATGCGGTGATCCTTGCACACTTCCTGACCTGTGTGTCCAGGAGCTGCTCCTGCCAGTGCTGCCACACGGGGCCACCTGGGGATTGCATTTCTCCTGAAATTCACCCCAAAACCTGGAAACTGGCTTTGGAGAACTCTGGGAGCTTTCAGGGTCTTGAAGCAAGAATGGGTACAGTACAGACTTCTGAGATGCTAGGGGCATTGACCAGTGTGAGTGCCACCTCCCTGAGCCTCCCAAGAGCCTCTTTGTAAGCTCTGGGACACATGTACACACACACATGCACAAATACACCCCCCACCCACCCACACACACACACACCAACAGACCAATTCCTGTTCTGGGTGCCACCAGTATTCCCTTAGGATGTATATTTCTCCTTACGGCCCATGCTCCCCATGTTGCCATAGCCACAAACTCCGGGATGTCCCCTTCTGCTTTCAGGCACCTCCCCTCCTGCCTGCTGGATCAGCTGGCGGAGGAGTTGGTGCCATCGGGAGCTTTCCCCTCATTTCCCCCATCCCCTGGTGAGGCGGTTGTCGCAGGTAGCACCTGCCCTGGGCTCTGGGTTCGTTGCCGCTCTCTTGCCACTGCCTGTCGTGTGTCCCAGACCCTGGGCTGTGGGGTGGGGAGCAGATGCCTGGTCGACAGTGCAACAGGCACCCCTGTGATTGGCAGACTCTGTACGTGAGCAGGACCTCCACCCCCTCGGCTGCCATGAAGCTCATCTCCCCCAGGGACTTTGTGGACGTGGTACTGATCAAAACATACGAGGATGGGACCATCAGTTCCAACGGTGAGTGATGGCTAGCGGGGAGCTGGACTCTAGCCTTCCCAAAATGCTGGGTTCTCTGTAATCCTCAGCTCCTCAGGCTGGACCTTGGGTACCTTGCTCAGAGCCCTGTTGGGTTGGAGAGGGGGGATTCTATACCAGGAGGGGGCATTGAGGTAGGAGACCCAGCAGACCAGCTATGTTTTATAGATATATAAAAGTTGCAGATTGCATCAGCATCTTTGCTGCGGAGGCTCATGGTTGGTGTCCTCCATGTGCAGACGACCATGGAACAGCACCAGGCATCCATACATCCACCTGCTAAGCCCGGCCCTCAGTCCACTCCTTTCTGCCCAATCCCTGCTCCTCTGAGTCTCCCTCCTGGAGCAGATGACGGCACGTCCACACTTGTGTGGGGACACTTTCGTGCCTCCTGTCCTTGCGTTGTGAATTCTGGAAGGTTTTGTTTTGGTTTGGTTTGTTTTTTTGTTGTTGTTGTTGTTGTTTTTGTAATATTCCAGAAGGCTTGGGGAAGCTGGGAGTGGGCGTGTGTGTGGATATCAGCAGTGGTGACTTCCTGAGTGTCTGCTCACAGCCCCTCTGCCCTGTCTCCAGCCACCCACGTGGACCACCCTGCATGTCCCCCGAAGGCAGGCTTCGTGCGAGGATTCAACCATCCATGTGGCTGCTTCTGCGAACCAGTGCCAGGGTAAGGGGGACCTCCTGGCTGGAGCTGCATGGCTCAAACCTAAGGCACTCCACTTTGAACATCTGGCAAATGGGGCACTTGGCCCAATGAGTGTCTGAGTAAGAATGCCCTGAGCTGCTCTAGGGTGTTAGGAAAGGCCACCATCACACACACAGCAAACACAGATTGCTTGGAAGTACTGGGCAGCTGGGAAGGTACTGGGAGGGTGGCAGAGGGGTGACTGTCCTAGCTGCTTCTCATGCAAGAATCTCCCTCCTCCTGAGCTCTGTAGGGCAGGTGAGGCACATGCCGTCGTCCCATTTAGCAGATGGGGACACTGAGGTGAGGTGGCCAGGGTCAAGGTTAGGCAGTGAGCACTGCAAGACCAGAACTCCAAGTCTTCTCTCCATGGGTCACCCAGGACCAGCCTCCAGGCTGGGACAGCTGTGAGGATGGAGGTCCAGGCAGTGATTGCCTCTGCTACCCAAGGGCCGGCCTAGGCCGAAGGCAGATTTGAGACCACACCGAGCCCACCTCAGGACTAAGCTCCTGTAAATTCATGACGCATGCGTGTCCCCATGTCATAGCCAGGTGTCCAAGGTATATATATATATACACACATACATATGACATGAACACTTGTGTTCACTTATATGTGTACACATATGTTCGTTGTATGCATGCATGTACACACACATGAACACACACAGCTTTAGCATTCCCAGTACAGGGGTGCCTCAGACCCGCTGGCTTGTGCCAAGGGCACTGACCTCCAACTTCTTTCTGTGAACTTTCCACAGTGTCAGGGCTGGTGAATGGATGTTGCAGTGACTGTCCTCTGAGCCCTTTGTCCACAGGGGCTCTACTCTCTTAGGCAGGGGACTGGGCACACGAACTCATGAACATCATACAGGTAGCGGTGGAGTGTGTTTGGTTTTACACATGGGACTGATGGGGCCAGGAAGGTCCCTGGGACAGGCTATTTGCAAATGAAAGGTTTCTTTGGGAGCATGGTCCTGGTTGTTCAAGATTGGACGTCTCCATTGGTTGAGCATCTGAGGTGAGGGCCTCAGCGGGCATTGATGACACAGGTGCAGAGGCATGCTGACCTGGCAGCTGGGAAACAGGGCTGGGCCTGACTTGGTTTTGTGGCTAACCGTTTCACAAGTGCTGCCCTGCTAGGGAATGCCCACAGAGAAGCAGGACTTCCCACCAATCAGCATAATTGGATGAAGTTTCCATCCTTAGTTCCAAAGAGTTGTTTAGAGTTTAAAGTCCGGTTTGAGTACAGAGGCCAAATCATGTTCAAACAGTTGAGAAACTTACCCAAGACCACACTGCCAGGAAGAGAGAAAGAGAGAGAGAGATTGAGACAGCACCACGGCTGAAACCCAGCCATTGGACTCCAGAATCCTTGCTGTTGGTCTCCCAGCACACATGATGGGTTTGCCCTCTTGAAGATGAGTCTCTAAAGAGAGCAGAAGGAGGCAGATAAGCCAGGGCCAGTGACTCTGTCAGATGTGGATGCCTGTGATTGTCAGGTGTCGGGTGCTTGGGAACAAAGCAGACAGGCAGAAGGCGGTGCAGGGAAGGGTGGACATGGGTCATCTGCGGTCTGCAGAGCCCCCTTCAGTGAGCCGTTGGACCAATCATGGACACAGGGGACCCTGGGCTTGTGAATGCCAGGGAAAACTCCTGGCAGAGGGGTGAGCAGGTGCAGAGCCTCAGGGTTGGGAACAGCACAGAGCAAGAGGGAGAAGTTAAAGATGGGGCAAGGAGGCAGCAAGGGCCACATCCCAAGCGGACACTTTTCTATGAATAAGTAGGAAAACTTTGGAGGGTTCTGGACAGGCCATGCTGTAGTTTTGGTATTCACAGCTGTGTTGCTTCTGGAGGGGAAGGGGCGACGAGAGGGCAAGCAAACTAATGGGGGCTCACGGGATAGGAGGCCAGAGATGATGAGGACAGCTCCAGGGGGGCTGCAGTGGGAGCAGGCAGAGGTGTACACAGGTGGAGGAGCATGTGTCTGGGCCTGTGAAGCATCCTGATGGCTTTTATAGTGGACCTACTGTGTGCCCCAAAGCACACACCAGCTCATTCAGTCCTGAGACCACATGGGTGCTGTCATCCCAGCGTTTACCACTAGGGGACAGGTGACTGCAGCCCCCCCCCCGCCTCTCCCCCCACCTCCAAGCCCCCATCCTGTTATACCACATGGCACCTTCCTGCAGGAGCCACCTCTTTCCATGGCCTCACCTTAACCGTGTAATGCTGCACATCCATTCCCACCCACCCACCAAGCCCAGGGCTCACCCAGAGGGGAACAGGATCACTGACCTGCCCATGTTTCCAAACCAAAAGAGGATGCTGCTGAGAAGTGACAGGAGCACAAGTTAGCCCAGAGGAGGCTGCTGAGCAAGGGATGGAGGAAGACCCTGCACCCCAGCACCCGGCCTCCTTGGAAAAACGAGGCAGTGCAAGCAGAGGAGAAAAGCCACAGACCAGAGCAACACTCACTATCCTGTGTCACTCCTCGGCCTATCCCTAGTCCTCCCCAGGTCTCTGTCTGTGAAAGGGGGATGCGTTTCCAAGGAGACTCTGGTCCCAAGCCCTTGGTCTTCTGGGTCCAGCGGGCAGGTGTAGTGTCACCTGGGGAGACCCTGAGGCTGTTGACAGCTCCATTCCCAAAGTGCCACGGGATCCCCCCGATGCTGGGTCTCTGTTACCCTGGCCATTGAGATGCGTCTGACAGGAAGGCTCTGCCAAGTCCCCACTGGTTCCTCCTCTCTGTCCCTCATTGAGTCTGATCTGGCGGAGGCTGCTGGCAACAGTGCACCCGAGCTCTGGGTCACCATGTGCAGGCTGTTGACGGGATGCTGACACCTCAACTTCCAGGCCAGGCTGTGTGCCAGGTACCATGCCCCCTCTCTCTTTCCTCGGGAGCTCCTGCCATCCCTTGGCACACATCCCTTCCCAGGAGCACAAGCCGTTTATCAGTCCCTGAGTCTCAGGCCACCATTCCCAGAGTTGTTGGTCCAAGGTTTCCTGGTGTCCTTCAACCTCTGCAGACTTGGAAGAGCTTCTGTTTGCTCAGGCCAGCTCCATCACTAGAACTGGGACAACTGGAAAATTCTTCAAGAGCATATATTCCTGTGCCATAAATTGCCTGTTTTATGAACACAGTAACTTGCTATGAGCAAACATGGTGAAAAGGCTGCCATTGTACATGTTTGCAAATCCCTGCCAGGTCAGGCTGCACTGATGCTTGGGTCTGATTTGAACGACAGAGTTAAGAGAGAGAGAGAGAGCCTTCATTTCCAGTTTATTCCCCAAATGGCTGTAACAGCCAGGGCCGCAGGCCAAACCTAAGAGCCTGGAATCCACATTCAGGTCTCCCATGTGGAGTCAGGCGCCTAAATACTGGACCAGCTTCTAACTTCTGCTGCTTGCCCAGGCTTGTTAGCAGGGAGCTGGACGGGAAGTAGAGCAGTTGGGACTTGAACCGGCACTCTGATCTGGAATGCTGATGTCACAGGTATGCCACACAGGAGCACATTCTTGATCACGTTTGCTGCGTATGTCAGGTGGCAGGGAACCACTTTGTTGCCCGAAGGAGGGACTGCTCGCTGCTTAGAGGGGCTGGGGACTGCAGCCATTGAACACAGCAGGTTCAGAGGAGCCCCTGGGCAGTGACGTCAGGCAGGGGCAGGTGTGGTCATGGCTGCGTCTGTTTCCCCTGGAGCTTGTGGGGCCACGCTGTGCCACAGCCAGCTGCATGATGTGCTTCTGTTGTCATCTTCCCAGGGAGCCTCTGAAGACCAACGTGGTCACGTTCTTCCAGACCGAGCTCAGCGGCCTGCTCCCCCAGAATGTGGTGGACTCTTTCTTTCCCCGCAGCATGGCCGGCTTTTACGCCAACCTCCAGAAGGCCGTGAAGAAATTCCATGCCTGACGCTATCCGTCGCTTAATGGCCAAGAACTCCCACCATTCCTCAAGGCATTCTGGGTGCTGGGTTCCAGGGAGCCTTGAGGCACCCAGGGCCCGAGTCTGTATTTTGGAATCTGCTGATGGATAGTAAGACCAGCAGCTGGGACCAGCAGCCTACCTACCCTCCCTTGCTCTTCCTTCCTCCAGGCAGGTGGAGAAGGAGATATCTGTGGGCAGCAAACACATCTCTCCTCCAGCAGGAGGCCCCAAGGCTTCTGTGAGGGACTGCGCCCTGGGGCCTCCCATGGGATGCATTGGGGTCCTAGGCTTTACAGACTGGTCACCGTCCAGACCACGTCACCGTTTGTCTCAGTCTTCGACACTAAGAAGGAGAGGCCTGTTGCGTTTGTTGCACCTGATGTTATTGACCTGTGCTCCCGACGCCCAGGGATATATTTTTTTAACATTATGCCCTCAAATATGTTTTTAATACCATGAAAGACTCTCTTTCCCAGCTTTGAGAAAAACACCAGCTTGGGGAAAACAATGAGATGAGCGTTAAGGGGAAACACTCGCCCCTTTTCCTCGCATACTTTCCACCAGAGTGTTCCATCCGCTTTTGTGAGTTCACTTGCACTGAACCGGCAGTTTGCTGAGTCAGGCCCAGCCGGCCACCTCAGCGACCTCTTCTTACAGGATTTGAAGTTGAGCAGCACTGCATGCACATGGAGCTCTGGGAGAAAATCTGCTTCCTGGAAGGCATCCCCTGTTCCTCATCCTCTGTTCAGATACCCCCTGGCTGCAAGTCCCGCTCACCCCTCACGGCTGCCCAGCTCCACTCTGATGTGTTCTGGGGACCAGAGGCTGCACGGCTTTGTCAGCTGGAAGAGGTGTCTACAGGAAGTCAGCATGGAGCCACACACGGCTGGGGACCTTGGCCCATGGACTGGGAGCAGTTCAGGAACCCTGCCACACCCTTCCTGGGAAGTGGCCTCCGGTGTCTGACTGCAGGCCCCTCCTGTGCAGCCCGTTTCCCTGGAGTCCACGCCTGAGGTCCTACAGATGCAACACCTCTCCCTTGTGTGGTACTGACCACCCCCAGTGGGGGGGTGAGCAAGCATCCAAAGACGAAAACTTAGACTAGGGGCAAGAGAGGCTCCAGAACACAATCCCACATTCGGCTTCCCCCAGGGATCACCTCCTCACAGGACTGTTGGATTTACTTAGAGCTCATTCAGCCACTCAGTGAGCACTTAACTGGGTGCTGACTCTGCTGAGCACTGTACTGTATCCGCTCCTTGTGAGTGGATTGCCCAGGTCCCGCCAGGGCTGGGTGCACCTGCCAGGTGAAGATTTCATGCCTACCCCTTTGAGACCCAGACACAGGTTCTCCCTTGTGCAGCCCCATCTAGCCAGGTAGATAAGGAACACGTTCCAGCAACAGCCCTGCAGACCCTGACACCCGCCCCCACATGCATCTGGTGGCGGTGTGTTAGAGTAGTTACCAGGGCGTGTGTCTGCTCTGGCTGTGCAGCTCAGACATTGTGCTCTGGGCCAGTCGCCCTTAACATCTTCTTAGACTTAAACAGAAGATATAGAAGCCATGGGTACTGGTCCCAGCACTGCCTGGTTCATGGGGTTCAGCACAGGTGCCGCCAAGCCCGAGAAAGCGAAGCCAGGGGCCGCTAGGAGGGCCTTGTACCTTATCCTGTTCTCCCTTGGCACCCATATCTGTCCCCCGTCAGCACCTTCTCCCTGGACTGGCCCAGATGTCATCATTTGGCTGGTTTAGGTAAAAAACAAACAAACAAAAAAAAAAAACTTCAGAATGGGAAGAATGCAGGCTGCAAACTTCTACACCTGTTCTTTCTCAGGATGAAGCCAGCAGTGAGCAGATGTTCCCTGTCCCAAGATCACTAAGTGAGTCCCTATCTCCCTGCCTGAGGACAGGATCTTTGTTGCCCGCCAGCCCTGCCAGGAACCATCAGATGCCATTAACAGAGGCCCGGGAATAAAGACTTGAGCTCTTCTGCCTGCGTCTTTGATGCCTGTTTACTCCCCAGGAGCAGGGCCTTGAGAGGCTGTGGCCAGGTCAGAGTCACACAGCATTGGTCCCGAGTGTGGTCATCAAGCACACACACAGGACCAAACTGGTGCCCTGTGGATCCGCTTTCCATGCAGCGCACTCCACTCACTTCCACCAAGTCCCAGTAGAAAACTAGCTGGCTGCTTCTTTCCTGCTGGACAGCTGTATGTTGAATCAGTGCCCTGGTCCACCAGCCAGTGCTATGGAAACCACCTTGAATCCTGATAATGGTACCCATTGCAGCACCATGCCTGATCTGTGCCTGCCTCCCTTCTTCTTCCTGGTCTCAGTCCACCTGTCGGCACCTTGACCTACCCCTGTACTCCCCTCCTGCTGGTCCTACCACTTGCTACTACCCTTGCCTAGGAACACATCTCCACTCCAGCCCAACAGTTTTGCAAATATTCTGAGGGAGGCACAGCATTTTCCAAAACGTCACCCCCTTTACCCACAGTGTCCCTTCCCTTAAGCCCAGGCAGGTACATTCACACCAGCTGTGACTGTTGAGTCCAGAGGAAGTGGCTTCCAAAGCAAGAGCACTAAAGAAAAAGGTGTGGCTTCTACCTGCCTGGTTCCTCACGCCCCCGCCCCGGTATGTTCCTGACCCTAGAGCCACTCAGACACCATGACGGAGGGAGCCACAGCCCCAGGGAGAGGCCACGTGTAAGTGCAAGGTGGCCACAACTCCAGCTGTTTGCAGCCAGCAGCCAAGGTCAGGGTGGTGCAAGCTCAGAGTCCTGGGAGTTGTTCCAGCTGGGGGCCAAGTGGATGCGATGTCCTCCAAGCACTGCTCCTGGTGCAGATTCATAAGAAAAATCAATGTGAGGCCATTTGCGCATAGGCGGGGTTTAGAGTCCCTGAGAGACTTTGAAAAGCAGGGCATATATTTAATATCAAATTATAATAGATTTATTTTATTATGACATCAATATTAGCCTTAAGCTCTCTCTGTACACAGTCTGTATCTGCCACCCTTCCGGGGCAGCTCTCTGGCTGGCTGGTATATCCCAGAAGATCTCGGTGCCCCCCCACACCAGGCAGCAGCCAGCGGGAAGCTTCCGACCTTCTGGATGGGGAAAGCAGAAAGACCCTGAGAATCCGTTTGTGGGTTATGGGAGCTGCATGCTGCTGACTTTGCCTTCAGTACTCGTGCTCTCCACTAGGGGTCCCCCGTGGCCGCAGTCCCCTGTGGCCCTCTCCTCCTAAGGACCACGGTGACGGGCCCATCAGGCAATGCCTTGATGATGTTCCAGGCCTCAAAGCGGGTGAGACCCTGCAGGGTGGTACCGGCCACGTGCAAGATTTCATCTCCCGGCTGGACCGTCTCACTCTGTTCTGGTGCCGTCCCTGCAAGGAAGGAGAAAGCAGTGACGCCGGGCTCCACTGCTGCTCACAGAAGGAAAGCAACTGCCATTCCTAGCTCGTAAGAGGGGTGGGGCAGGGAGGCACTCTTGTTTCAGGATTGAAGACTGGTGGTGTGTCTGACACCAGGATCTTCACCTAACTGAGCGGAAGGTACAGCTCGAACACCTTGGGCAGTTCTGATCACAGGCCCTGTGCTGTGTCCTGCCTTGATGGCAAAGACCCCCAGGGCCATGTGACTGCTCACGTGCCCGTATCTATGGGTGAGGACATCAAACATCCTCAGTAGCTCACCCCAGCTGCAAGGGTGCTGAGTGGCAGGGTCTGGGCTTGAACTCAAACTTTCCGACTGCTGAGCTCATTTCTTGGCACCCATCACCTGCACTGGGTGGGTCGATGGACCCGGGTCTTGCCCAAGGTCATGGTGCTAGTAACAGCAGAGGCAGCTAGAATCCGGGTCTTTGCCTTTGAAATTCCAAGCTCATTCCAGAAACTACTTCTAAATTAAAAATAGCTTACTTATAGTTAGGGATGACATGGATGGATGTAGGGAAACTACCACCTCCACCCCAGTCTGCCCTCTGGGCCGCTCTAGCCAAAACAAAGCTTCCTCTAACAAAAATCACCCAGAGGCAGCTGCAAGAGCCTGTGGGGTACAGAGAGCAGAGCTGGGAGACCCTTTGAGACCAGTTTTAAGAGATATCAAATGCACCCTTGTCCCCCTCAGCCTCTTGTATTGCTCACAGACCCTGGTAGGCCAATGTCACCTAAGTCACAGCTGAGGCTTGGCCCCTGACCTCTGAACTCCCCATACAGCGCTCCTCCAACTAAAACCCCTTGCACTGCGGCCTAGGGACTTCCAGCTTGAGAAGAAGCCAGGAGTCGGGGATGGCTTCAAGAAGGGCCAATTCCAGCTGACCCTCATGTCACGGTGGTTGGCATCCCAATGCTGGAGAACAGAATGTCAGCAGTGTGAGTAAAAGCAGGGCCAGGGTTAGGAGTAAGAGGACGAGGTTGAGTTCTGCAGTGGAAGGTCAGAGCCTGTCTTTATTTAAAACTTCAGTATTCTGGTCTCTAAGGATTTTTCAAATTAACTTTGCGATTTTGAAATACCGCCTTGAGGACTGGTATGGCGGCACAGCGCGTTAAGCTGCTGCCTGCCACGCTAGCATCCCGGGGCGAGTGCTACATGCTTTGCTTCCAACCCAGCTCCCTACTAAAGCACTTGTGAAAACAGTGGAAAATGGCCCAAGTCCTTGAGTCCTTGCCACCATGTGGAGTTTCTGGTTCCTGGCTTCAGCCATTGCAGTAGCCATTTTAAGGAATAAACTAATAGGTGAAATTCTCTCTTGGCCTTTCAAATAAAAATATTTTTTAAAAAATGCTGTCTTTGAAATTGCTCTGATCCTGGCTTCTGTACATTTGATGCTCCTTCCATTTTGCTTCTTAGCTCCCTCACTTGAGTCCTGGCCCAGACAAGCTAAACCAAGCCCAGGGCTTGTCCCCTAGGAGGACCCAGCAAAGCAGAGGGGTTAAGGGAGTGTCTGAGTGAAAGAGGAAAGGGTTAAATGGCAGAACTGACCCTCCACAAGCCTACTGGCCTCTCAAGTGGACATGGGGTTGGCAGAGAGCGCTGCCACCTCGAAGTGCCTTCGAGGCCCCTTGGAGACCTGGCCCCATGGCCACAGCTTGAGACGAACACGCAGCATACCTTTGAAGATCCGGTTGACCGTGATAGGCTTGTCTCCGTGCAGCGAGCCCCGGCCTCCCTCCAGGCTGAAGCCCAGCCCTGCGGATGTCTTCTCCAGAGTCACTGTGCAAACTGGGGCCTCGGCTGCTGGGAAACCAAAGGGCTGGTTAGAAACGCACAACTGTGTGCCCCGAGCGGCAGCCACTGTGGTTCTGCAGACGATGATGGAGCAAGCCCAAGGCCACATGGTCTGCCATGCTGGGAGAACTTACCTGCATCTGTGGAGACACTGCTGGCTGCAGAGTCGTTGGAGGAGTTGAGGTCAGGCGTGGCCTCCGGAGCTGGCCTCCTGGTGACAATTACCGCTTGTCTTGGGTCCCGTGCTTGACGGAGGATGGCCAGGGCATCGTTGTGTGTGGTGCCCTTGAGGGACTTGCCATTGATGGAAAGAACCTCATTGCCCTTCTGAATGGTCCCTTCCTGGGAGGCCAGCCCATTGGGAAACACACGATGAACCTACATAGAGCAGGAGTGGTCAGGATACAGCCAGTAGCCCACGCCTTTGCAACAGGATGACCCGAGCCAAGTGTGCAACCCTACAGGAGTCTGAGAAGGGAGCCTAGCGGTGGTCAAGGTCAGTGCTGCAGACACAAGGGCTGCATGCCCTCCTGTCCCGCCACTGTGAGCAGAGATCTCCATGCAGCATCCTGTCCAGCACACCATCCTGGATGAAATCGCCATGGTTCCAGCTGTCACCTCAGTGGGCACCCTTGGCCTTCTGTGCCCTGGATCAGCCATTTCCGAGGCAGTCTTCTTGAAATATGGATTCTGTGACATCCTGGATATTGTGTAAGAGATGGTTTCTAAAATGAGAATTCCGGGGATACTCGGAGAATGTCTAACTGGACCATGCAAATTGCCATGGCAGGTCTCTAAGAACAGGCTGCGCAGTTCAGCCACTCTCAACAAGTGCTTCTAGCATGCATCACTGTTTTATCGGGAGATGCTGGTGTCACTGATTCTGAAGAATGCATTTGGAGAGACCTCGTCCTAGATGGTTCAGACACTGTTAAGGTGGTTCCTCTCCATCCACATGGGAGCTCCAGGCTGGGTTCTGGCTGCTGGCTTCAGCCTGGCCCAGCCCTGGCTGTTACAACCATTTGGAGAGTAAAACAGCAGATGGAAGATCTCTCTCTCTCTCTCTTTCTGCCTTTCAAATAACAAATTAAAATAAACTTTTGCTGCTTTTGCCTCTCTGAGCAAGGTAAGCTGTTAATCAAGAGAACTGAATGACTGAATATGCTCTGGGCCATTTTGCTTCTTTCCAGAAAGGAAACAGAGGAGGCCCTCTGTCCCTCGGAATCGCTTTGTCAGTAAAGCTCTGTGCTGTGGCTGGGATGCTGGGCCGGAAACCCCAAGCCGGCACTACCCATGCCGCCCCCAGCAGGCCTGCGGGCGAGGGCCCAGCGTGATCAAGGTCAGCGTGGCAGCGGCTAGGCATGCACGAGTCTCCTTTAAGGAGTCTGGAAGGAAAGAGGAAGTCCCTATGCACAGGCTTGGCCCACAGGTGTCACTTCCTCCTTGTCCTAGAGCAGCTGAGCAGTGTCTCAGGGGAAGCCGGTCCCACAGAGTGATGGAGACATCACCACCCAACACAAAGGGAGCTATCCCAGAGCGCTGGCCCCATGATCTGTGAGCAGGGACAGTTACTCCCTCCTTGCTACAGCCTGGCTGTGTGCTCTCAACCTACCATCAGGGCCAGCATGGCAGCTCTCTGGCTGAACAGTCTTACCCATCATGCATGAACAAAGCCAGAACAACCAGCCTCCCTAAGGTCCTTTTCTACCCAGGTGTGCTGTGTCACGTAGGATCTTCAATCCTGTTGGCACAGCCTTCCCTCAAAACACCCCAGTGATTACAAGTCATCCTTGTTTAAACCTCAATCACTGGCATGCCGCCAGTTGCCAAGCAAGAAACAGGGTTGGGAATAAAGTCTGGTTTGAAAATTTTAGAATACTACCCCTGGTACTTTCAAAAATATAAGTTCTCCAACTCTGAAAAACTCAGGTTTACGTGTTCTGGTGCAAAGCTGGAATGCCCTGTGGAGGTACGGTCAAGCTGTTTGGGATGTTCAATGATGGTCTTTGTTCAACTGAGGGTCGACTGTGTGTCACATAAGTAACCTGACAGTGCCACCCAGCCAGGGCGGATGGTCAGGGTTGCCCCTGGAGATGTGTCCCAACAGCCTGCCAAGGGGGTAGCGGTGCCATGTGTCTGTGTGTGCCCTCTCGTTAGCCCCGTCTGAAGCTGTCAGCTCTGCCTCCTGCATGCCACGTCACCCTGGCACTTACCGTAATCACCTTGTTTTCCAGATCGGCCCCTCCTGCCAAGCTGAAGCCCAGGCCGGCCCCCTCCTCCTTGTGCAGGATGGTGACATGGATGCTGTCCAGTTGCTGCAGGAGAGAAGGTCCCTGATGAAAAGGCAGCCTTGCAATGGCTCGAGGCAGCTAGACACACATAGGGGCTTTTTCAGACGGCCTCAGTAACTTCCAGCTCTCTCGCTCCCTCCCAGCTGGTTTCAGCTTCTGCCTCTGTCAGCGGGGCGGGGACTGCACCTCCAAGAGTGACTTGGGAGGCTTGGGGGGAAGACAGATATGCAAAACAGGAAGCACAGCTCCTTTACCTGGCTTGCCTGCCCACGCCTACATGCACTCAGCTGGGCGAATGTGCAGTCTGCTGGAAATCCCAGGGCACTGGGTGACAAGGCTCAGACCTGAACACAGTCAAGTTGGAGGGCTTTGGGTCACAGAGCCCAAGGAGTCACTGCTGCTTAGTAGATGTTTGTGGCCCCTCCTTCCTCTCTGGCTCCCCATGGGACACATGGCAGGCAAGGGAGATGTGCTCATGTGTACATGCACACACAGACACACAGACACACAATTATATACAGTCATACACACAGGCACACACACTGTCACACATACAGTCACATAGAGACACATTCAGTTACACACAGAGGCACGTAGGCACGCACAGTTATACACACCGTCACACAGGCACACACAGAGGCACACATGGGCTCACACTCAGCATACAGTCACATATGCAGGCACACACAACCCTCCCGAGCCTGGGCAGAGGCTGGCATGGAGTCAGGATGGCCTCCTTGCATTGGGCCAAGTCAGAGAGTCCCATGCAGAACTAGATCTGGGGTCTCTACAGGTGCCAGGCGGCCCACTACTGTTAGCAGAAGCAACCCGTCTGAGTGACAGGAACCACAGAGAGCCCAAGAGGGGTCAGCTGATACACGTGAGTGCAAACCCAGAGCTACCAGTGCAAACCTCTTTAAAAAGAAGAAAGAGAAAAGCATATCAGACATGCAGATTTTGATTCAGGCCATGTAGGATCTGGAATTCAGCCAATTCAAAAAATCATCAAGCAGAACAATAGACTGCACCTGCAGGGGCAAGCTTGAACTTTGGCACCAAGGAGGAAGGAAACAAGCAAGAGCCCAGGTGCTCTGGCACCCACTAGAGCACCTGACTGGCAGATGGCTCTGTGATACTTCAACTTGGAGTCCCTAGGATCCAAACAGGAAGAAGGATCAGGCATGCCTGACTGGCCTAGACCTCCCAGCTGTCAGCCACAGGGGCCCAGTGGGCCCTTGTCAGGATGGGCATGAACCCAGTCCCGACCCTGCTCTTAGTTGGATGACTCTTTCCCAATTTACTCACTTCTGCCTTGGCTATGGGGCCTGGAGGATCATGGCTCAACTAGAGGCGGTGAGAGCCACAGAGGAGGGGCCACAGCCAGGGCCTCTTTGTTCCATAAGGCTGCCCACAGACTTGACCTCAGAGTTGCAGCAAAGATGCTTCCTTGCATAGATCAGGAAGGTCTCCTTGTCCTCCTGCCCCAGTCCGAATGGTCCCAGGGCAAGAATCCCATGTGTACCCTGAGCATCCCTGGATGGTGCAAGGCCCAGGAGTCTACACGCCTCTGAAACCAGCCCAGCTCTGCCAGGCCACTGTGTCTCGGCACACCTCTGGGCCCTGCTTAGAATGCATATAGGAAGTGGGACTTTCAGAATGACATGGCCAAGCCTGGGGTGAGAGGCCTTTCTGTGGGCAGCGGAAGTAAGGAAAGTTCTGGGGCCAGAGCTGTCACACCCCACACGGTGGTCTAGAGACCACACACCCCTGTGCTGCCACTCCCTGCAGCTCTGACCTTGAACATGGAGGCCTGGGCCCTACAATCTTGAAACTCATGATGTCTAAAATCATCCAAAAGGTGTAAAAGTTGGTACACTGAAAGTTCTTCATACAGGCTGCCTCCAAGTAGAAGGTCCTTCAGGGGTCAGGGACTTACCGTGACCTTTGCCATCGGTAGGGTGGAGCTGGGATCTAGTGCTGTCAGTCCCAAAAGAGCAGAGAGTTGGAGGAGCTGCTTGCTCTCTGGCCCAGCTGAGTGACCGACCACGGAGCCCACCCAATGCCCTTGGCATTGTCATTGCGTGCAAAGAAAACCCACCTTGAGGGTGGCTTCGTCCAGAACTCTCACTTCCTCAATGAGCTTTTTCAGTTCTTCGGAGCTCAGCAGGGAGATAACTGACTGGCCGGGCTGAGAGCAGGGGGGCCCGTCCTCAGCTTCAGGGGTCTCCGCGAGGCCCTCTGTGTATTCTCGCAGCTCTGCAAGACTTCATGGGGAGAAGCCACAGATGGAGTGAAGGACATGTTAATAAGAGGCATGCTGATTGCATTGATGACTCCACAGCAGGCAAAGAAGGCAGCCAGCACTCCAGGCAGCCAGTCTGTGAGTGGAGACCATCACCCCTCCACTACAGCCAGGAGGAGGCCAAGTGGCTTATCCAAAGTTAACACAGCTGCCAGTGTACCAAAATGACCCCAGACCCAGAATCACAGCTTACCGCTGTTTCTGGTTCCAATGCTCATGTTTGCTGCCCAGTGAACTAATGTACTCAGTTACTGGATTCGTTTTAAAGAGAAACAAAGTGCTCCTATATGTTGCTTCACACCCCAAAGGCTGTACAGCAGCCGGAGTTGGCTCAGGCCAAAGCCAGGAGCCCAGAACTCAACCTTCCCAACCCTCTCCAACCGCCAGCACCAATAGATTAAATGTACTGGGCATTTGGCCTAAATGTCGAAATGCCCTTTGGGACACTGGAGTGTCTGGGCTGGGGAGTCCCAGCTCCATGCCTGATTCCTGTTTCTTATTAATTGTGCACTCTAACAGGTGATGGCCGAAGTCCATGGGACACTGCCGCCCATGTGGGAGACCTGCACTGAGTTCTAAGCTCCTGGTCCACCCAATTCCAGTTATTGCAGCTCCAAGAAAATGAACCAAAATGAACTGGTAGATGGAAGATCTCTCTCTGCCTGCCTCATCTCCATCCCTCTGCCTGTCGAAAAAATTAAAATCTCAGTAAATAAAGCAAGTAAATACAGGGCCACTCTGACAAAAGAGGGAAGAATGTGGAGCAGTCGACCTCCTGCGTGAAACAAGGGTGAGTGTGGAAGGAACCGGTGCACAGTTGGAAGGTTAGCTCCTGGGCTGGGCCCCCACACGCCCTAAAACTCTCTGGGCAGGGCTTGACCCTTCTTTTAGGGCCAGCAAGATTCCTAAAGAGTGTTCCCCTGACCTCCTCTGTTCTTCCCAAGTCACAGGGTCCACAAATGCCCACAGCGACTGGGCTGGGCTTTAAGCTGGAAACCAAACCCGATACAGGAGGTGGCAGGGACCTGCCAATTTCTCCCCTGTGGGGAGCACTGAAGCAGGGAGTGGAGGCAGGAACCAGCCTACACTGGGCATGGGCCTGTGGCACTTCAGTTAGCATCCTAAACACAGGGCCAAAGGCCTGTCTCCTTAATAGGAATTTTAAAAAGGTGCAATATGTGTTATCTCTCTCTCTCTTTCTTTCTCTCTCTCTCTCTTTTTCTCTCTCTCTCTCTCTCCACCCTTGAGTAAGTGGGCACAACCCTGTAACCAGCACATCTGAGCAGTTTCTTAAATGATACCCAGGATCAGAATGGAAGAAAGAGGAGTGAGATACAGAGAAATACAGTGTCAGCACTCACTTGAGGGAGAACCCTGTGTCCGAGGCAGGGGCTTCTGCAGGGCTGTCGGGGGCAGCAGGGTCCTCATGGGAGCATGGCCTGGGCGAGGCCCCTTCCCTAGGGCTGCCAGGAGCTTGGCCCCAAGACACAGCCGAAGGGAGGCACAGCAAGGACTTCATGACCGCCGATGACAATTGGCTGCTGATGGAGTAGAGTTTGCTGTTCTTTTCGTCCAGTGGCTTCGTCTCACAGGACTGGGTCCTGGTGAGGGGAAAACTCCGAGCCCGTTGGCCCGGCACCTTCAGAACAGGTCCTGGAGATGCCTCGGGTCGGGATGGGAGCAGTCTCTGCAATGGGTCCGGGTCTGAAGGCAGAGTTCGTGGACCAGGATGCTGTGCTGGGGGAGGAGACTCAGACACCCCGGGGTCGCTGGCCTCTGAGGCAGCAGGGGAGCCCCGAGACTGCTGATGTGGCTCTTGCTTCTGGAGCTCAGCGGATGGCAGAACCCCTCGCCCCAAGAGGCCAGAAAACCGGCCTCCCTCTGGCCTGCCAGGAGACTTCCCCAGCTCCCCAGGGCAGGGCTGCAAGCTCACTCTTTGAACTCTCCTGTCAGGCAGTTGAGAGGAACCGAAGTTTTCAAAAGAGCTGATTCTCTGTTTGATGGAGGAGGAGGAAGAGGGTCCCCGTGCATTCAGCCCAGGAGGCTCCCTGGAGGCAACTGTTGGCAATTCAGATGTGGCATCCGGCACCCTTCTGGACTCTGGAGCACGGCTCCTCAATCCTTTCAAACTTTGGCGGAACCAAGCTGGCTTGGGGGCCACTGGAGGCCCCTTCTTCACACCACTACTGACTTCTGCTGTCTGGCAAACTTTGGGAACACCATGAACAGGATCCAGCTTTGGGGTACAGGTTCCCTCAAGGTGGCCCTGCCGCCCGTCCTCCTCACGCAGGCTAGCGTTGGGCTGCAGTGGCAGGTGGCCATGGTTGTCACTCATGATGGGGCTAAAAAGGCTTTTGATGCAGTCAGAAATTCTCACCCAGGGGTCTTCGGCGGTGGTCTCGAGGCTGCAGTCCATCCGCGCCTGCCGCTTCAGCAGGGGGTGCCTCAGCGGGGACGTTTGGGATACTGAAGAACAGAAAGAAGGGCCCAAGCTCGGCATTGCCTCTGACCAGCATCTTCCTCCCTCAAGTTCAATGTCAAAGCTAAACAGCAAGGAGGACTAGAGGAAGGGTGAGTGAGAGACAGGTGGACACCAGGTGCCACAACCTGACCCAGATACTCAGGAGTGGGAGTTCACCTCATAGCACCCATGGTCTCAGATGGATACAGTCTCGGCCACTTTGTCATTCCAGATGCCAGAATACAGGAACAGAAAAAGACTCTGGCGGAGCCATGGCGTGACACCCAACTACCAACTTATACCAAGTCTTTTCCACTGCAGTAAGCAGTGCCCCCACCCCAGGAGGCTTATCAAAACAAAGGTGAAAGCCAAAGCCATGCTAGGCTGGGACCACCCACATCATCCCAAGCAGCACCAACATGGAGGGGGCAGGAAGAGGGCAACCCTGCTTGAATTAGCCCCATCTGTTTTCTCTCTCCCAGTGGGTCAGCATCTCACACTTCCCTGCACCTACCAGCCAAGGGAAATGAGATGCCCTTGCAGCTTTCCCTATATGTATACCACTAATCAGCAAGCATGGCAAAGGTGTGTCCACCCGCCTGCAAAGCTGATGAGCTCCAGGCAGGAAGAAGTACCCTGGCAATGATTCTCAGCCTTGGTTATACCTTCTGGAAGAATCTGGAAGGCCTTGAAAATATCGATACCTGGCCCCAGTTTCTGGCTGGAATGCAGCCTGGGCCTTGAGAATGCCAGCATCCCTACAGTTGATGCCACGGGCAGCCTGCTCTGCATCTGCCAGACATGCACAGTGAGTTCAGCCCTTTGACACAGGGAGCAGCATATGCTGTTTCCTAGAAGCCAGATGGAACCTGGGATACTCTACCCTACTTCTTTTTCCATGGACAGAGGGAGGCCAGGCCTTGTGCTCTGAGGGAATGCTTGATACTTGGGGAGAATGCAGACTTTTGGACCCCGTCTCAATCGCAGCTTCTAAGGGACCCCATCTGGACACAGCATCAAACCTTGAAGTCAAAATGTGGTTAAGCTACTATCTGCAACACTGCATTTCACATCAGAGCACCAACCGAAGTCTCAGTTGCTCTGCTTCTGACCCAGCTCCCTGCTAAAGCACGTAAGAAGGTGAGAAAAGATGCCCCAGGTGCTTGGGCCACTGCTATCCATGAAGCAGACCTGGGTGGCGTTCCAGGGCTCCTGACTTCAGCCTGGCCCAGCCCCAGTCGCTGAAATGTGAAATCACCTAGGAAGTAAACCAGGGGATGGAAGTTCTCTCTCTCTCTCCATGTCAATATAAGTAAATAAAAGGAGAGGAAGAGAGAGAGGGAGAACCTCTGACCCATCCAGGGGCATGGGTGGGCACCACTGCACTGACACAGAGGCTATGACACATGAGTCCTGCCCTCTCAGCTGGTTTAATATTCACGAAGCCCTTGACTGCCAGGAGCTGCGGTGGTGGGAACAGAGAAGCAGCGACTCTACAGCAAAACCTTGCATGCTGAGCCTGGGAGAGCTTACAAACGAAGCAGCAAGGCCTTCCCCAGGCCAGTTCCTCAATTAGAATGACTAAGGGACAGGCACGGCAGTGGTGGGTTAGCCTCCATCTGCAGAGCACCAGAACTTTCCACTCCTGGCATCTCTACAGCTCCGGAAACTTTTCACATGCTCTCTCCTGCAGCACTTCTCAGGTAAGTACAGGAGCATACTTGAGCAATTTTGTGGACAAAAAAGTTAAAGCCTAATATCCTTTTGGTGTTTAAAAACAATGAAATTCATGCTTGATTTTTTCACAATATGCATTTCCATGAAGACCCCCTCATATGTGCAAATTTCAAAAAAGACTGCGTGTCAAAAGGTACCTAGCATTTGATTTAATTTTCCTCCAGCTCTTTTCAGTATCTTGGTATGATTCATCAACTATATATATATGTGTGTGTATGTGCATGTATATAACCACAGTTGTGAGTTCCTGATAGTAGCAAGGGCTTGTTTGTTTGACTCCTTTCTGCCTTTCTGTCCACATGTCCCCTCAGAGCCAGCATTCAAAGTGCACCTGCTGCTAGGGCTGGATGTTGGAGTTAGATAACAGTTTGTACACTCTGTTGCTCAGCAAGGCAGAGAAGCTGCCCAGAAGCCCAATCCATGTAGGGCTTGTCCAGGATTCCTTATCTGAATCTTACACACATTCTAGAAAACCATTCAATATGCTAATCACCTTTTAACATGGCCAGGGGTGCCACCGGGACATCAGCCCTGCTGTCCACCCCAGGGAGATGGTCCTCACCCCCTGGGAGGCACGGATGGCTCTGGGAAGCTGCGTTCTCACACCCGGGAGAACTGAAGGCTGACATGTTGGTACCCTAGAGCCAGCCACCCAGGAGGGCCCACGGGTGTGTCTTGGGATGGCTTCCCGAGAGCTACTTTCTCCCACTGACTGTCTTACGTTCCCCCACTCCATCTTGTGGCCAACCAGCAGCCTATCCACCCTGGACAGACCCCTCTCCTGCCCAACCACACCAGCTCCCTGGCTTGTACTTTGCCCCTTAGCCTCTGACCAGCCATCAAGTCAATGTGTAACCCTCTGACTCTCAAGCCAAACTCAGGTACATCCCCACCCCCTCAACTCTGTCACCAGGAGGCTCTTCCTCCTGCAAGATCTCCATGCAAAGCTCACCTGGACTGGCTCCTCTCCTGCTCCCTGGCTCAGCTTCTGCAGAAGACGAAGCCTGATTTTCAGCTCCGGGTCCTGGGCAGCCAACAGCCACCGCGTGGAGTGTTCTCCCTGCTGTGTCTTCCTGTGTTGTAGGCGGCGGAGGCGACAGTCGCGGCAGCAACTCTCTGGCTTCCTGTGGTGTAAACAGGAAGCAAGAGCATGTCAAAACGGTAGCCTCCAGCTGTGAGAAGGACGGGGCCCTTGGGTACCAGAGAGCCCACACAGAGCTGCCTGACAGGAGAGAGTTAATCTATTGTCTTGGACAAAGGGATCTGTCTCCATTGCAGAGTCAGCACCTCCTGCAACCCCAGAGTGTGCAGTATAGTCCAGACAATGGGCACATGCCCTGCACACATGGGGGGACCCTGGATCCTTGGGACAAGGGACAGGAGACCTGGGATGTGGATCTGGAGGCTTCTGCTTCATTTACAACTGCATCCTGCCATGATCTCAGCATCAGAAGGATACCCCATGGTGTACAGATAAATGGAACAGAGAAACAGCCATCTGGTAACCTCTAAGTCAGGTTATAACACACTTGGGAAAATGCTTGTCCGTCACATATTTCATTGTTATTTCATCATCACAGATTCAATGGATATGCCACAGAGGATGGCACAGATTTAGAAGCTTCTCAGCACTCAGGGTGACCTGTGCCATTGCCCCCCCCACCTCCTCAGCACCTAGGGTGACATCATCGGTCTACTGAGCATTGGTCTACCATGGAGCTGTTCCCTTCACCCCATGAGCCTGGTTGCTGTCTCAGAGTCCTCCCCAAAGCCACCTGCTACACATTTTTTTTTTTTTAAGATTTACTTTACTTATTGGAAAGAGAGTCATAGAGAAGGAAACAGAGAGAGAGAAAAAGAGATCTTTCCATCTGCTGCTTCACTCCCCACGTGGCTACAGTGGCTGAGGCTACACCAAATCCAGGACCGGAGCTCGCCAGCAGGCAGGACGACCAAGCACTCATGCCACTCAGCTAACCAGTGGCGAGGCTCACCAGACCAATCCAAGAACAGGCTCCAGGCAGGCAGGACAGGACCCAAGCACTCGTGCTATCTTCTCCTGCCTTCCCAGGTGCATTGGCAGGGAGCTAGAGTGGGAGCAGAGCAGACAGGACTTGAAGCAGCTCTCCAGTGGGGGTGACTGACATCACAGGCAGTACTTAGCCTGCTGTGCCATAAGGCCTGCCCCACTAAGTCCTAAACAGAGTTAGAATTATCCCCTAAATATGAGAGAGATGCTCTCATGGCCCAGAGGAGACACGAAACCCCAGTTCCACCCTGCAGGTGGAGAAAGCTAAACTAATGAGATGCTGTTTGTCAACAGGATTGGACCTGGATGACAGAGTAAGAATGTTTAAGACAGAGAAGCAATACAAGGCTTGTTCCAAGAGAGAAGGACTCATCATGAGTGACACACACCCAGCAAGATGGCAAGCATGTCAGCCCCATGATGCCTCCTGGATTTGTTCTTCTGCAAGGGAAATGTTTGGCTGTGCTGCAATGGTCTCCATCCACATGCTGCTCCTCCCAGAGTCAAGCGGCAATGGACTAAGGCACAAAGCTACAGGCTACCCTCCAGGAAGGAAGGAAAGACAGGAGGAAAATGCATCCTTTGGGTCTATAAAAAGAACTGGTGAACATCCACTTTCTAAGATCCACAATGGGGATGCACATTCTCTGTGAAGGAAAGTTTTAGAGGGGATAGAAGTGTGTTCACGGGGCATGGCCTCAGGCCAGGTTCCCCACTGCAAAGCTGAGGTGGAAGGAGTGTTGGGGTAATGCAGAGAGATAAGAACAGAGGAATCACTGGGCTCCTTGCACGCATCCTTCAAGAAGGCACCACTCGATGGTGCATCTGACGCTTCAGGACTGTCACAGCACAAGGAAAATGACAGGTGGCTGGGGTTAGATCTCCCCGGCTGAGAGAGCTCTGACCATGCACGCCAATTTCTGGCACCTTTACAGGTGGACACATCTGGTGCCACAGGTAGCTGTGTAAGTAGCCATGCATCTTGAAACACACACACACACTTTCCTCACACACCTGATGCTGCATCCTTTCCATGGGAGGCTTTTTCAATTAGTCCTGAAAATAAATTTGGCTTTGCACAAATGGACCCGAATCATGCTTCTTGTCTGGTAACTTGGTGGATAAGCCAAAAAGGTGAAGAAAGAGGGGAAGGGAAAACTGAGAAGTGGACTTAGAAGGGAGGGGATAAAGTAGTGAGTTTTGTTTAAGAATGCAAGAAAAGGAGAGGGTCCTGTGTTTTGCAACAAGAATGGACCTGAAAGGTGTTACACTGAGGGAGAATAACTGAGCACAGAAAGGCAAATATTAAATCATCTCATTACATGTGGAATTAAAAGAAAGAAAAAGAAGAATAGGAAAGGAAGAAAGGAAGCAATTAAGGAAGGAAAGAAGGAAGGAAGGCTCTTGTAGATGTTGCAATTAGAACAGTGATGGTCAGAGGCCAGGAAGGGGTAGGAAGAAGAGCGAGGGAGAGCTCTGTCGGAGGGTTTGCATTGCAGTTTAGTAGGAGGAGAAAGTTGTGGTGTTCTGGTGCCCGGTAGACTTTCTGCAGCTAACAACCATTTATCGTGCAACATGAGCAGCAAGAAGAGAGGATTTCCAAGGTTCTCGGGACACAGAAAGGATGGAAGTCTGAGGTGCTGGCTCTCCTAGCTCCTCCCACTTCATTATGGCGCCATGAGTCTATGTGAATCTCACACAATGTAGCCACAGATGGAAACAACACATTGGAACCCACCAAGCTGCACTCACAGGGTTACAGTGACCCAGCAAAGTCAAACGAAGAGAACGGAGGTCATCTTAAATGTGGAGGCTAAGGCCGCTGAGTTACAGGAGGTAGGAAAGATCTGGGGCCAGTTGTTGGCCTAAGAACCCTGGAGAGGGAAGACCGCAGGGAGAAGAGTGGGGTGGGAGAGAGCTTGTTCCTCAGGGATCATGGAGGAACACACACCCCCAGAACCGATCACAACTGCTTCCTGTCATCTGTTGTGCTGTAATTCCTTTGCTGTGACACTTGCCTCTGTACATTGTGTTTTGTGGGGCAAGGGTAATAGGATGAGAGCCTGCTGCCATGGGGGTAGGACAGCACTGCCGGTGGGAGGAGGAGGTGGTGGATTCTGATGGGCAGGACAGGGAGCCAATGACAAGGGAAGCTGCTCTGTGGAAGCTGCTGACCCAGCCATCCATGCCGAAGCCCCGCCTCCTCCTGCTCAGGCAGCTGCCTGCCCTGGCCTTGCTCGCAGAATCTGCTTGCCCTTATATGGTCCTGCACAGGCAAGGGGGCACATGGGCGTTTCCAGAGTGCACCTGCTCTGCACACTTCCTTCTCCACAGAAGACAGCACACATGCTTCCAGCTTGCCTGCTATAGGTCTGTTCTCTCCACTTAAGAGGTCGAGTCCAGAGGAAAATACATCTGCTTCCAGGAGGAGGTGGGGGCGCAGACCCCACTGAGCAACCCTGCGTGCTGCCGCTAGACAGCCACTTCCTTCACTCTCTACTTCCTCTTATGAACTAGCTGGCTTCCTGCTTCCCTTCCTGCCCTCTCACCTCCTCCTCAGGACTCACTTAGCCTCCTGCATTATGTCAGCCATCCTAAGCAAAGGGTTCAAGACATTTGCAGAGCCCATCCTACATGGCCAGCAACGGCAGCCGCCCAGGAGGATGGGAGAGACGGTGAGCATGGGGGCTCACAGGCACCCTCGGCAAACCCTGTGACCTTGAGCAAGCTTCCTGCTTTGTCTACCTCGGGCCCAGCCCACACACCTTTTGTTAGGACCACAAGAAGATTTCAATACACAGAGAGAAATGGATCAAGTCAGAGCCATCTGCTGAAAAGCAGCAGGTGCAGGAGATGTCACTATGCTGAACACAACCGTGCCTGAGCCATCACCAGCCCTTTGTGGGGGTCGCCAGACAGAACCTCAATCCCCACCTTGGAAACCTCCGACATGGAAGCTTCGGACTTCCCCAAAGGGGCTGGGAAGAAACACCAACCGGTTTTACCCAGTCACATCCAGCAGAGGGTGACAAACGTGATTACCCTCGGGTAACAAATGTCCCCCTCCTCCCTCCCCCCACACTAGCTGACCCCAAATGGTCCCTGGGCAGAGACGTCTGGCCCTCCCTCCCTCCGGCCATGGAGTAGGTTTCCAGGAATGCAGTCGCTTCCCCACGGTGTAAGGTATGCAGAGGAGCCTCATGGGGAACTGTGTGTTCCCAATTGTTACAGGGGAACCCAGAAACCAGCGAGAGGCATGGAAGTCCAGTCTGGGATCTGCCATGCTTCAGTCCTGTCGTACCACTGCCAGGTTTACCCTGAGTCCTAAGTTTTAGCTGTTCTCAGCTACAGCAGCAGGGACCCAGGCTCTGCTTCCCCGAGATGCAACTTCACGGCTAAGCAGCCGTGACCATGTGTGACCCAGACACGTCATCTTACCTGGCAGCAGGTGGACAAGGTGTGCCCAGAAGGACTTGAAGAGTTCTCCGTCTCTGCTAGACCCTTTTGGGGGTCACTATCACTTTTGAAGTATTTTCTGGGTGGGGGTTTGGGCTTGCAGGACGTGGGCTTTCTCACAAAAATCTCAAAGGATTTCTTCAGCCGCACTGGTGGGTGGGTGTCCTGGCTCTCCGGCTGCTGGGGTGGGCTGTCCTGGAGTGGTCTGGATGAGAGAGTTGAGGGAGGCACCTCGGGCTGCTGGCCCAGGTGCAGGCTGGGGCTGTGCCTGCTGACTTTCTGATTAGAGGGTCTATTCTCTGTGCCTCCACCTCCGTCAGCACTGCTGGGGCTGCCCCCCGGGGACCCGGACATGTAGCTGCTGTCGCTGCTGGAGCGGATCATGACCTTCTGGGCCCTGCGATGTGGGGGTGCTGAGTTCTTCTCTCGCTCCTTTTCCAGGGTGGGCCGCCCGTGCCAGCTGCTCTCCAGCCTCTTCACACCTACACGGGAAAGCAGAGAGATGTGCATGGCTAAGCCCTGGGAGGCGGTGGGAGCTCCCCTCCCTCCTCCACCTTACCACCGTCCTGACCTTCCTCAAGGCATCTGTAGGTCCCCACACTGCACCCCACTATCAGAGGCCTCTTGAAGTTTGAAGGTCAACAGGCTTGGGTTTGAACCCTGAGGAGCTGGCCAACTTTGGCTGGGAAAATTTGCAACTTTTCATTGCTTGTTTATTTAGCTGAAAGGTACAGCCCAGAGAGTGAAAGAGATCTTCCATCTACTAATTTATTTTCCCCAAATGGCTGCAACATCTGGAACTGGGCCAGGATGACTCCAGGAGCCCAGAAATTCCATCCAGGTCTCCCATGTGGGTGTCAGGAACCCACGCACTTGGGCCACAACCATCTATCGCTCCCTTAAACACATCAGCAGGGAGCTGAAACCTGAAGCAGCACTCTGCTATGGCGTGATGGCATTCCAAATGATGACGCAACCCCCTGCACCACAACACTGAACACAGCCTTTCTGAACTGTGGGTGGTGCACTAGGAGATGGTAGCCATCAGGGAAGGGCCAAGTTTCCAGCGATGGGGAGACAGCTGGCAGATGTCCTGAGCCATCAGCTTCTCCAGAGGCAGCCTCAGCTACAGAGAGTCACGTCATCCAGTGAGTAAGGGAGAGGGGCTACATGGGAAATCAAACAGTTCACAGGAATTGGAATTAAGAGATAAATTATCCTGGTGCAAAAATTTTGAAATTGGATTGCTTTAGAAAGTTCACCAAAAAATGTATATTGTGAAAATACCAAGGCATGGATTTTTTTTTAAATGCACCCAATAAACTTATGTTTAAATTCCATGTGCTCACAGATTATTTGGAGTGTCCCAAAGCCTCGGTCAGTTCTGCCAACAGGGATCAGCTCTGAAGGTGCCTGCTAGATGCAGGCCCTCAGCAGCTGGCCAAGGTGGCCTGGTGACCATCTCATCTCCCACTCCTCCCTCAGCCCAGCCCTGCCACAGGTGGAAACATCTCTCCTGCGAAGCCCCATGTCAGTGAACTGTGCCTAGAAAACCCAGTCCTCCACACTCCATTTCCCTGGCCATGAAATGAAGCTACAAATTCCAGCAGGCTTGAGGGTTGACGGCTAGGAGAGAGAGCAACTGAGCAGGCACATTGAGGCTCATCCATACTAGTTTAGGTTTTCTTTCCAGCTGATGATCAAGCCAGCCCACAAATCTGACTTTTCCCCTCTGCATTCTAGCCCTCCTTCCTTGTCAGGAGCCGTGTACCATAGCCACACTGAAGCCATGTCAGGAGCCGTGTTCTGTAGCCACACTGAAGCCATTTTGAATATAGAACTATGGGCCAGTGGAAAACTCCCAGCTGGCTAGATGTTTGGGAAAGAAGTTATGAAACTAATCACACGCTTAGCTTCAATTGTTTCTAGCAACTGTTTCAGAATGTGATTTATACTATACCTGCTGACATCTTGTTACTGGTTACCTATGCTATTGTTGATATGTTGGTTACTATGGTTGATATGGTAGCTGCTCAAGAACAATCGGTCTTGAGACCATGGCTTGCATCCCAGTTTCTCCTTTCCTCCCTGAGCCTTAGTTACTGAAGAATATAAAAACCCTCAATTAAAATCAATAAACTGACAGCTTGATCAGACATCCTGTCTTGCTGTCCATTCTTCGTGTCTCTTGTCCCTTATTCTCTCCTAGGTTGGTCTCAACCCCCGTTGACTGTCCTGCTGGACGGGACACTTCCTGGTGCCAGGCTCCTACTCCTGCCGTTTCCTGCTTTAGGGCTGTCCTCTTTCTAGTGGTAAACCATCATAGTTCTATAATTACAGGTCAGTAGTTCAGGCCTGTTCTGCTGCTCAAATTCCAGCTTGTTCTGCAGGGCTTGGAGAACCACGAGAACCTCATGTAAGAACACTGTAGGGTACAGGAAACACTCAAGGCTAGCTAACTTCATAATCCAAATCCTCTTTAAAGAAAAACACTGTTCCTTGTGTTGTTCTGTTCTGCTTGTAGAATAAGTGTATCCTCCTTAGAGAAAACTCAGACACACACACACACACACACACACACACACACACACACAGAAGGGAAATGAAAGTGAAAATTCATCTGTGGTCCTATGAGCCAGAGATAACCACTGGCAACCTTTGATGGGTTTCTCTGTAACTTTGCCTGAGTCTATCTACATGTGTGGAAGGTGGACATAGTAAAAACACAATTGAGATAAAATTACATGGTTTGTCCTTTGCACTGAATGCTTTCCCAGGCCATTTGACCTCCTTGTCAATGTCAGGGCTAATGGCCATACGTTGTTTCATCATGTGTATGTCCTGTGATGACTTGGCCAATTCCAACAGGGTCCCCCACTCCGATCCTCTCTCTACTGGGGCAGTGGCTTTGGGTAAAAGAACCTTATGGAGCATTTTTCTCATATCATGTGCCTAAACATTGGCTGTGATGAGTCAAAGGATGTATGAATGAATGTTGGTGGTTCTCAGGATTCTAACACTGTAGATAGGGGTTATAAATTCCACTGTACACTGGGATGATGGTTTGATTGGCCACCTGTGGTAACCTAAGGGGAAATAATGGAATCTACAGGGAGTCAGAGAGTACCTATGACAGTTAAAATAAGTCACAATGAGGTACTGTTATAATCTTGTGCCTTCCCGACCAAGCAAAGATGTGAGCCAAGTTTGGTGAGTGGACTGCTACTAACTCTAGACCCTTGGCCATGCACCAGGTTTGGCCATGATGGCTGTTCTCACTTTGAGTTCACTGGCAATCTCTGAGCTTTTTAGAAGGCTGAGGTCCCACAAGACAATACCCACCATTCCCCTTACCTTCCAGACTCCACTGATGCCTCTCCTTTCCAAACTTGATGTTCTCCGCAGCCTGTGCCACGGCTTCCTTGAGTTGTTGCTCAGAAACCTGGAAGACATCAATCCTCTCCTCAAACAAAGGGTAGAAACTCCCATGCCCTGCCCCAGTCCTCTGCAGCCATAAGAACTTGGAACAAGGTTTTGGGACTTCAGGCCCCAACCCAGGAATGCCCCGAGCCTCCCCCCTCCCACCCCCCCGCTTTCATCCATTTCTGGTTCCGATCTTGGCACTGATAAGGTGATCCTGGAAGAAGAGAAGCCAGCAGGTGTCACCTGTGGGTCTGGATGCCGGCTGACAATGATGGGGACCGGCCCGGGATCACAGTGGCTCAGGACAGCATAGACCTCATTGAGTGTCATGCAGTGCACTGGGGACTCGTTGACCTCCACAATCTCATCACCGCACCTGCCAGATGCCAATAGGAAGCTGTTAGAGAGCCCATTCCCATACAGGCTCTTGGGGTCACTCCAGCAGCAAGGGGAGTCTCTTGTCTTCCTGAACAGGGGGAACCAAAGAAGGGCATCTCCCAGTGCTTAACCACAAAGTGGCAGGTATATCAGACCTACGAAGGATTAAGGTGAACCCAAGTTTGTTTGTGACTCTCCTCTTCCTCCCACTCAGCTACACTCAGTCGACATGGAGGATGTGACCGAGGCAACTTCACTGATCAACCCTGAGTGTACGATTCATGTGAGCCTGGGTGTCCTTACAACCAGAATGGTTAGAACAGATGAGTTAAGATATGCTGGAAAAGAAAGCAAAGACATAACTGGACAGCAGAATGATTGAAATGGTCTTAAAAGGAAATAAGGAGAAAGGAGAGGATTGGTCGCAGCTTACAGAGGCTGTTTGGGACACCCACAAGCCATTTTGGGGTCCTTGGGTTTCAGCCCTGGCTCTGCTTCTAATTCTGGTTTCCTGCTGCTGGATAGCCTGGGAGACTCAAGTACCAGGGTTATGGCACCCACATGGGAGACCTGTGTTGAATTCCAGGTTCCGGGATTTGGCTGGCCCAACTTCAGCTTTTGTGGGCATTCATAGAAATGAGCCAGTGGATAGGAGATTTCTGTCTCTATACCTTTCAAATAAAGGACAGAAAAAAAGACAAGGAAGGACCAACGGGTGATAGAACTCATTTCATTTGCAAGTTGGGAAGCAAGTTACTAGCAACCTGAACAGAAAAAGAAAAAGAAAGAAACAGCCTGGATATTGCAGGAGAAGGATCCCCTCTCTCTCTCATATGAAAAAATAAGTAAATCTTTGTTTTTAGAAAATCTACTTTTTCTCTATTGAGTCCACATGTAAACTTCATCAGATCCCCTATGCATAGGTCACTCTAAACTGTGTGTTAGTCAAACTTGTGCTAAGGCATGGTGATGACATGGTGATTGCTTCCAATGGGATTCCCTGAGGCCACACATCTCCATCTCTCCTGGGCATTCAAACTCTGAGATCCTGTCTGCAAGCAGACGCAGCTGTCAGCCAGCCTGGAGCATAGCATCTGAGAACCTATATTTCCCACCTGCTTCCAGATGGTGCCCTCACGCCATGTCCTGGTTCAGGGCCCACACTGTGAGGATCAAGGCTGTGGGCCAAGCCAGGATCACTCTCAGCCTTTCCTGACATCCTGCACCAAGGACCAGGCTCTTCGTGGAAGCAGCAATGAGGACTTACCGCAGCCGTCCATCCAGATGTGCCACAGAGCCTGGGGAGAGCGTGTGCACGAAGATGCCTGAGATGCACTGGAAGTAGGGCACGCTGCACAAGCCAATGCCCAGGCCAACACCAGCCTCTGCAAGGCAGAAAGGAGAAACTAGTGACCAAGCTATGCCAGGTGCCTGCTAGTGCCTCGGACCCTGGAAGGGGCCAGTGTCCCCAATCCCCTTAGGCCTCTCTATCCACATTCCCAAGAAGCAATGCCATGCAGGCACTACAAGGCTCGAAACAGTGACAGAAGGGATGCAAAGGGCCATGGGTTCAAGGGGCCAAGATTAGGAAAGAGGAAGGGAAGGAGGAGAGAGGCATCATAGAGAACTGATGGAGAATGTACTAGAAAGCAACAGGATTGCGCACTCCTTTGCACAATCAGAGGAGACAACATTTAAAGCATGGATAACAAGAAGGAGCCAGGAAGGAGGAGTTGAGAGCTGGGCAGAGTGTTTCCAAGCCTGGAAACAGCCCATGCTGGGAGAGGAGTGGGGGAGAGAAGACTGCCATGGTGCAGGAGGAAAGCGGCCAGCATGACCAGATCCCAGATGTCAGGGGAGGGAGGAGTGGGAGCACCTATGAGAAGGACTGAGGGCCTGATTCCCAGCACACAGTAGACAGGTGCACAGTGAGGGGGCATCATTATACTCATGGGGGAATGCCCAAGGGGAGCTGTGAACAGTAGGCGATACATCTGAATGCTGTGTGCAGCCTATGTTACTTGTGTGTCCAGTAATGTGTCTATGTGTGTGTGTGTGTGTGTCTGTGTGTCCATGTGTATCTCTGTGTTGCTTGCATGTCTATGAATGTGTCACGTGTGTGTGTGTGTGTGTGTGTGTGTGGTGTATGGGATGAGCATTTGCTTTCTTTTGTTTCATTCTAACCCACTGCACCTGAACCCATGCACTGCATCCGGATGGGGATGTCTTAGGCTCCTATCAACCAACAGATGTGAAGCACCCAGCCCAGCCCCGCAATCACCCAAATCAGCAAAACAGAGAGACCCCGCCCCGCCCCAGGGAGACTCAGCCCACAGTGCAGATCCCTTCGCTCCTACCTTTCTTCAAAGACACCTCCACCATGATCCTGTAGCTGGGCTTGCTGGCACTGCTGCCGGGGCACACTGGGCTGTCCAGGGTGAAGCAGCTGCTGTCCCTGGCCCCACAGGTCCCGGAGCTCAGTGAGCGGCTCAGTGGTGGGGACAGCTGGTTGTACAGACCGGGTGGCGCCGACAGGCGAGTCCTCACCGTGAGGGTGAGCAGCCCCTTTTTGGCTTGCTGGAAGGAAAGGGAGTGGGTGGCAGCCTTGGGTGACCAATGAGGGACAGGTGGACACCAGTGACTCCTCTGGGAAGCAGGAATAGAGTACTTTTGAAAGGAAATGCAGGTGTGTGTGTTTGTGTGTGCAGGGGCTTAGATGTCTGCATATTCCTACAGATAACATACTTTGTATCGATGCTATATACAAGAGTGACAACTTTGTAGAAAATGAAATTCAAAGTTAAGAGTTTTTGTGCAAAACTGAAATCCATGCACGCAGAAGATTTTCTTCACAGAGTTCACGGGTCAGGGTGGAGAGGGTGGATGTGTGGGTTAAGCCACCACTTGCGATGCCGGTATCTGTTATCAGAGTGCTGACTCCAGTCCTGGCTGCTCTGCTTCTCACCCAGGTCCCTGCACATGCACCTGGGGAAGGCAGCAGAACATGGCCCAAGTGCTTGGGTCCTTGCCACCCACACGGGAGACCAGAATGGAGGTCCTGGCTCCTGGCTCCTGGCGTCAGCCTGGCCCAGCTCCAGCTGTTGAGGCCATTTGGGGAGTGGATGGAAGATCTGTCTTTCCCTCTCTCTGTCACCCTGCTTTTCAAAGCAGTAAAGTTTTTTTTTTAATAGAAAGTTCTTGAATGTTCTATACTGACTTTACAATGTTTGTACCAAAATAACATGTTTTAATTTACTTCCCATGATATATACATGTGAATTCATGTATAGGCACACATATGCATGTGTATATGTTACAGTTTTGATTTTAATTAGGTAGACTCAAAAATATCTTTCAGTGATTGTCTTAAAAGCTGAAAACAGATCCGTAAATATGTTGATATAAATGCAGAGCATTTCAAAGCATCTGTACAAACTGTCCCCCTGCAACAAGGCAGATTATAATACTACTTTTTCTTTTTTTCAGATTTATTTATGTGAAAGGTAAAGTTAGACAGGGAGGATGAAGGAAGATGCAGAGAAGGAGAGAGTGCTTCTGTCTGCTGGTTTACTCCCCAAATGATCACAACAGCCAAATCTGGGTCAGGCTGTAGCCAGGAGCCAGGAGTTTCATCTGGGCCTCCCACATGCATCACAGGGGCCCAAGCACTTGGGGCATCTTCTGCTGCCTTCCAGATGCGTGAGCAGGGAGCTGGAGTGGCCAGGACTTAGAGGGGGCCTCCTACTGGAAGCCTTAACCTGTTGCTCCTTGACACTGGCCCCTACACTATTACGTTCTGAGTTTAACACAGTTCCAAGGTGGGCATCAACTAGCTGGCCCATGAAGAGTTTAATGTTGCTGAATTCATGGATTTGGACACAGGAAGGTGATGCGGAGGGCATGGTTTCTAAGCCTGAAGATCCCAGGGACTGTGATGTGTTTAACAAGAACCACCCACCTTGAACTTCTGCAGGGCATCCTGGTGTGTCAGTCCAGCCATCGACTCCCCGTTGAGTTCCAGGATCTCATCACCTGTTAAGAGAGAACATCTCCCATATGGGTGCAGGGACCATCTGCCCTTGTTTTCACAGTTGGTATTAGCAGAGAGTCAGATAAGAAGGGGAAGAACTGAGATACACAACCACACTCATTGGAAATGTTGGCATTGCATGTGGTGATTCAACCTACTGTGCCACAGTACCAACCCTCACTGTGGCTTAATTTCTATGTCACTAATTCTCCTTACAGCTGTATCTAATCTGACAAAAGATCAGCCAAGTTGAACTTTCTCAAATTTCAAAAAATATATATTATTTTTCTTTAAAAATTCATGAGTCATTTTGTTTACACTTACTGTTTCCATCATATTCTGGTCTGTCCTTATCACTTATGTTCTTTCTTTTTCTCTATTTGAAAATAAATTTAAACTGGGAAGTTTTACAGTCTTTCCTACTTGTTCCCTTGCCTTAGGTGTTTTCGAGCTAACGCTCCTTCCTGCTGAACCATGTTAATAGTGGACATGTCCTAATGTTGTATTTGACTTTTACTGTGAACTTATTTTTCCAGAATATTCTATTTTTCTATGGGATTCCCCAAGGCCTTAAATCACCACCAGCTTTTCTTTTTTTTTTTTTTTTTTTCTATTTCCACCCTAAGGCACCCTGAGGGTTTCCTGAGTCAGAACTAGCTTCAGCAGTATTCTCTAAATTTGGGGATCCATGTGTTCTACGGCAACTGTATTCCTAGTTCCTGGAATTCTAGTCCCTGGACTCCTGGTCCCTGCCCCCATGTATACAAACAGTGAATAGCCCCCCGGGTTTTGCCCTTCATCTCCTGAGTTTGCCACACTTCAATTTTGTATGTATGTTTTCTGGCATTTTGGAGTTTCTATTTCTTTAGGGGTTCCAGTGTCCTACTTTATCCAACTATGTATGTGTTGGAAACAGTAGGAGGGAGCAGGGTGGAGAGGGTCCTGATTCTAATTACACAAAGAGATAAACTCGGACTCATTAGAATGTTTGCCCTACAAGGCCAAGCAGCCTGACCTCAAGCTCTTCCAAGTAGATGGCAGACATACTATGCATTTTCCATTTACTTCTTAGAGATTTCTTGTGTCCCTTATGTGGCCGTATCTAGTGGAAGTTGACTGACTTAAGTTTTGCCAAAGGAATCATTCACAATTCTTTTTGGAAGGAGGATAGAAATGAGACATGAATGGCCTCCATCCATACACCAAGCCTCTGCTGCAGGCAATCGATCCCTCAAGAACGGAGAATAGAAAGTGTGACTTTGTAAGTTATAGGATGCAGCTAGGTCGGTGATTGGAGGCTAGAATTCCGAACAAGCTGAGTGTCGGATCACTGGAGTTCTGTGCTTACAATACAACCAAATAAGGGACAAATTCCTAAGGGGGAAAAAAACGAAGCCTGACTTGGGCAATTTGGCATTTGAGGGAATAAAATAAAATACACTGCCCTCCATTCCTGTGGCCCTAACTCCACCCTGTTCACATTCAAATCCTAAAGTTGGGGTGATAACAGAAGGTGCACTCTGGATTCTGACCCCACAGTTCTCCACTTCTCTCTTCAGCAGCCCTGCTTCTCCTGCCTCTGGCTTTCGCAGCTCCACAGCAACATGGCTAGACTCTCCCTGTCTCCTTCCAAGCCCCAGGTCCATGCAAAGCAGCCTGTGGTCCTCAGCGCTGGCCCAACCACACAGTCGTTGGAAACAGGGTGAGAAACCAACCTTCTTGTAACCTTCCGTCAGCAGCAGCTGCTCCTCCAGCGAAGATGGTTTTGACATAAATCCCAATGGGGCCATAAATGCTGTCCTTCCCCCCAACGATGCTGAAGCCCAGGCCCTGGGGAAGGAAGAGGAACAGGTGGGAGTTAGGACTGTCTCCATCCTGCATGAAGGAAGGAGCGTAGGAAAGGAGGGATCCTTGTCCCATGGGCCTTGGGGCATCAGCACCAAGGCCAACCTAGGCTATGCAGTCTGGAGGTTCGGAGCAAGCCCAGAGGAGACAGAGTACCTTGGGTCTATGCCTCCAGCTGGCAATTCTGTCAATGCCTTCTGCCTTTGGGCAGGTTCCACTTTGCATGTGTGCCAGGTAGGAACCAGTAGCAGCAGCTTGGCTCTAGACAGAACCATTCAAATGAGGGCTGCCATTGTACCCACACCACAGCCAGGAGAGCCGTGATCATGACCTGTGTCCCAGGACGTGAGAGAAAAATGATGGCCAGGAGTAGTACCAGTCCAGGAAGAGCATGAGGGAGGAGTAGTCCCAGGGCTCCTCTATGGGCTACCAGTTCTTTCCCGAAATAATCACAAGAGACTCCCATTCTTACCCTCCCTAGTGAGGCAAGATAGCCTGGTGGTTAGCAACAGGGCCTAGCGGCCAGGAAGTCTGGGACTATCACCTTAGGTCAGTTGTTTGCTAACCAAGTGACCAAGAGTAAGTTCTGTAACCTTCCCCCTGAGACTCCAGACTCCATGTCTAGAAAAAAGAGGGAATCACAATTGGGTTTCTGTTCCCCATGCAAATCCCTTTGCATAACGCCTGGGTCTTGGTAGCCGGTTGCACTTTTTGACTGTGGCCTGACTTCAAGCACCTGCTGATCCTTCCAAGTTCTGAGTCCTCCTTCTGAACTCAACCTGAGCCTCCCTCCCACCAGATGCCTCTGTAAGTGACCAGGTCTTGGGTGTGCAGGTAATTCTCGAGACTCATTGCCCCTGCTCCAGACACCAGATTTCCATTCTTCATTTTTTCCCCATCCACGAGTATTTATTGAACGTACCTTCTACACAACCAAGAGAATGTAAACCACACTGGATCATCTTTACACCTCTCCCATGTCTCTTAAGCATTGCCAAAAAAATTTAAAAGCCAGTTTTAAACAAATAAAAGAGAGAGAAGAAAAATTGCTTCTTTCTAAATTCCAGGGCAAAAGCATGGTGATTCACCAATCAGAAAGTCAGTCACTACTCCCTGGTGCTCAGAAACACCTGCATCCCAGCAAGCCAACATCTGCTTCTCTGCTCCTCTCCCTGCTGAGCTCTCAGGAGAGAGAGTGGGACCGGAGACAGGGAGATAGAGGACTCCAGGTACGTGGCGGAAAGAGGCTGTAGGCTGCAACAACAGCCATCCCTCACACACCCAAGGTGACCAGAGATGGGTTCAAGACCCCTCTACCCTTAGTGGTTTCAACCCCCAGACCATTGGGCTAATCAACGTATACCTATCCCAGCTATTTTCATTTGAGTGAGAATCCCACATGTGAGGCAGCATGTTTGGGGAGCCATGCAGAGAAACATTCAGGGGGTGGGATGCAGCACCCCAGTGCAGTGATTAAGATGACACACACAATGCCGACACCCCCATACAGAAGCACTGAATCGAGTCCCGACTACTCCACTTCCAGAACAGCTCCCCATTAACGTACCCGGGAAAGCAAATGAAGATGGCCCGAGTGTTTGGAGCCCTGCCACCGTTGTAAGAGAGCTGGATGGAGAGCTGGCAGCAACCTGGTCCAGAGCCGGCTGTTGTCGGCAATTGGGGCATGAGCCAGCAAGGGGAAACTGTGCCACTCTGAGTCCACCATTCTAAAGGAGTCACCACCGCTGCTTTTGTTGCATCTCTGAATCTTTGTCAAAGCTGGGACGGAAATCAGGATGATGCCTCATCATCTAGAGCGAGCTGGAGTTAGTGTGAATTCTACAGGAAGTCCAGACAATGGCAAAGCGTGTGGTGCACAGATAGACCCTAGCATGGCCCAGAGATAGTGAGGAGCACATATTTTTAAAACTTTAGATTTGGGTTAGCTGAAACTAGTTTCAATGATTTTGAAGTGTGGATCAGCTGAAAGTAAATTCTGGAATGCATCATGCCAAGAAGGCATTAAGGAATGGGCTTTGAAATCACTAAGATAGTCAGTACAGACTGGAATCCTCTCTAAGAAAAGGGTCCCTTGGTCCACACAGGAGAGCAGGTGTCACTTACAACTCACCTGGCCCTAAATTGCAGGATGAGGCTTGCTCATCTTGTCTCCACCCATATACTTTGGTGCTCTGCCCCTCCCCAACACAATCATGTCATTTCCAGGACTTGCTGTAGTCAGAGGGGGCTTTCTTACCTTCGCCTGGCCCTTCATCAGCACGATGTTGGAGATGACCGAAGCCTGGAGGCCTCCTGATGGTTGCACGAGTTGAGCTGTGCTCAGGGACCTTGTTGGCCGCGACGTGCCCTGCAATGAGGAGCCAGGCGTAACGAGGGAGCAGAAGGACATAAGACAGCAGCACATGCCTCCCCCGGGGAGGAGGGAGGCCCAACCATGAAGACAACCAGAGGCCATTCTCTCCAGGACGCCACGTGGTTGAGGAGAGGCCGGAGTCGCTAGATATGAAGCCAGCTCGGCTGAACTCCATACTATGAAGCCCCCAGGATGAGTCGCCCACAGCCAAAGGCAAATGTCAAGGTGAGGAAGTCCTCGGCCAAGCGTGCCCTCAGCAAACTGTGCCCAATTCAAAATGCATTCACCGAAGTGTCTGGCTGGTGCCAGATTACAGGGTGGTGGGCAGCAGACCAGGGATCCAGAGACTGAAAACCTCAAGCGTCAATTCCAGGATGGAGAGGGAGGGAAGACAGCTGGTTAACTACCAGCGTAGGAGATACTAAGTGTGCCCAGTAAAAGCCGTGCCATGGGAAGCCACCCCAGTGAGGGATGGCAGAGCTTGGTGGTTGGAGCTATATGGCTTGCATCCTCCTCCCTAGACCCTGGGGGAAGTGACCTAGCCTCTCCCCCATGCCTCAGTTTCCCCTCAGTAAACCTGTGGTACAGACAGAGCCTACTTCAATAGTGTTGTTCTGAAGACCAAACGCTAAGAACCGTGCTGACGCACGAGGACGGTCTTGCCAGTTGTTTCCCAGTGCTGCTAGAAACTCGCAGGTGTCTGCTGCTTCCAATGTCTTCCGACTCAGAAAGCTTCCACCTGGGGCTTCTGTACCCCACCCAGGACGGCCGGGAATGGACTGAGGCAGCCGCATGCGTGATCCTTGCTGGGCTGACATCCGGAGTCAGGAGGCTGGGCTGCCAGGTCCAGGGCAGGGGAGTGGGAGAGGGAGGGGTTAGAACTGTGGCCACCATGACAGGACACCCACGATGCTTGGCAGAAAGGCCTTTGCAGGCTGGAAGGGTTTGTAACTGGAAGGGAAGTAGGGACAGAGGGGTGCAGACAGAGGGCGCTGTGCGGCCATAAATGACAGCGTGAGCCGTTTCCAAGGAAACAAGGCAGGGACTCTGGGCTTTGCAGGCTTACTTCCCAGCTTGCAGAATGAAGCCCTGTAGGGGACAGAACATGGACCATGGGCAGGAAGCCCCGGAGAGTGTGATTCAACTTCTAGCACCTTAGGCTTCTGCTTTTAAATACTTATTTGTATGTCTGAAAAGCAATGTTACAGACAGAAAGGGAGAGAAGAGAGAGATCTGGTACTCGCTGGTTCACTCCACAAACGGCTGTGACATCCTCGTCTGGACCAGGCTGAAGCCAGAAGCCAGGAGTTTCATCTAGGTTGGCCATGTGGATGCAGGGGCTCAGACACTTGGGTCATCTTCTGCTCCCCTCCTAAGTACATTAGCAGGGAGCTGGGGCGAAAGTGGAGCAACCAGGACATGAACCCCTATGGCATGCCAGCATGGCTGGCAGCAGTTTAACCTACTGGGGCATAATAATGGTCCTGGTCCCTTGTTTTTTAAGTGCACAAGCTCAGACAGCCACTCACCTTGCCAAGCCTCCATCCCCATAGAACGGGGTTAGCAACATTCTGAGCTTAATACAGTCTGAGAGTCATAGGGGTGAGACCACAAGCTCTGGAGTCACAAGCAGCCCAGCTTCCAGCCCCGTTCCCTGGCAGCCATGAGAGCATGCCTGAATCCTTTAACTTGTCCCAGCACCACTGCCCTCATGTACCTCCAAGGTCATTGTGCAATTTGCATGTATGATATTTGTTTGCAGCGTGTTCTCTCCACGCCGGCAGTCTTCAACAAGTTCACGGCAAATGTGTATTAGGCAAAATATATGCATATATATGTACGGATTCCTTGGGTGTGTGTGTGTTCCCAATAAAGTAAACTTCACTTTTGGTTTCAATTTGCCATGAATTTTTCCAAGTTTTCTCTTACTAGTCACCACAGCCTGGAAGTGGCCGTAACTGCGAGTGTCCGGCACCAGGAGGCGTTCAGGAGCTGACCACGCTCCTCCTGGATGCCAGGTCCATGTAGCCAGTTCCCTAGCCCCGCAGTCCGGTGGGTTAGAACCACCCTTTCCTGCCTCTCCCCCGGCCTCCCCTCCCTTTCTGCTTACCGCGGGCTTTGCTGCTGGACAGTCCAGTTGCTGCGAGAGCGACTTTCTGCTACTACACAACGAATAAGGTTGCTGCCGGTCGGCTGACGCGGCGGATTTCTTGGTCATGGGAAAATCAGTGTCCCCTGCGCAGTAGGGGTTAACACCTGCACCGAGAGAGGAAGAGTAGGAAGAAGTCACCGGCTGAAGGAGATGGAAATCAGCCTCGGCGGACTGCTGCTTCCTGAGCCTGCTGCGAGCCCCTCTCGTGCCCACGCCGGGTGCACGGGGAGCAGGAGAGGGACGTGGGCAGACTTTACCCATTCTCCATCCGTGCCCGCTGTACCGCCAACTCAGGAACCAGCGGCCACATCTCCAACAGGCCGAGCAGGCTGCCCTGGTCTCACGCTGCCATGTCCCTTCCCGTGCCTGCTGCTCCCTGGGGGTTTCAAACCCATGAAGGCAAAGCCAGCGCAAAGGACTCTCAGGACAGTTGCCAAGCAGAGGTCATGCAAGAGGAGACATGGCGTTCTCTGCGTCTGCCTCATGTACGCAGCAGGTTCACGCACACACAAAGCAACAATCTTGGAGAAAATGCAAAGAAATTGGCATTTTACTTTTTTAATCTCTGGGTACCCAGTACTCTTTCACCCACCCAACCAGGGTCTCAATTCCACCACAACACAAGCTGCAGGTACCTTCAGAGGCACCGAGGGCAGCCCTCCCTGAATGACACACACATCCCAAGCGTCCTCGACAGTGTTCTAGTGGCTGATGTTTTTAAAGAACAGAGCAAAACAGGTGAGATGATTTTTTTTTCCCCTGCAGTCTGACACAAGAGTGCTTTTAAAACGAAATGGAGAAGCTGAGGTAAAGGTTATTTGGCAGCCAGCACTGTGGCAGAGTGCGTAAAGCTGCCATTTAGACAGTACCATCCCCTACTGGAGTGCTGGATCGAATCCCAGCTGCCCCTCTTCTGAGTAAACTCCTGGGAAAGCAGAACAGGTGGTCCAGAGGCTTGGTCCTTGCCATCCACCCGGGAGATCCCGATAGCGTTACTGGCTTCTGGTTTTGGCCTGGTCCATCTGGGGAGTGAACCAGTGACAGATCTCTCTCTCTCTCTCTCTCTTTTGCTCTCTGTCATTCTGCCTTTCAACTTAAAAAATCTTAACGTTTGAGTGTAAGAATACTTCAGCCCCTTGTATGTCTAAACTATCACCCTTTAGGATATTTTGCCTCCTGTTTCTGGACCGACTTTAGTTCTCTGTGCATCTTCTGCCCACTGACGATGCTGTCCCTTTAGCTGAGCTGCTTTTCAAGTGTCCCAAAGCCACCTGTGGCAGGTGGGCGGAGCCTTGCAGCTCCCCAGGTTAGAAAGCGACTCAGTCCTCCCAGCATCGCTCAGGGAGGGGACAGGTCTCTTCCAGGGGAAAAATGAGATTGATGGGAATTCAGAAGGAACATGAAATGCAGCAAGGTTTTTTGTTTAGTTTTAGTTTGTTTGTAAAAACTTCTCAATTATCTGAAAGGCAAAGAGGAGGAGAAAGAGAGAGACAGAAAGAGAGATAGAGATGGGAGAGAGTCTTCCCATTGCTGGTTCATGTCCAAATGGCTGTAACAGCCGGAGGAGGGCCAGGCCAAAGCCAGCAGCCAGGAACTCCATCCATGTCTTGCATGTAACTGGCAGGGATCCGAGCACTTGGGCCATCTTCCACTGTTTCCCCAGGCACATGAGCAGGAATCTGGATCCGGAGTAGAGCAAGCAGGATTCAAACCAGTGCCCACATGGGATTGCTGGTATCACAGACAGTGCTCTAACACACTATACCACAATGGGGACTGTTTTGGTTATCAGGCTTGAGAAAGATGGGCACACAGGATGAAGAGAGGAGAGGACTGACCAGAATAGGTCGATTCAGCGTGAGTGAGGACGTGAGATCCTGCAGGGGGTGAAGGAGAGGGGCAGGGATGCGAAAGAGAGGGGTGGGCTCTCACATGCATGACTTACAGGGATCACCTGTTCCCAAACAGACAAGCAGGAAGAGGAAGGCGTGCACAGAATCATGGAGTGGGGTCGGGAGAAGTTGCAGAGTGGCCCTAAACCTGCCAGTGCCTCCTTGTGTTTCGCGGTGTCTCAGAATAGGTCAGACGTGGCACACACCCACCAGACAGCCAGCCCCTCCTGGACCGTCCGGGTTGGGAAGTCCTGCTGGGGTTCACACCCCCTCCCGCTGACACACTTTATCAGAGAGGACCCAGAGGCCTGCCGGGGACCGGGAGGTATTGCAAGCAGAAAACAAGAGAGTTGGGGGTTGTAGTACGCTGAGATGGAGGGCATAGGGGTTCACTTTGAGTCCCAAGAAAATAAGAAACTAAGAGGCTACCAGCTAGGAGTGGTTTATTGAGCAAGCTCAGCGTAAAGAGCTCGGGCCCAGGCAGCTCCACCTCTCTGCTCCCCCCACTCCATCACCCATATGCCATTGGCAACTCCTGTTTCCCACAACGGATTCCAGGCTACACAGGCCCAGGACAGGTGCCAGCATCCAAACGGAGCTGGTTTCAGCTGGACCTAGCGCTCCTCGCCTGCTCTGCCTGGAAACCACTCAGGGATCCTCCTCCTACGTCAGCACGCTCGGCCCTGCCTGGGGAAGGAAGGCTGTGGAAGCCGGTGAGTCTGCCAGCATGGAGTGAGTTAACTGAGAATTCAGTTATATGATCCCAGGCGAAGGCCAAACCGAGTTTTAAAAGAAGAACAGAATCATTTGTGATGATTAGGTAATAGCAAGATTAAATTGAATTATGAGCTGGAAGAAACATAAGAAGAGGGACTCAAGTTGAGTAATATCCCCCTAAGCGTCTCATCTTTCCTAAGGTGGGGGGACAATTTGGAAAAAGTAATGTATTCGTTAATTGACTAAACCTGATTAGTTAATTGAATTAAACTTAAAGGAAACCAGAAGTGGAAATAAAAATTGAATAAAACTTTCAAGTCACTGCAAAAATTACACACACGCACACACACACACGCACACACATGCACACATGCACACACGCGCACGCACACACACACACACACGCACGCATGCACTGTTTTTAACAAGAGGCAGAAAAGCAAACAAATGTCAACTATAGATACCAAGAAGCTTCAAAAATTTCTTCCATGAAAAATACGAATTGTCTTTTACTTTTAAAACTGGTTCATTTCTTTATATGGGGGTAGGAAGAGAAGAAAATAAGCATGCCCTATCTGCTCGTACGCTGTCTGGTACTCACAATGATTAGCCTTGGGCCAGTCCAAAGTTAGCAGGAAGGGACTCGATCTGAGTCCCAGGTACTTGGCCCTCCTGGCATGAGCAGACAGCAGAGCCAACAATCAGTATCTTTTTTTTAAAGACTTGTTTTACTTATCTGAAATGGAGAGAGAGAGAGAAAGAGAGAGAGAGAGAGAATATCTTCCATCCACTGACTCATTCCCCAAACGGCTGTCAGGGACTGACCTGGGCCCGAGCCAGGAACTCACCCTGGTCTCCCATGTGGGTGGCAGAGATGCAAACACTTGGGCCATCTTCCACTGCTTTCCTAGGTGTTTTGGCAGGAAGCCAGATTGGAAGCGAAGCATCTCTGACTTTGAATCAATGCTCCTATGGGATGCTGGCATCAGAGGCAATAGTTTAATCTGATGCATCACCATGCCAGCCCTGTAACAGGTATCATAAGTGCTAGACTAAATGACTGCCCTAGCTTTAATTTATAAATTCCATTTTCTCATGGCACATCATGTAAAAATAAAAAGAAATTATAGCTCAAACTTCGTAGTTGCTTAGCAGTAGAGTAAACAGTCTCATTGAAAAGCAGTAACATCGGGGCCGACGCAGTGTCTCAGGCTAATCCTACACCTGCAGTGTCAGCACCCCATATGAGCACTGGTTCATGTCCAGGCTGCTCTACTTCCTGTCTAGCTCCCTGCTTATGAACTAGGAAAACAACAGAAGATAGTTCAAGTCCTTGGTCCCCTGCACCCAGATGGAAGAGTCAGAAGTTCATGGCTCCTGGCTTCAGATGAGATCAGCTCTGGCCACTTTGACCATTTGGGGTGTGAACCAGCAGATGGAAGACCTTTCTCTCTCTCTCTCTCTCTCTCTCTCTCTCTCTCTCTCTCTCTCTCTCTCTCTCTCCCCTCCCCTTCTCTCTGCAAATCTTTCAAACAAAAAATAGATCCCCAGTGCCTATAAAACTGTATCACATAATACAATGTTAATAACAATAAAAAGAAAAGAAAAAGAATAAAAAAAGAAATGGAAAACATCAACCTGCTTGATTAGACAGAAGTCTCCATCAAGTTTCTTAAATCTTAATTTTACAAGGAGTTGTTTTTTGGTTTTGTTTGTTGTTTGTTTGTTTTTGGCAAATTAATGATAAGACAAGGATCATCCCACTGGAGAAAAATAGAAAAACTTGTTCCCAAAAAATCCACAAAATAAATGATGGAATATTTAACTTCAGCTGTATAGAGAAGTGTTCTTTTTTTTTTCCTATCTATTTTATGGACTGAGTGTCACTCATGGTTGGGGCCAGAAAAAAATAGATACCCTCAGCCGGGACTTCAGGAAGGGCTGAATAAAGAAGCTATGTACAGAGTCATTGGCAGGATTAGAAAACTAACAAGGCTCCCGCGGCATTGGAAGCTGTCCCCCGACCCAGGCCTGGAGGGACCCAGCCATGGTCCAAGCTGCAAGACTGGGCCTGGGAACAGAGAAGGAAATCCTTCAGTGTTCTTTCCTCCTGCCAATTTCCTCCTCTGACTCTCCGGGACTGGACTTAGCCAGGGCCTCTGATCAGAAGCAGCCCAACCCAGTTTCATGCCATCCTGTTGCCACGCTTTCTGAAATGCTCGATTTCTGAAAAGCATCCCACCTGGGCATTTTGCACTAAGCCCCAGAAATCATGTCCTTGGAGTGCAAATCAGGGAAAAAAATAAGGACTGGGAGAGCTTGGCACCCAGGAATATCCTAACAAAGATGTTCAGAAATGCTAATCAAAAGTAGGCTCTGATGGAAAAAATAAATCTTCTTCTCCCTCATCGAAGGAAAAACAACTGCCAGAACTTGACAACACAGATGAAAAACCCTAAACCTTAGCCACCTTGTCAGCCCACATCTCATTTCTATGAAATTATACTGCAAGACAGTGAAGTTCATGAGTGAAAACAACAAGTAGCTATCCCAAACTGGAAAATTATGAATATCCTTAAAAAGGATTTAGTCATGTAGTTGAAAGGTTGGAGTTACAGAGAAAGAGGAAGATACGCGAGAACTTCGCTATCTGAATTCACTGAATTCACTCTGCACTGGCCAGGAGTGGACCAGGTTGAAGTCAAGCCATCTGGAGCCAGCAACTCCATCCGGGTCTCCCACGGGAGCAGAAGAGACCTAAGCACTTTGACTGTCTTCCACTTTTTTCTCAGCTGCGTTAGCAGGGGGCTGGATTGGAAGTGGAACAGATGGTCTCTAACAAGAGCCCAGATGGGGTACTGAATGCAGCAGATTAACCCACTGCACCACAATGCCAGCCCCTGAAATTATTCACTGAAGAATGGCACACCCTCCAACAAAGTAATAGGAGACTTCGAGGTGTTTCAAGAATGAGCTCAAAGTCACACAGTTCTGGAATCAGGCTCCAAATCTAAGTGTCTTGGCTCCTGACTGTGAACTCTGTTCCACACAGCAGCCCACGGCCCTTTGCAATCAACCTGAGCGTCCCTGGGTATCCAAGTCTCAGGTGACTAATACACAGTAGCATCTTCATATAGGCGACACAATCCTCTGATACACAATGCCTGGGTTGTCTCTCACACCCAGGACAATATAAATGCTGTGTATGTCACTGTTAGATTGCATTGCTTGGGGAAATGATGACACCATTGATTTTAATATCATAAATGATAATAAAGTGACAATAAAAGGCTTGTGCTCCTTTCATATGCAACGCTGTCTATCTGTGGACGGTGCAGTCTGTGTCTATGCAAGCTGACTACATTTCTCCAAAGGAATCATCTCAGGCACACGCTGAAGTACATGTACAAATCTAGTAGTAACGATTATGTTTGTGAAAAATGGAAAAGATCATAAACATCTAACAAGAGGGACCCGGCTGCCACTGGCGTTGTGGCATAGCAAGCTATTCTTCCACCCTCACCACCAGCATCCCATATGGGCACTAGTTCCAATTCTGGCTGCTCCACTTCCAATCCAGTCCATTGCTCATAACCTGCAAAGCAGCAGAGCATGGCCCAAGTCCTTGGGACCCTGTACCTCCCTGGGAGACCGCAGAGGAACCTCCTGGCTTCTGTCTTTAGACCGACCCAGCTCTGGCCATTGTACTCATTTGCGGAGTGAACCAGCATTTTCCACATTTTCCTGACCTTGTGCTATTGGATTTTCCATAACCAAGTCTCTTAAGTTACAGATGGGAGTGTGAGTAGCAGAGGCCCTGGGAGAGAGAGAGAGAGAGAGAGAGAAACTTACTTACTCAGGGACAAAGCCAGCCGAAGACTCAAGAGGAATAAGCCTCGGCTTTCCTCCTCCCTGCCCAGACCTTCAAGCTTGGAATTCAGGGTTCAGTCAGAGGAGTTGACCAAGAGAGTGCAGAAGGCCAATGCAGAGCCTCAGGCTGACCGGGACATGCAGGCCACCAGTGTGCGTTAGCCCAGCAGGTGCAGAAGACAGGCCCTCCCCCGAGCCTCCTGAAATCGGAAGCAGCCGAGGCCCCTTGCTGCAGCGTTTGGACACGACACTTACTGGTCGAGTTGCTGCGTGTCCTTTGATGGCAGGCCTTAGGAAACAGGAAGTTGCTACTGGACGCTTCTGGTTTTCCAGGCTTGTCACGAGACGAAGTTGCAGAAGATTCCTGTAAAACAATGCGTGTCCTTCACTGAGCGTGTTCGTGAGGACAGACGCACATGCGCAGTCCAGCGGGGCTGTGACACCGTCCATGGAAGCCTCTTGGAATTGTCTGCCTCCCTCTGAACTGCAGGTGCCCTCAGAGACCTGGAGTCCCTGGCACTGTTTCATTCATAGACATACATTCATAATGCAATCCCTATTGATGTTATTTATTTGAAAGAGAGGCAGAGTGAGCTCTCCCAGCTGTTGGTTCATTCCTCAAATGCCCGGGAACTAGCAATTCAGTCTCCTATGTGGGTGGCAGGCACCCAGTTACTGGAATCATCACCCACTGCCTCCTGGGCGCACATGAGCAGGAAGCTGCAGCTGGGAATGGAGTACGCACTTGAACCCAGTCACTCTGAGCAGCAAGGGATGTGTGTCTTTTAAGCGACCTCTGCCACCACAGCAAGCGCCTGACCCGTATTTACTGAGTGAATACCTGGAATGGATAGATGTTACATATATTTTTAACCAATGTAACAAATACTGAATAAGGATGTTGGCTGCTGGATCACTGGTTCTTTGCTAGATGCTGTGGCTACAAGGTGGATGAAGATATTGACCTTGGATGACCAAGCACCAACACGCAAACCAGTCAAGATGCATGGTAATGACAGCAAAGAGACCTGGAGAGGGACATGAGCAGGGAACCAGGAAGGGGTGAGGGATCTGGGTGAGGGAATCGCTCCCATACTTCACACGCCTCTCAAGAGCGTTTGTTGAATGACCGCTGGGTGAGCAGATTTTCAAATCATCCACATATCCTGGAGAATGCCGTGATGTTATCACACCGCTGATTTCTATCTGCCAAGATTTAATTTAGGCCTTCAAAAAATCAATATTGTGAAGGCGTATTAATTTATGTTTCTCAATGCTTCTTCTTTTCTGCCATCTTAACCAACTTTTTTAGACCAGTCATTTGGGAATTGGGTGCAGTTGTGGTGTATTCAAGAACAGGCATGGGTTCATCCCAGAGCAGGAACAACACTTGACTCTTCCTTGTGTAAAATGGAAAACTAAGGGGGGCCCAGCATGATAGTTCAATTAACTAATCCTCCCCTTGTAAGCTCTGGGATCTCATTTGGGCACCAGTTCTAGGCCCAACAGTTCCACTTCCCATCCAGCTCCCTGCTTGTGGCCTGGGAAAGCAGTGGAGGATGGTTCAAAGCCTTGGCACCCTGCATCCGAGTGGGAGACCCAGAGGAAGCTCCTGGCTGCTGGTTTCAGATTAGCTCAGCTCTGGTCATTATGACCACTTGGGGAGTGAACAGATGAATGAAAGATTTTTTTCTGTGTCTCTCCTCTCTAAATCTGCCTTTCTAATAAAAATAAATAAATCTTAAAAACAAACAAACAAACAAAAAAAGATAGGAATTGAGGTCACTTTTGTTCTCTTCTCCCAGCCCTAGGATTTTAGGGATTGCTGGGAGAAAGCAGTAGAGGTTGATAATAAGAATGATGAGATCAATTGTTTGGCTGCTCTTCCTGGTTTTAAAAAATACTGTCATTCTAATTTTAACACAATAACAACATTAGTAGCTGTTGTTATTTTGACTGTGTTTGGAGTTATACTGGTTCCATTGCTCACTCTCTTTTTTCTTTTTAGGGTTTATATATATATATATATATACATATATTATATATATGAAGGGAAGATCAAATTTACAGATACATAGTGAAAGCGCTTCCATCAATTGCTTCAGCTCCCAAGTGGCCACAGCAGCTGAGCTGAGCCAATCTGAAGCCAGGAGCCAGCAACCTCTTCCAGGCTCATGCATGTACAAGGGTCCCAAGGTTTTGGGCCATCCTTCACTGCTTTCTCAGGCCACAAGCAGGGAGCTGGATGGGAGATGAAGCAGCTGGGGCATGAACTGGCACACAAATGAGATCCTGGCTAACGCAATGTGATGATTTAGCCACTGGGGCCACCTCACGGGGCTTTGTTGCTCATTCTTGTAATCGTGTATGTGTTTCTCTCAGGAAAGCTGTGTAGACGGAAGGATCTCTGAATAACCACAAGACTGAGAATGCCTTTCTGCGGTCGTCACCTTTGCATGACTTGTTGGGTACCAAATCTCCAGATATTGGCTACCCATGATTCGCTGGGTACCAAGTCTCTGAATATTGGTTACCTGCATGGAGACCAGAGGTGGCCCGAATGCTTTCTGGGACTTAGAACCCCAAGGTAGAGTTTCGGAGTGGGGATGCACCTGACACTGTTTCTCATCCACAGGATTGCCTTTCCCAGAAGCCAAGTCGGCAGGGCCCAGTTAAGTCCACAAGCCAAGTGTGCGCAGTTTGCAGCTTCCGTGCCCTTCTCAGAACACACAGGCTCTGTCCTCAGCTCACATTCCGTTTCTGTCACCCATCTGCCCTCCAGCTTTGACCAGTGGGAGCTGCAGGGCTGGCTCCTACTGGCACCTGCTGCAGGTACTCCCCTAGTGCTTCTGTTGTGTGGTTGATGATGGGCTAAGGGGCCTGCTCTTAGTCTAGTCTCACCTGCACTGTGTCAGACAGAAAGTTCTCAGGGGTTCTAGAACGTGACTGGCCCTTTTCCATGGTTTCATGTCCTGGCATTTATTTCTCTCTAACTGTGTACTCCTTTTGGTTTTGACAAAGGTTCTAACAGTTGGAGGAGTTAGCCAAGTGCAGCCCTATGGACGCAGAACATAAGCTAGTTCAGACACGGGAAGCCTGCAAGGAACCACACAACAAATCTGGCATTTCTCTTTGTTTGTTTGTTTGTTTGTTTGTTTCCTTTTATTTCCCCCCCTGTTTTGCTGTCCTGTTCCTCTTTTTTTTTTTTATTGATTACATTGCATTATGTTTTATAGGCACTGGGATTCCCCCCACCCCTCCCCAAACCCCCCATGGTGGATTCCTCCACCTTGTTGCATTGCCACAGTTCAAATTCAGTTGAGATTCTTTCATTGCAAGCATCTACAAAGCAGAGTCCAGCATCTTATTGTCCAGATAAATTCAACTGTTTCTTGGGGAGAGCATCTCTGGTCTGAAGGTAGAGCTGGCAGAGTATCATCCAGATCAATTAAAAGCCCCAACATTACATCAGTAACAATTTATATGGAATTAGTTGACATGGTATTGAGTAACCAGCATGTTAAAAGAAAAAAAAAAAAAAAAGAATGCAAGTTCTGAACCACATCCTGTGACTTCTACATTGACATTTCAACTATTAGTTTATATATGACTGGTTCCTATACACGTTAAAATGGCTATAGATTACTATTCAGCTGTCTCATGTCTATTTTAATTTTAGTGTTTAGCATAATCTGGCATTTCTTATCTAAGGTGCTTTCAGAGAACTAGGCACTCATTTTTCTTCTAAGCAGCAGATGGCGCTGTGTAGACCTGAATAAAAATTATCTCCAACAGACTAGCCGGGGATCCCAAAGATGACAAAATCAGGGTTGGTTACTCTAATGTTGAATCCTTGAGACTCCCAGGATTTCACGTCATGACTGGTTCCTTGAAATCACTGCTTTGTGCAACGATATCCAGTAGATACTTCCCCACAGCAATTGTCCGACCAGATCATGTTCGGATGCTAGTTTCGAGACTCCCCTCCTGCACCGTCTCCTCTTGCATACAGGTCAGGGAGGGAAACCCTAAGCTGTGGTCTCAGCAACTCTTCAGAGGCCACAGAACCCAGAGAGGCTTGGTAAAACAGCCAGCTGGTCTACCCACCCAAGGGCAAGTCTTACTTACAGAGTGCCTTTGACACATACATCTCCCCCAAGCAGGTATTAACCTGGGTGTAAGTAGACAAGCGAGGAATGCACAGGCATGGAACGCTCAGCATCTTTATGATATCGGACAAGACTGGTGTGTTTAGAGTGGCATGGCTGTAGGCAATGCTAGCCGTCTTTAAAAGTGGTGATCATTCTGCCTGGCGCAGTAGCCTGCTGGCTGAAGTCCTTACCTTGCATGTACTGGAATCCCATATGGGTGCCAGTTTGTATCCCGGCTACTCCACTTCTCTTCCAGCTCCCAGCTTGTGGTCTGGAAAAAAGTAGAGGATGGCCCAAAGCCTTGGAACCCTGCACCTGCATGGGAGACCCAGAGGAAGCTCCTGGCTCCTGGCTTCAGATTGGCTCAGCTCTGGCTGTTGCAGCCGCTTGGGGAGTGAACCATGGATGGAAGATCTTTCTTTTTGTCTATCCTTCTCTCTGTAAATCTGACTTTCCAATAAAAATAAATAAATCTTTTTTAAAAGTGGTGTTTAGCCAAGGATTTTGTGGCACAGGCACATACGTTGTATGGCAGAATGAAGACCAATATTATGCTATGTGAGGATACTTCCAGAACTTCATGAAAAATGCAAATCATGAAAAAAAACTACATTAAATTTTAATTTGGAGTATTAAGTTTTTTTTTAAAGATGTATCTATTGCCATTGGAAAGTTAGATTTACAGAAAGAAAGAGAAACAGAAAGATCCTCCATCCGCTGGCTCACTCCCCAAGCAGCCGCAATGGCGGGAGCTGAGCCAATCCGAAGCCAGGAGCCAGGAGCCTCTCCAGATCTCCTACATGGGTGCAGGATTCCAAGGTTTTGGGCTGTCCTCCACTGCTTTCCCAGGCCACAAGCAGGGAGCTGGATGGGAAGCAGGGCCTCTGGGATTAGAACCAGCGCCCATATGGGATCCTGGCGCATGCAAGGTGAGGATTTTAGCCACTTGGTATCTGTGCCAGGCCCTTGGGAATTAAGTTCGTAAAGTACCCTCATACGAAGTTATAAATGGAGTGTGACTACAGTCATGTAAAATATATGAAGAAAAAGGACAGGAAATGTATACACCCAAATTCATTCGCTCAACAGAACACGTTCTATGACCCAGTACTATCAGGAGACTGAGGAGGGGGCAGTAGATGCACAATTCCAAATCCTGCTGCAACCCATGAAAAAGGGTGCATTGGGGGAAGGAATTATGGATGTGAGGGGT